CAGATGCAGCAGAGAATCCTGCACTCTATCAAATTATAATGAGTTAGTAAGGAAAACCATATTTAAGATAAGATTCATTTCAAAATTTTGGTAGTATTCAACCTAAGTCAAAGGTGTACCTGAAAGATTGATGCAGCATAATATAGTACACTAGGTTGCCCTGTTATCTGCCATGCAAAGATTGTGATGAGTTCAAATTGTTGAAACTTAATAACTCGTATAGGCCCATAACTAACGAAATACCTGCTGAAACAAGACTAATCCTGCACCAATAATAAGGGCTTTCAGGCATTTCCCTCGAAACATTTCCCCTAGTGTAGCTTCTTCTTCTTCACCAATATAAGAAATCTCAGTCAGCATTTCATCTACTTGTTCAGGAGCTGAATCACCAATAGCTTCACCCCTAAGCCGGCACAAGCAAACTATGGCAGTCTCTCTCAAATCCTGCATATTGCCTTTTCCCTGTATAGCACAAAGAAGTAACCATCTAGGTGATTCAGGTAGCCACCACATTCCAATTCCCATAATCACCGCTATAGGGGAGCTAGCTCCATACATATAGCGCCAACCAGCAACTGTATCAACCAAAAGGCTACCAACTGTATAACCAACCTGCAACAGACTCCAGGTAGATTGCAGAAATACTTGAGACACAAATAATTATATTTTATGTTGGGCGACTATCAGAAAAGAGAAGAAAGAGAAAAAAAAGTAAGAACCAAATAAATCTTGCTTTGTAGCCCATACAGAACAATTTTTTTTTAAAAAAAAAAATCATAAGTCCTCAAAGCAAGCTTGTAGTACTTACAACCATCCCAAAAACTATAAAGAACTCCTTGAGAGAAATTAGTCGACCTCGTATCTGACTTGGGGCAGTCTCAGCAATGTACATCGGAGCGGCATGCATTGCCTATATCAGCAGAAAGCAGAAAGATAACATGACTTGAAATTGCAAAAGAAGTAATGATAAAGAAAAAGGACAAAAAACGACAGTTTCAGAAGGCAAATCTTAAAATGAATGTATTACAATTCAACCGTCACTTCTCGAGCAACTTTAGAGTTTAGACACTGAGATCCAGTTGATTTTCTTATTCTTATATTTGGTCAGCAATTCTGTGATATTAGTTGCTTCTTAATTTTTCTATTTTGGATAGGCAAAGGGGGATTAGAGATGAAGGCAGTGCTCAAACTCCTTTGGAGACGTGAACCCAAACACACGGTTTTACCAACATGCCTAACAAGCTTAGCTAGCAGGCATCGTTTTATTACATTTGTTATGTTCTTCAAAATGTGAACACCAAAATACCAGTTTCAGTTACTACCAAGGTTTGTAGCCTAGTAGTACTTCCTCGCAATCCAAGTAAAAACAATTTAAGTTTGAAAAAAACATATGAATCCTTCTAAGAGAATCTTTTCAGGAAAAATACGTATAATGAATATTAAATTTATTCAAAGACTTTATTGTACGGAACAGTGCTTGGTGCAATAATTTAAGCTCGGACTAGCAAGCATGGAGCTCGCAAGTTCGATTTTTTAACTAGACACTTTGTGCAAAATAATGCCCAAGGTTAAAAAATGAAGAAAATAATACAATGAGTAAAATCCATTCTTCACATGCTTAATTGTGCTTATTTGCAGGTGGGAATGTCATGCACACACGTATTTAGTTAGAACTATAAATCTAATTGTTTGCATATGCATCCAAATTAAACACACACGGAAGTACCTGTACATGTAGACACAAGAATGAATAATAAAATTCATAAAGAACCGAACTATAATATAATAGCAGAAAGGCTGTAATTTATCTTACCAGTCCAATTCCAATACCAAATACAAAACGCCCGATCACCATAACAACCAAGTCAGGTGCCACTGCTGTTATCAGAGCTCCAACAAGATACAATACAGCAGACACAAACAACTCCCTTCTTCTTCCTATAATTCAAGTTCATCAATCAGACTCCACCAATATAACTCAACATCAAGAACTCTAAACTATAAGCCCACAATTCAGAAGAGAGCCAAAACCTAGTAAGTCGGCAATATTAAAAGCCAAAACGGAGCCAATCAAGGCACCATATAATGAGCCACTAGTCTGCAAAAGGCAGCAGCCACAGAATTAAAAATTATAATTATAAATAAAATAAAAAATTGTTTTGTCAGATTTTCTTCATTTTTTTAATTAGTAGCAAAAGTTGAAGTAGTAAACTCCATGAAAATTTAGCGGTACCAAGCAACAAAGAGTTGTAAACTCACTATGAGGCCAATGTCCACAGAAGACAAGTCATACCATGTAATCCCGCTTAATGTGGCGGACTGCAGAGAAGTGAAAAAGAATTAGAAAATTGAAGTAAAAGGACCAAATAAAAATATTTGAGCTGGAAAATCAAAGTTTAACTCCTCGCCAGACAAGATATAGTTGCTGTTTGTTGGCTTGTTAAGATAATTAAGTTTATTTTTTAGTTAGAAGCAAATTGGGATCTTAACATAGGACCTATCTATACAATGAAAGCAGCCCAATCCATCCATGACAATTGCAATCAGAAATTCAGAATGGAATCGATATCATTTGAAACTTAGCAGTCTCCAAGCCTCATTAATGTGCAATGAAGGTATAGCAACGATTATTACGATCAGCGGCAGAACTTTGAAACTGAATCCGTATATTTCAAGCATAAAACTACTTTAAACTTTTAAAGCACCTTAGAACTTCGACCATTTTCCTCACCAAATTCCTATATAACAACTGATCAGTTAAAAAGATTGAAAAACATATCTTGACGAATGTTGCAAAGCAAGCACATAATTTCTTAGGTTGCATAACATAACTGGAGTAAAATATTTTTGTGAAAGGTTCCAATAAATCAATGAGGACTGGTAAATTGAAATGCTGAGGAACACAGACCAATCCAGAAGTAGTGATAAGCTCATAAAAGAATTCCCGTCATACACTTTACGTGTATAAACTTTTACATAACTACATTAAATTAGAAATAAAGAAAATGTATATGATAATTCATTTAATAAATCATAGCTATGTTACATGGACTCTTTGAAAGTAGTTTAGTACCCATGTTGGACGCATATTGCTTGGACATGTGTATGGGATATGTGTCCAACACTTTTGGTTGGACATGTACTGAAAAAGCATATCCAATAATTCAATTTCATTATATTATACTTTAAAATGAGTCAATTGTCTATATTGAACACTTTGTTACATAAGAGCTTTACTTTACTCAAGAAAATAAAATAAAATGAATATTTAGCAGTGTCGATGTGTCCTCTTGTTTGATGATTTAACACGTCTGACACAATGATACAAACATGTATCATTCACACGTATCCGAGTCCATGTAACATAGAACCATAGTCAGAAAAATATTGAATTGAGTTGATTTAATTAATAGACTCAAATACAACCATGTTGATGCAAGCGCTACTAAAATAAAATATAGGCAAAAACTGGCAATCAATACATATATAATTAACAAAGAAGGTCATCCCTTCTCTGATCATGGTTGATATCTTCTCTACGTGTTTTTGTAAAATATGTATCATATTGGAAAACAACGATCAAACAATGAATCTCATAACTTCAAATGATTCATCATATATAAACGCTTGAAATAAACCCATTTTCATAATAAAAGAAAAAAAATACAAAAACAGAAACAGTAACAAACTCTTTTTCTTCATGCAAAACAACACGATCTTCTAAACTTTGTAGGAATCTTTTGCTTGAGTATATGCCCCACAAATGTTAACCAGGGATTTTGTGAATTCCCATTTAGTGGTTGTTTAAAATTGAATTGAAATAAATACCATCTAAGCTTCTGTATTATATTTTACAAAACATTTTTTTCCATACAGAAAGACTTTTCATGACGCTAATTCGAATTTAATGGAAACATTACATCTTTTCACTGTACCATGTGTTAAGATTTATATATTGTAATAATATATATATATATATTTCTTTTATAAGCAAAATTGTATTAGAAAGCGTTCAAAAGGGGAACGCATCCCAAGAGCTAAACAAAAACCAAGAGCAAAAAAAAGAAAGCCTAAGGATCCAAAGACCCCAAAAAGTCCAAAAACTCCTCAACAGAAGAACAATCTCTCCCCATACCCCAACTAAAAAGAGAACAAATAATAGATACTTAAGAGCCCCAATGGGTAACTCCTCCTCAACAAAGGATCTTCTATTACGTTCTTTCCAAAAACACCACCAAATGCAAAGGGGAGTCGCCCTCCAGAAGTCGCGAACTCGAGCCCCCACCCTTTGTCCCCTCCAAATGTCGATAAGACCCCGTGAGGTCCAAGGCATAACCCACTGAACGCCAAACAAACCCAACATAAGGCTCCAACAATCATAGGCCACTGGGCAATGCAAGAGAAGGTGGTCCACAAACTCTCCATCGGTCATACACAGACAATACCGATTAACAATGACATGTCTCCTCTTCCTCAAATTGTCTAGAGTCAGGATCTTGCCCCAAGCAGCGGTCCAAGCCAAAAAAGCCACCCTAAGAAGAGCCTTCGAATGTCAAACCGTTTTCCATGGATAAGAGGGGGCCTGAAAATTGGAAAGACAGAAGAAGAAAGACCGGACCTGAAAAGTCCCCTGCGAAGAAGGCACCCAAGTCAAAAGGTCCGCCCCAGTGCCATCCACCTCCTGTCGATACAAAAGGTCCAAAAAGGCAGTGACATCATCCAGCTCCCAATCCTGGAAAGCTCGCTGGAACCGAACATCCCAAGATAACCAACCGCTATCAAGGCGATAGCATTCAGCAACCAAAGCGTGGCAATCCACAGCATTCCTGAACAACCTTGGAAACTGTCGACACAAAGGACGTTCCTCGCACCAAGGAACCTCCCAAAACCGGACACTCCGACCTTCCCGGACTCTGAATCTAATATGCTTAGAAAACTCATCCCAACCTTTCCCAATAGACTGCCACACACCCACGCCGATAGCAGATCTAGCCTGTCTAGCAGACCAACCCCCTATATCCTCCCCAAACCGGCAAGCAACAATCTTCCTCCAAAGTCTATGTCTTTCATTGCCAAACCTCCAAAGCCGCCAAGAAGGGCCCTATTGAAGAGGACCAACCTCCGAATCCCAAGGCCTCCTGACTTAAGAGGCTTGCAAACATGTTCCCACCGAACAAGATGATACTTAAACTCCTCCCCCCTACCACCCCAAAGGAAGTTACGTTGAATTATCTCAAGTCTCCTAACAACAGAAAGGGAATCTGGAACAGAGAAAGGAAATATGTTGGGAGGCTGGATAGGACACTCTTCATCAGCGTAACTTTTCCTCCCTTCGAAAGATACTGTTTTTTCCATCCAGCCAACCTTCTCGAAGCACTTAATAACTGGGCCCCAGCAACCCACCCTTCTTGAGGAGACCCCCAAGGGCAATCACAGATAAGAAATAGGGAAGGAAACTGTCCTACATCCAAGAACAGCTGCCAGGGAATTCACCTCCTGAACCTCCCCCACAGGGACAAGCACACTCTTGCCCACGTTGATTCTCAAACCAGAGACAGCCTGAAAACAAACTAAGACACATCTCAGGTATCTCAATTGGGACACCTCTGCCTTACAGAAAACCAACGTATCATCCGCGAACAGCAAGTGAGAAATTTCCAATTGATGAACTACCTCAGGACCAATCTTGAAGCCCCGAAAAAGCCCCAAGGTAACAGCCCTCCTCATCAGCCTGCTAAGAGCCTCCATAACAATAATGAACAAGAAAGGGGAGAGGGGGTCCCCTTCCCTCAAACCACAAAAACTGCCAAAAAAACTCGAAAGGGGAACCATTAACCAGCACCGAGAATATGACAGATGAAACGCAAGTAACAATCCATTTCCTCCATCTCTCACCAAAACCCATCCTCTCAAGCAAATAGAACAAGAAGTTCTAGCAAACATGATCATAGGCTTTCTCGGAATGCCACTACGAAGCCTAAAATCCACACATTCACTGGCAATAAGAGCGGAATCCAGAATCTGTCTGCCCAATAAACGCATTTTGAGACTCTGAAATGACTCCGTCTAAAACCCCCCTCAATCTTGAGGCCAGGACTTTGGTGATAAGCTTACACAAACACCCAATCAAACTGATAGGTCGAAAGTCCTTAATATCATAAGCTCCCCCCTTCTTAGGAATCAAAGCAATAAAGGAAGTATTCAGCGACTTTTCGAACTTCCTAGTGGAATGAAACTCATGAAAAGTGCCCATAATATCCTGTCTGACCACCTCCGGGCTTTCTAGGAGGAAACTCGTAGTGAAACCATCCGGGCCTAGAGCTTTATCACCATTACAACTCTTCAAAGCCTTCAGGACCTCCTCCTCCGTAAAAGATCTCTCCAACCCATCCCTATCCTCCACTGAAATTGAGTCAAAATGAAGACCATCAAGCCTTGGCCTCCAGCGAAGAGGCTCAGTATATAACCTCTGATAAAAAGAAACAATCCCTGTTCGCACTTCCTCATCAGAAATCAACAGCGATCCATCCACCCGAATCTGACCAATATGATTGCCCCTCCTATGAGCATTAGCCGTTCGGTGAAAAAACTTAGTATTACGGTCACCTTCTTTAAGCCACAAAGCCCGAGATTTCTACCTCCCCGAGATCTCCTCCATCACCACAATCTCAGCACATTCAGCCTAACAAGCTGCTTTCCTAGACCGTTGAGACTCCTCAAGGCCTCCCGCCGCATCCAATCTATCAAACTCTGCAATATCAACGAGAGCCCTATTTTTCCTCCACTCCAAGTTACCAAACACCTCCTTATTCCATTTTTTAAGTTTATCCTTCAGAATACGAAGCTTTCCTGCAAGGATAAAACTCAAAGTACCCACCACCACGTCCTCCTCCCACCAAGTCCGCACCAAACCCAGAAAATCCGCCACTCGAAGCATATGTTTTCAAATCTGAATGGAGTGCGACGAGGGCTCAAACCTCCACAATCCAAAACCAAAGGAATATGATCCGACGTCACCCTAGCCAACGCAGCCTGAATTGCATCCGGAAACTGCTCATCCCACTCTCCGGAGATCAAAAATCTATCCAGGCGTGAAAAAGTAAACATCTCCCTACCACAAGACCAAGTGAAAGCAGCTCCCTCCAACGGGAGATCAATAAGCTGATGATCATTGATAAACTCCGAGAAAAACCTCATAGCCGGAGTCCATGACCCACCTGTAGACCTCTCCATTGGGGATCTAATCACATTAAAGTCACCTGCCACACACCAAGGAAGAGACCACATCTCCTGAACCGCACTAAGCTCCTCCCACAGTGCAAGCCTCTCACAGTCATCCATCGGCCTATAGACACCTGAAAAAGCGCAAGGGAAGCCATCCTCTTCTAACATAAAGGCACAAGACAAAGAGAACAGCCCCCTACACACATCCACCTAGGGATGGCAACGGGGCGGAGTTGGGATGGAGTTGGCTAAACCCTACTCCGCCCCATTAAAAAATTCGTCATACCAACTCCGCTCCAACTCTGAGACGGGTTTATAATTGGTATACCATCCCCGCCCCTACTCCGGTTGACAAAATACCAACTCCGCCTCGCATACTCCGTTTAATTGCGGTAAAGTCGAAACTGTTGAATTAATTCCTGAATTTGGGATAGAATACTAAGATCTTGAATCTTTGAAGATTGAATCACGTGCACACTTGTAGAATTTTAGTAAGTAATGATTCTAGCGAATATTTAGTCAAAATATATTAATAAACACTTAAATTAAATATATATATATATATATATATATATATAATCGGGGTCGGGGCGGGGGCGGGGGCGGGCGGGGATGGGGTGGGGGCATCACTAAATCCGCCCCCGCCCCAAACCCGCTTCGGTTTTTCAATTCTTTTACCATATCCATCCCAAACCCATTTATGGAGCTACCAAATCCGCCCCATTAGGAGCGGAGCGGGGCGGAAACCCAGCGGGTTGGAAGAAATTGCCATCCCTACATCCACCTTATCCATCCTCCTCCTATCCCACATCAGAAGAATACCCCCAGAAGTCCCAACTGAATCAAGCGCCTCCCACTCAACGAACCTACTGCCCCAAAGGCTCTTAGTAACTCTATCAGTCATAGAATCAATCTTCGTTTCTTGGAAACACACCAAATGAACCCCCCATTTCCTCACAGCCATCTTCACCACCTTTCTCTTGCCCGAGTCATTGAGGCCACGGACATTCCAAGATAAAAGTTATAGCTTCATGGAAAAACAACAGCGCCTTCCACCCCCATACCCCTCCCTCCCTTCTTAACACCCCCCTTCACCTTCTCCCCCACAAGAGCCCCATCAAAATTCACATCACAGCAGAGATTACGCAGCTCCCTCTCTCCTTTCCAAGAGGGTTGAGTCTACTTCCTCCTCATCCTAGAAAACTGAATCATCTCCCCTTCTTTCCCCTCCACCGTAGCCTGAAGAATAGCTAAAGCTTGCTCCCGATTACCTTTGCAAGAAACACCCAGCAAATCACTCGTGGGCCCAATGTTGTTCAAAACCTAGTCCTTGCCAAGGTCATCGCACTCCTTCCTGACAAGCGCACTGGCCATCCCCTCCAGATGAACAACTGCCAGAGGGTCAATCAGCCCCAAATCCGAGAAGCTCTCCTCCTCCCACAGAACCATATCCAAGGACCGACACTGTTCCTCCCGGTTCCCATCAACCTCCCCTTTCTCGTCCTCCTCAATTACATCCACACCACTATCATGAACTTCAGAAAAGGATGTTGAATCACACGAAGGCACATCAGTGAGGCGCCTATGTTTCTGTAGCTCTTTCACCAACAAAGAGGCTGATTCCTCATTGAGAACGATACAGATATCCATTCCCACGCAAACAGTCATCAAGTCTGGCTCACAATCTGACTGAGTTGGCACCAATTCATTCCCCTTAGGAAGACACGAATCTAGCTGAGGCTTGACCAGCCCACCCATGTCAAACCCAGACGTAGCCATCTGATGAGAAGAAGAGGAAAAATCCGAACAAGAATCCTCCGGCCCTTCGCTGACACGATCCGAACCCCCATCCACAAACAAACCGACCGTCCCATCCCTTTCTAACGGTCCAAAAAACCCACACCCCAAATCAGCCGTATCCACAGTCTCATTACCCACCTCAACCACTGGTGAGAGCATCCATGACATACCAACCAAACCATTCCCCACCTTCTTCCTCCTCAACCTACAAGAAGGAGAAGAGAGAAAAGAATGAGAAAAGGGGGGGTTACAAGAACAAGAAGGGGGGGACTTACCCGGTTTAGGAGTCGCGTTGCGGGCGACCCATTTTTGCTTATCCTTTCTGGTCCATCTTCTCCCAGACTTATTAGACCAACTCAACACATTCACCTTGAGGGAGTCACAGCTACGAGTCTCATCCTCACAAAGGGAGCTTGACTGGAGCAACCCAAAACTGTTACCAGAAAGCAGATTCTGACAACACGCACCATGCCTGAATGTCTTCGATCTCAGTTCAGATCCCTTCACCGTGTTCGAACTCACAGAGACCCGATCCTCCTTTTCCGCCTGAGACCAGTGTCTCGCATCATCCTTCGGTTGTGTCGAAGCAACTGATTTGTGAGAATCGCCTCTAGAAGCCATTCCAAAAGGTGGCCTGAGCTGCAACCCGTTAATGGAAATAGAGAGGCTTCTATTTGGGCCAGGCAACATCTCTAAAACTAGAGTGATTGGGCTTGGCAAGAAAAGACCGAGAAGAAGAGAGGGGCTTAAGAATAGGCCTGACCTGTCCAGCCCTGTTCATGGCCCGCAAACCTTTAAGTCCAGATCCAGAAGAAAATGGACACCCAACCAAATGGGGCCTAAAATGCTCGGCCCTGCCATCAGCCTTCAAAGCAACTTTCACAGGCCCACGTTGGTTAGGCCCTTTCCAAGCAAGCCCATCAGAAGAGGAATTCAAATTCTCGACCGCCTCACGTGCCAAGTCATGTGTGCCCTTAGCTAGATTCCACTCACAACGGGGGGGAACCGTCCTCCAACCACATGTCCCACTAACCAGGCGCTCCTTCCCACTCGTCTCCGGCACGTGGAAATGCACTCGTCCTTGACCCTGCTTCGGGCGACTTTGCAGAGCCTTTCTATGAATCACTGGTTCACGCCCACCACCAGAAACTAATCTGTGAGACGAACGAGCCCCCTTATCCGTCACCTCCAAAGGATTAAGAACATCAGATCTAGCACGAAACTTGGAGATTGGCTCAAGAGAAGGGGCAATTTCCTCTATGGGAGAGATGCGAAAAACTTGCTGACTGTCCTCCACGATAATGGACTCCGGGATCACACCACCTTCATCCACAGTGATGACGATCCTCTCTGTATCGCTCATCTTAAATGCCTCGACATCCCGGAACCTACCACAAAGGTCCCCCACAACATCGAAAAGATTTTGACACCAAAGGTGGAGAGGAAGACCGAACACAATGATTCTCCGGCATTTAAACTTCTTTCTCAACCCAGAGCACCCAACCTTGTAGTACCAGTAGTCAATGAACAACTGAGCATCTCCCCATTTCTTCTTTCCATAATTAAGAACCTTCACAGCCTCCATGACCGATGGAAAGCAAAACAACAAAAGTCCATTAGGCAAAGTAGAAACCCTAACACAAGCCGAGATCAACCAAACCCTCGTAGCCCAATCTTCAATGTTCTCGAGAGACCCCACTCCCTATCAAATCTCCCAACAAGACATGCCCTAAGCGTATGCTCGCGAGAAGACGTACTGCGATTATCCACTGAAAACACAAAATCACCGGAGGAAGAGAAGCACTCCACTTCGCCCTTCAAATCCAAACGAGGAAGACTAGCGACCTCCAGAAAAGACGGCCTCTGACCGTCGAGAGTTCATGAAATCAACAAAAAAACCACCACTATTTTAAAATAATATTTAAATCATATATTGTAATAATATGGCGGCACCTCCAGAAAGTAAACTGTATTATTACAAGGAAAACCAGAATTTAATTCCATGATCTACCCATATCTAGTGCTTAAGACTATTTCTTAATTGTTTTCCTCATACAGCCACACACACACATTTATAAGGCCACTTAACTTTAAATTAACTCCTAGCCCATGAGAAGAATACCGAGCTTATTCTTCATAACAATGAAATAGAGCCAACATGGCACCTGTGATGAACATTATTCTATATTTAAGAAAAATATATATATTTGAGGAGTCAACAAAATCATACCTCTATAGAAATTGTAGCACAAGATGTGGCACCAATATCATAGCCATAAAGTAGTCCTCCAAGAGCTGGGAAAAAGAATCTGAAATGACCGAGCCACTCATTACAGTTTGAATAAATGAACTAGATGGATTGCATTTTTGCCGAAGTAAGCAAACCATAAAGGTTGCTACTCGAAATTCAACCCAAGAAAATAAGCCAAAAAAGCTTGCAGTCCAAAAAATAAAAAATAAAACTTGATATCTTGCTTGATGTGCAAGTTGGTTTTAGACATAGACACTAGGTTCAAGAATAGTAACAACTGGAAAGCCTGATCCATTAACACGTTCTTTACATGTACTATAGATTTTATATAGACTGGATAACACGGAATATATAGAGCAGTTAAAATTGACATCTCAAACTTGATGGAACTGTTATATTATAGCTTTATTTAAAAAAAAAAATCTTACATGAGACATGTATGAATGATGGTCTTAAGGAACAAAAAGCAAGAATATATGTATCAAGGGAATAATTCTAGATAGGAAATCACAAAGAAAGAAAAGATGTTTACTAAATAAAGCCGGTTTTCCTAAGCAATCTAAGGGCTATGGCTTCACGGCAACCAAGCAAATTCTTAGCATGTTTCTTGCTTACAATCCATATAGATTCTTTCATGAAATCATGAGCTCCTACTGCAAGACATGGTTTTTAATAACTTTTGCAGTTTTTCCTAGTCACTGAATAATCTTAGAAAGAGGAAGGGCCCCGGCTTGATCTCATAGCAACTCGTCTGTCAGAAAAAGGTTGGCATTAGCTAGCTTCCCATACTGAAAACAGCCAAAATGCCCAGTTGTAATCAAGAAGATGAATTACCTGGATCAGATAGGTGAAGGGTAAGCGGGGTTCCTAAACTTGCTAACAGGGCCCTTTATACAAAACTGGGAACTCTTCCACTTCTGTGTTGGAGCTCACAATTCCCTTTCAGCTTTTGAGCCTACTTCTCAAGGAGCCGAAGCAGTAGCAGAAGAATTAGGAAGTGAAGAAGAAAAGATATGCCACTGCTGCAGGCGAGCTCTTGTTATTGACAGCTAAAAAAAAATGGTGTTTTTGCACATACAAAATGAAATGGATGATGCTTAAAACCAACCATTGTACCAAAAGCAGTATAAGTAACATAAGCACAAAAAGAACAATAACCCACTGGTCGCCTACTATGTTATAATACAAAAAGTCATTCCAATAATGGACCCATCAAACCCTTTTCATGGCCGCGCGTAGACCAGAGCCTTCCAGTTTATTGCTATGTAAAAGCTTTTTCAGCCAAGCCAGGATGTTTTCCCCAATGCACTAGAAATCCAGTAGTTATTTTATAATGAAAACTACCATTTTTATAAGAACTACAACCTATAAGAGTTAAGAAGGTTTCACTTGCTTCAAATGAACCAATGTGAACTTCAATCAAAAAACATGCAACTATGGAAGTCCATGGTATAACAGCTGGCTTAGATGGGTTAAGTTTCTCATGTTTAGCTCAAACGACACTATAAACACTCCAACTATGAAAGTCGTGGGTGTAACAGCTAACTTGGATGGGGTTAATTTTCCCACTGTTTAGCTTACTGGTGACACCATTGGTTCTCCAGGCCTTGCTTTACACCATAAGGAACACCAGGCTAATTCTGTGTTCTTAAATCAATCTCCATCCTTGAAATCAATTTTTTTTTACGTTCTATCTCAAATGGGTCACAGCACAGTTCATAATATCGCTAGTATTTTATCTTAACCAGAATCAAATTAGACAAGGTCACACTCCACCACATGGTATGATATTGTCTACTTTGGACCCGAACCAGCACGATTTTGTTTTTGGGTTTTACCCCAAAAATGCCTCATACCAATTAGAGTGACACACCGACATATATAGCACTTCCCCTTTCCACACCCAGGCGATGTGGAATTGTACACTTTTAGTTCGCCCAGTGTGGTAACCTGCTAGTATCTTTTGCACCCGCTCACGGCACACCCGCCCACAAGGTCACCACAATCACCCCCCTTTTTGGGGCCCAACATCCCCGTTGGCCGCACTTTCAGCTGGGTCAGGCTCTGATACCATTTGTAACGACTCACTCCACCACATGTATGATATTGTCCGCTTTGGGCTCGAGCCCGCACTATTTAACTCTTGGACTTTACCCCAAAAGGCCTCATACGGTCATATCAATTGGAGGGACACACCTACATATATAGCACTTCCCCTTCCACACCCAAGCAATGTGGGATTGTGCACCTGTGCCCAGTGTGGTAGCCTACCAGTACCTCTTGCACCAGCCTACAAGGTCGTCACAATCACCCCCCCGAGGCCAACATCCCCGTTAGCCACACTTCCGGCTAGGTTAAGCCCGCTTTAACCCAAAAGAGCAAAACTATGCGGATTCGGGCCCAAAGCGGACAATATCATACCATGTGGTGGAGTTGGTCTTTACAAGTGGTATCAGAGTCTGACCGAGCCGGAAGTGTGGCCAACGGGGACGTTGGGCCCCAAAGGGGAGGGGGGTGATTGTGACGACCTTATGAGCGGGTGTGCCATAGGAGGGGGCAAAATGCACTGGCAAGCTACCACACTGAGCACAGGTTCAATTCATGTGGTGGAGTGGGTAATTACAATCTAGTAGCTTGAAAGAAATCCAAAATCTCTTTAAGAGTAGAATCAACCCTAATGGGCCCGGCCACATGAATTGTATTTTTTCCCCTTTTTTTTTTTTTTTTTTTCTATAACAAGTAATCTTACCCCTAATATTTAACTTTTTAAAATCTTTTCTAATAACTTCATCCAATATTAATTTCTATCACCCTTTACCCTTTATCTTCTATGCAAATCTTTTCTAATAACTTCATCCCATATTAATTTCCATCACCCTCTTTGTCTCTTACCTTCTATACAAATTAGTCTTGCCTTCTTACTGGCATCTATAGGACTTCGTTGTATGTCTCCATACCACCTAAGTTTATTTTCTCTTATCTTATCACTAATTGGTACCACTCCTAGTTTCTCCCTCACAATTGATTAGTAACCTATCTCTTCTAGTCACTCTACTATCCATATTAACATACTCATTTCAGTTATATGAATTTATTGTTCTTATTTCTTTTTCAAATTCCAACACTCTGGTACATATATAATATAACTGACCTAATAATTGTTCTATAAAATTTTCCTTTTGACTTTTAAGTTATTCTCTTATCCCATACAACACCACTAGCATGGCATATCTCCATTTTGTCCAATTCTACTAATTATATCAATAGCTATGCCACCATCCTTTAGTATTATTGACCTAGATATCAAAGATGGTTACTTTGAATAACCTTGGATTTTTAAGTGTGATCATTTCATTATCAATATCTAACTCTTTATTATATTTACATTTTATATATTCAGTTATAGTCCTACTAAATTTTAAACCTTTTGATACTAAAGCATTTCTCCACATTTCTAATTTTGTTACCAACTTTTCTTTAGAAGTATCCACTAACACTATAGCGTCGATGAACAACATGCACCATGGATGTCTCCTTCTATGTTTTTTATGATTTTGTTTAAAATTATCATGAATAGATATGGGCTAAAAGCATTGATCCTTAGAGCAATCCAGCATTTACATAATTTGCTTTACCATTGATATTACCCAATTTAGTGCCTCTTAATGTTAAAAATACCAGGTTGCCAACAAGATCAGGAAACTTACGAGAACTTTCTGGAGATGAAAAGAAAAATGACTTTTCTAGATATTTCAATATGTGTCACTAATAGGTGAAAAGAGATATAGGGATGGGAATTTGTCTAAAAATACCAAAAGTACTTGAATTGCCACAGCCATTGTAGCGTAGAAGGAAGTGAAACGGTCGTTGCAACGAGTGATTAAGTGCTCAAATGACATTATAAAGAGAATATTCAGGTTAAGGTTTCAATTTTTTATTGATGAGTTGACAAAAAACAAAAATGCAACAAACAAGCCTCCCTTAATTTCTGGTACTATAAAACTACTATCGTGTAATCTGAAAGATAGTGCCCCTTTTATCATCCAATCCTTAATTACTAGTCCTCTAAAACTGCTATCATCTAATCTGAAAGATAGTGTCCCTTTTATCATCCCAATACATTTAGGTTAATAGGATAAATCAAAATCCACATTTATTGTTGAACCATGGTAAAAAAATTCAGAATTTAATATAGCGTTGTCAATTTGCCATTGTATAATACCATGGTCTACCATGATACATCATATCAAGTACATTGCTCAATGTTCAGATAGTTTTGATTGGTGTTGCATTTCATTTATAATTAGGAATAAATTAGTTGAACTTCACCTCGATGCTATATCTGTTTTTACCTCTATTATCAATTTCAACCCAACTAACATTGGGTTTAAAGTAATTCAATCTCCATTATTTCTTACACTACCAACCTTGGCTTGCTTAAAACATATAAACCCATAATGACAGAGGCATAAATGATTAAATACAAAACCCTAGTGTGGTATGCTTATATTTCATTTGCACATAAAAATTGATACAACAATGTAAAATGATAAGACTAGAGTGAAGTTGAGCGATAGATGCATTAAATAACTTACGGGAGGATAGCGGAGAGCACCGAATAGTTTTCGGAATGCACTTCCCCATTGATGAGAGGTTCTTGCATACCGTCGATTTCACCTGATGACTTCCCCGCCTAATTAACCGCAATAAAGTTACAAATACATTCAAACATATACATATACATATAATTAACCACAATAAAGTTATACATACAATCATAAATATGTATTTATATATAGACACAAAAACAAAGAGAAATTTATGGAGTCTTCAAATCGGAAATGTTTATTGAAAAAACCTTTCCAATAGAGGAGAAGGTGTGTTGCTCGGGATCGAAATTCCCAGAGGCCATTATTGGGGTGCTGAGAGAGGTTGAAAATGTGACAACTGATGGAAAAATTGATCGGCGAAGGAAGAGCTAGGGTTTTTCCTTTGTATTGATTCAGAGTGTTGATTTGTGAGGTTTACACGTGAATGTTTGTTCAAAAGGATGGGTCGGTACGGACACTTTGTTAGGTGAGTCGGATTACTGCTGCAAGTAATGGTTTCACGAGAAGAGAAAGGAGGTTAGAGAGAGAAACAAAAAGATATATATAGAGAGAGAGAGAGAGCAAAAGGTTAGTTATACTGGTCGGGATTTCAAAAGAGCGGCCCAAAATATGGCTACGTTAGAAGGTTAGACGCAGCGAAAACTGGAAGGTTGAAGACAGGGTAGAGCCGTAGAGGCGATTTTGTGGACCCACGTGGATTAAAATCCTGGAATTCAAGTCACTGTTAATTAAATTAAATGAATTGAAAATGACACAAAAATCATTCCCAAAATTTTATACATACTAGTATTAAAAAAAGGGTCAATTAATTGTACACGAATCGAGGCTTCATATTCTTTATCACTTATATTTGTCTTTCTTTGTCACTGAGCTTCTCTAGTATTTTTATTTTTAAAAAAAAATTCAGCAAGAAATTCACAAATTAATTTATTTATAAAAATATAAAAATTCTTGTCTTTCACGTTGAAAGGTAACTTTTATCTTTTCATAATTACAATATATTTTTCGTTGAGTTCTTCCAAAATGGTGTCTCTTTATTTTTCTCACACTATAATACTTACTTACACGTCATTGAAACAATTTTTCATTATTCGTGTAATATTACATTATAAATTTATTGTATTGCTCTTCACTATAAATTTATTGTCACCGTATGGATACGGCACCTCCCTTCAGACGAGTAGAGTATCTCAAGTGCCCAAAAAATAGTACACAGCAAGTCATATAATATTTAATCCTATTATTAAGTAAAACGTATCAATCATACATTGTGATTTCTTATTATCATTCAAAGAAAAAAATATATAATTAGTTAGGGGAGTTATTAAATGGCACTAAAAAAATTCCACGAAGGGATTCGGAATTCCAGATGATGAGGTGGCCAATAAAGGTCGTGGACTTATTAGTATTGTAGTGTTTGTGGTGTGAAGAAATTATTTATTTGTGATAATGGCAGAATGTTATGAAAGAGGTCCTAACGTGCGATGTTCGTGAAGGCACCGGAGACTTGACTTTCAGCTAGAGTTGCTCCAACCATTAAAGTCCTAATCCAGCTAAAGTTATCTACGTAACCTCATCCTTGTCGACGACTTTGATCCACTGGTTTATAGCTAGTGATTACACTTATTCACTATTGTCCACTCCAATTCACTTTTATGGACTCAGTCCAAAAATATTCATCTTGTTGTCACGATTTCATTGATTAAGTCCCCGTGATTTAATGAGGTCCCAAACCATACATGTCTCCGTTAGACTGGAATTTAGAATAATTTTTTGTTTCATGAGAATTGAAAATTAGATATTGCTCAAAAAATAATTAAATAAAGCTTAGACTTACTTGATTCAATTTTTTTATGACAATTTTCTATTTTATGAGAACGGTATAAAAACTTATTTCGTTGACAATTTTTAAGTAATTACTACCTATGTCCCAAAATAAATGTCTCTTTTGGAGAACAGTTTCCCAGAAGATATATTCTTTTTGAGACAGAGTATTTTTTAAAAAACTCAATTGAAAAATGACTTATTTTCAAATAACTGTTTTTAATATTTTATGAAACAGTTTTCTGCTTTCCGAATTCTTGAAAACTGTATTTTTAAAACAAACGGCTTGTTTGGTTTGTAATTCTAAAAACAATTCTAAGAGAACTATAAAAGACTGTTATCTGGAAACATGAAACTTGTTTGGTTTGTAATTATGGAAACAATTTTCTGATCTCGGAAAACTGTACAAAAAACTCAATTTGGCTCAATTTTCTGAAAATTGTTTTCTGAAAACTAAGTTATAAAAAGACCTGTTTTCATATGACGGTCTTTTTATAGTTCTCTGAAAACTATTTATGAAAACTGTTTTCTGAAAACTCAATTACAAACCAGTAATTCTCTAAAAAAACCATTTTTATAACTGAATTTTCAAAAAACTGTTGTTCTCATTTAACTCTTTTTAATAGTTCGGATTGTCTAAATGATAATCAAGTAGCCACAACATTTATCCCAAAGTCTACAAGACTACAAGAGACCTTTTCTTAACATCTTTTGTGTTGGTGCTAGATCAAAATTATAACTCCAACAAATCATACATCACTAATCTTCCTCCAGAACTTCCAACATACACATAAGGTGGCAAGAAAAGAAATGGTGACCATACAACTCACTTCATGCTGTGCACAACAGCAATCTGCTGCTCAGCCAAAATTAAGTGCAAGAAAGGCTAATTTCGAAAAATGTGTATATAAAGTGAATCCTATTACTAAAAATGAGGGTCTAATAGAGCTTTTATTGACGGTAAAGTTTATCTGTCTTAACTGCAACCACAAGTACATGAAAATTGACATTTTACAGGACGACTTCCCCTCTCCCCACCACACCAATATTGGTCGATCATATAGAAACAGAAAACAACTCCAAGGAAGTGTCAACAAATTCACAAACCATGCTCAAAAGTAAGATTATGAATTTGATAGTTCATTGTTTTCCAAATTAAACACATTCAAACACTTCCACTGCTTCAAACAAGTACAAGTCATTTATTAATAGAGACACCAATTAAGCATCCATAAATTTTCCTTGCATTTCTGCGGTTGCTCCTTCTGAAGAAATAAACTTAGGACGTCTTAGTGGGCTGCCAGGGTTGGTACCTGGTCCAATCTCTCTGTCCAGGGTTGAGGGTGTGTCCCTTAGAATGATAAATGTACGCATCACCCTCTCCAGAGAAGTTCTCCTTGTGTTCGAGTCCATACCTTTTTGGTTTCAGCATCAGAAGCTGCAAGATACGTCTTTCAATTAACCAGTGTTTGGCTTTATATACTGGTGTCAGTTAAGTCATGTAAGTTGGGGTTAAGATGAACACACCTCATCTCCTGTGTGATCAGTTATGAAGTGGAGCCAACCATGCCATTCTGGTGGCACCTGAGACGCGTTGTAACGATCCTTCGACTTATATTCCACCCACCTGTGTCGTCCTACAAGAAAACCAATCCATCAGATGTGCTAATTTTGCCATCAAACCAGTGAAACGGGTCAGTTTTCTTAAACACGGGAGTAACTTCGCACGAGTATGCAGATGCACAAGCAAAAGGGCAGACAGTAAATTTAGGAGATCTTATGGGTCAATGGCTGATCATTATAAACAAACAGGTTTATCACTGTTCTGGCCACTGGGTTGGGGGTGGTGGGGAGAGAGAATTAGAACATCACTTTTTGTAGGAAAACCAACTCAAGATAAGGAGGGTACCTACCCATTTGAATGAGGCATGTACCATTAGAGTGATAAAGGTGATGGGAATTCGATGAATAAATTATATCTTGCATTAATGAATGCAATTTAAAATTGGGAATAGGAAAACAACAAGCAAAGATACAATAATAAATCCGTGAAAGTTGGATCTCCACACCCCAGTTGATAAAAATAAAATAAACTAAATTAGAGCAATGGAAAAGGCAACGTATAATTCTAGATCAGGTCGTGGGCACCCAGTGAGCAACAAGGAAATGTCCGCAAACCTTAGTCAACCGGTATTCATCTCTGGCAAGAGCAACTGTCGCAGCTGGATGAGGTCCATTCTCAGACCCAACCACTGCAATAACAACAGGAGATGTTGCAGCAAAGGCTACAGCAAAAAGGTCATCTCTGCAACAGTCACAGCAGCGACAAATCTCTGCTCCAGTTGTTGTGCAATCTCCTGGCTTGGATCTCCAAATATACAGAGAAAGAAACCTCTGAGGTAGAAGAAACAGAGTGTGAAGACTCTGATTGCTCAGGTTCTGAATGTTGTTAATTAAGTGAAGATGGGGGGAAAAAAGATGACAATGAGAACAGCTAGGAGAGCAAAGCTGCCGTCAACATTTACACTGCAATCTCCGGCAGAAGAAACAAAAAAAAGTGAAGAGACAACTGGTGTTCACACGGCTCAAGTGCACGAGGCAGATGGTACTTCAGCAATCACTGTAGATATTGCCATATCAGAAGGCAGTTTATTATGCTGCAATTCAATAGGCAGCCTTCCCATAGGGATGCAGGAAATCAGAAATGTGCCGCCACTATGTAATGAACTTAACAAATCTAATCAACAGCCGACACATGTCCTGCTATATAGACACACACACACTGAAGTTACGAAAATAAAGAATAGGACTTCCGGTAGCTCCTTCTGTAACCGAAACAGAAAGATCCCTTCCACATTTTCTAAAGAGCGGTTGTGATCTCCTAGTTTCCAACATCCATAAAGCGGGTAATTCAAAATTTCACATCCAATATGTGGATTCTATTCTTAGAACCCGTGCTTCTTTGGGTCATCCACTTGATAACCCAATGGGTGTTCCTAGCAGGACCCGACCCGTGACCCGATTGTGGGCAATTGGGGCATTCTATTTGGTAAACTATGGAAGAAGATAAAATTAAACATAAGACTAAATATGTAAAGCCAACCACGAAAAACGGAAAATTTTCTATATCATTTTCTTCCGATGAATTATGGAGAGGATGGTTGGACTATTTTATTGAAGGTAAATTACCCTACATGTTGAAAATACTATAGAAAGGTTTGGGTAAATATGGGCTTAAAGAGGTAATAACCTTGGAAAATGGTTTGTTTCTCTTCAAATTTAACAATGTGGAAGGGAAAGAAACCATCATTCAGAGTGGTTCATGGCATAGGCATATTGCAAGGGAACTAATCATTTTAAGGCCATGGCAACCTAGAGTGTGATTGCTAAAGGAAAAGTTGAATTCTAACCCAATTTGGGTTAAGTTCTTTAATGTTTCTTCGGAATGTTGGACTCGCAACAGATAGAGCCAAATCAACCCCTTCGATTGGGTGAACCAATGGTACCAGAAGCCTATGTTCGAGTTTACATGTAAACAGAGATATCCATCAATGACCCCCTTCCTCCATCCTTTAATTCTGACCTACAAAGTGTTAATTTGGAGATTATGGCTGAATACCCTTGGAAACCTCAAAATTTTGATACTTGTAAAGTACTTGGCTATAACACATGTAAGCAAGTTACCCAAGATGGTTGTGCATCCAAGGAAATTATTAACATTGGGAGGTCACCCATAAATAAATAAAGAAAGAATAAAAAGGCCAATTTTCATTCACTTTCTATTGAAAACTGCTTGAATAGGAAAGAAATAATCCTATTTCTAGCAAAATTCAAGAAACAGACGATCAAGGTAGGAGCACCTTAGGTAAAGATGGATTTTCAAAAAAGAATGAGAGTATCATTCAAAATTTTGATTCTGCTGTGGTGCATGTGGATGAAGTTAAAGACTTGAAATCATTAAGCAGTCTCAAGATGATCAGAGTTAATGCCAATTCTTCTAACGTTGCATCACCCTCTTCTTGTAACTCCCTCCATTCCACTTCTCGTGATAATAGGAGGGTCCCTCCTAGTTACTATGAGAAAGGGACAGTTTGCTATATCAGAAAATCCTTTCATATTTTAAGCTTTGATCCACTCAGGGTGTGAGTGGTTTTTTGTTTGCCATTGGTGCTTCGGCTTTGCTCATAGGCATGAATTTTTACTTGCACAAGTTTCACTAAGTGGGACCATATAGATCAAATCATCCAGTTGCTTGTTACATATCATTTAATTGATTCTATTTGTAGTAGCATCAAAGGAAGATTCGTACGGAATTCTTGACAATTATTCTCTCCCAAATAATTTTATCAATTGTGATGACAGTTCCAATATTTGTAAGACTCCATTCTATAGTATTTTTGTGTCAAATGCTATGGAAAAGAATAATAAGTTTCACTCTCATGATATGACCAAATTCACCTAACAACTCTGCTAAATGATAATGATGATTATGACTACGATGATGATAAGAAGAGGAAGAAGCGACACTGACCATATTGAGTGTCAAGTTTCTCATAATACTTGTTACCAATTTTATCAACTCCCACAAGCGTTGCACCTATATTGTGAATCTTGGTTTGCCTGAAATCAATCACAAACAAAAAATTAATACAGTTGCTAAAAGATGATGTTAAGGAAGCAAACAAATTGAAATTTTATTTCATTGGAGACAGCTGATAAACATTTTACTTAGTCTTCATATGAGGGGGAGAAAATGGGAGCCGTTGTTTTGGGGGGGTTGTCGCCCAAAAAAATGCGAGAAAGATGGAAAGAGTTGCAATAACATGGACCCTCCTATTTTAGCACTTTTTACCATAAACAATGTGACCATGTTCAATGTGCCAACATTGTTAATGGATATTTGACACTCTTTTCAAACACCAACACCAATATCTCAGCTCATCGCATCCTTTTCACTAGTACCTAAATAGTGAAGAGGAGTGAAACATTGGCTATAAAATTAATTGTGTTTACACGCGTATGTGTCAACATGAAACAGTATTTCAAAAGGAAGAACTAAGATTTTAAAAGCCAATTAAATGGAAATGATAACGCTCTGTACATTAAATAAATTTGGAAACAAAACCAAAACTAGAAACAGGTAGGAATAGACATCCAAAGGGGCATTAAAAAAAGCTTTCTGACACATTGCTTTCTTCTCCAGAATTATTTAATGACAAATGTTGGTGAGGAGAATTAACTCCCAAGCTCTTTGATATGGCCAAAGCCACATAATTTCAAAACAGATCCGAGGCGGGATATGGTAAGCACGAGTCATGTGGAGAGTGGTTTCACTAGCCAAAATCTGCTTTATGCACAGAACATGCAGAATGTTCTGGAAGATCTTTCGAGTAGATAATGTATCCATGAAAATGGTTGGTGACGTTACAAAAGGGCCATATTTGTGTTCAAAATTAGACACTTTGAGCTGAATGGACTAATTGTCTATATGTACCCAGAGATGACGTTTTGTCCCCTTAAAAATGAGTCAAAATATTTGTACAAGGCCTTAGTCTGGGATTGAATTGATATACATTTCAACTTGTGAGATGACTCAATAAAATCTTGCAACATTGCAAGCAACTCATGAAAAATTTGCCAAGTCAGATTGATCAAAAGATGAGGTACATCAGAATCCATTTAACCAAAAGAAGTTCGAATTTGCTAGATCAAATACATGTAGAGAAGACCCAAAACCCTTTTTAATTTCTTCAACTTCTATCAAGGTTTTACTTATGAAAAGAAAAAAGAAAATCTCCTATCAAGGTTTTGGAATAAAGTTTGCAAATTTAAAGCACCCAAGTTCTTGTTCTCCATTCCTTAAATTTTTCATTTTTTTTGAAAATATTTGACTCTTACATGAAAATATTTGAGTATTGCTTGAAAAGTATTATATCATTTCATTGGCATTCAAACTGAATTCAAAATCTTTGTTGCACTTATAACCTAAGTTACAATTTCCACCCACATTCTAGCAATTCATAGACTAGTGACAATATAGGAGCCACAAGTTCCTTAAAACAGTATGTACTTATGTTTCACTGTGACAGTATTAACCCTTTACCTTCAAAATACCTGAACCCCAACAGGAGATGAATGAATAATAAGCCACATGAAATATAAAGATAAAGAAAGTAACAGTTTGCCATATAGAACATGAAGAGATACAGATTCTAAACGGTTGGAAATATTTAGCCATGAATTTAAAGTAGTTCTCTTTTCCAAATATAATCATACTTTTTTGCTAAAGATCTTCAAAGAACCAAACCCTGTCAAGTATGAGTAATACAGTTTGACTTACAAAAGGTTTCCATCCGGGAGGCATCTCCTGTAATATGGAAAAAATAAAACAAAGATCAGTCAATATAGTTATAAAATTATAAATTACTGAAAAGCAATAGATCAATTATGCTAATAATTCAAAAAACATGCCACTTAATAATACAGTTCATGTCAGGCTATAAGTACATATATAAAAAAAAAGGTTCAAATGTTCCTGTAAAAGATAATTTCAGGGTAAAAATTAACAAGGCAAAAAATTCTAAGTAAATTGTGCATAAGGAGGCTGGAAAGCATATTGATGATGTTGAGTCTGCAATATAGGCCCCCTGATCAATCAAAATGTTCAGCAGCTGGGATGAACTTTTCAATACCACTAATTGTTTGAGTTTATCCTTAAAGGAGTTCGTTGATTGGAAGACATATATAATTTATCGAAATACCCATAAAATTTTCAGACTTGGTGGCCAGTGTGCATCTCAATGTCTTACCCTTCCTTCTGGATTTCTCATTTTGGATATAGACCTTATGAAGAAGAATTACATTTTATTCGAATATGAATCATAAAATTTCGTTGCTTGCGAATCTACCTAACAAAAACCTTCAACCTGAGCACTGGCACAACTATTTTGCTAAGTTGCGGTGAAAATATATAAATAATTCGAGAACAAACAATATGAAACTTAAATTTCAAAATCAGTGTTTTCATTTATATAACCTCAACATTCTCAGCAACCAAACGCAAGGTAAAGCAGACGTATTCTCGAGATATAGGATCTTTCAATAACAAGAACAATTTAAATTAAGATATAGTTCTATCGAAACAAATTCAGATTCAAAGTTCAAAAGGATTTTCTCAGCAACCAAACATGAAAAGAGGAAAAAATACACATGTTTGCAGATGTAGATATAGGGGAAATGACTGACAAATATCCTTCTTCTTTGAGCCCCCTGATGAAGTTCCCGATGCCTTTCTCCTTGATCGCCTTCAACGCGCTCCTCACCACCGACGCCATATCTCTCTCTCTTCAAACGAACCTCTGTTCGCTTCTTCTTTTCCTCTACGAATTCACATGAGTAGAGATTATCTGAGAAAACCAAAACTTTGGGGGCAGGTTTGTGTAAATTAACCGAACTAAAGGGGAGATTCGTGTAATTATGACAAATCATAGGGAGGTTTGTGTAAATTATTCAAAATATTTTATATTAATCTTGATTTCGTACTCCGGTGGATCCAATTTTGATTGGAATTTGATCCGGTTATTTGAATGTCTATTGAATTATAAATTTAAAAATGATTAGAATCCGTTAAATCGTTACCTTAATAAATTGAATATGAATTATATAAAATTTGACACTATAAATACTATACATATATATTTATATATGCGTATCAATTATGGACATTGGGATAAATGGTGGAGATCAAAAATGGAGAATTGGTCGGACTTAAGTGAGGAGCACTCGATAAAGAGTATGGTTGTTTTTCTTTGTTGACAGATTTGGAAGGCGCGTAATACTTTAGTGTTTGAGCAAAAATGGTGGGATGCAATGGAGATAGTTAGAATTGGAGAAGCTCACTATTTTGAATTTTTAAATTGTAATGTTGCTCTTTTTGCTACTATGAGATCACACTGTTTAGGGCAAAACAACTATGGGAATCCTGTTAGGTGGCAAGCTCCTCCAGTGGACGTGATTAAAGTTAATACTGATACATCATTTTGCAAAGTATTACGTGAGGCTGGAGGTGGAATTGTTCTGCGTGATCATAGGAGAAAAGTGTTGCGGTTGGCGTCATTTTTCTTTCAAAGAGTTTCAGATCCGTTAGTGGCTGAAGATTTGGTGCTTCGAAAGGTTATGGACCAGGTTATTCGTTGGGGTTACAGTCGTATTGTGTTTGAGATTGATGCAGAGGTCATTGTCAAGTCTGTGATGTTGAATGGGTCTTCGTCTTTTTTACTTAGCCTTCTAGTAGAAGATATCTGTGAATGGCTTCATCATCACCCTGATTTTGATTTAGTGTAGAGGTTGCCCGCACAGTTACTGCTTATGCTTTACAAAATAAAAATTACATGTTTATAGGATGATAATTTCCCAGAGTTTGTTTTGCATAAAGCTAGCTTCGATGTAATTTATGATTCTAATCAATAAATATGTTTTCTTGCTTGCGGGGAAAAAAAATATGTGTATCAGTTATTTATTGTTAAATTTATATATTTAATTATTTATCATTATCTTCAGAGTTATATTATGTACCATTCTATATATTAACAATTATCCACCCATCTAAATTCATAGTAATTAGACACGTCAATGAAGAATATTTTTAATCCAATTCAAATCCAATCCGATTCGCATATAGATTGAAACATTCAATATGATAATTCATTAGCGTTGTGAATCCAATAATATGTTAGTTAAACTAGTCGGACATGAATTTGGTCGATCCAATCCAAATTCAATTCGTTTACAGGCCTAGTTCCATGCTTATACAATCGAAACCGAATCCAACCATGAAAAAACGATAACAAACTGTATGATCTAGTCCATAAACTGATTTTTCAGTGCATAGTAAAGTGTTATATTTTCTGTCTCAAAAATAGTATCTCTTGTGAGGAACCGCGACTCTTTAATTTGGGAAAGTCATGTTCCCAAAATAGACTCCTTTTGGAAAAGAAAAAGTATCATTTAGGTGATTATCATAATTTTTTTTTTATTGAAATCATTTAATAATCTAATTCAATAATTAATTCGAAGCAACATCCAAATAGACAAGTTTAATAATATAATTTGAATATCAATCACTTAAAACAGGGTAAAATATAAAATGATTAACTTAATTTTGAATACTTAAAATTCAAAATAATGTAAAAAATAAATAAATAAATTTCAATTTTTATTACTACTTACAAACTTCAACACTTTATTTTTTATTTTTTTAAAATTAATTTTCAAATTTATCAAACAATATCTTAGTGAAGTTAAAATATAAATTATGACTCTAAAATGAAGGGAGGACAAAGTAATTCTCCTACCATTTTACTTCGATAATATAGCATGTGTATTTTGAGAGTGTAATAAATCTATAGTACCGGCCAAAATGCAGCATAAGTAGAAAATTAAAATCTCGAAGTAACTGTATTGCATATTCAAAATAAAGATAATCATTTGAAAAAACCCAACGAACTTGATATTTATTAAATTGATTATAATTTAATTTAAAGTTGGTATAATTAGCCGAACAAACTTGATATTTATTAAATTTTCAAATAAAATGTGGATTATGATCCATCAGAATTGATAACAGTTTGATTCAATTTAACATAATATGATATGCCACATGTATTGTTCAATTAATTTGTATTTGATAAAACAATAATAATAAAAATGTTGTATAAGTAATAACATGATAATTTATTGAACTCAAAATGATCTCAATTTTTCATTTTTCCTCTTATTTCACTATTTATTTTTTTTTTCCATTTTCTTATTGCGTCTGTTTCTTTAATGAATAATTGAAAACTCAATATTTCATCCATTTTGCCTCACACATGCCTATATATTTTATCATTCTATATATTTTTTTCTAATATATGTTTGTTCATCTTTTTGATATTGAATTTCTTAACAAATATTTATACTATGTTTGTTCATCTAAAAAATACATTCACATACCCACTTATTCATATAAAGATTTAAATTCACCACTTTTTTTTATTTTATTTTAAAAAGGAATGACTACAGTCTTTGACGATTAACAAAATTCACACTACTTAATAAATCGAATTATTAAATAAAAATTCAATAAATAACATAGATTTTATAAATTTACAGGACAGGACAAGTGGGTGTGGGTATATTTTTTGTCTTTGAAAAAAAAAGAAAAAAGAAAATTACAAGTACGTAAATCGAGTATATTAGAAGACAAATATTTTAAGACAAATATATATATATATATATACAGGTTAAAGTGAACTCGCAACGCCCTCGTTGCGGTCGGGCCACCCTGCCTACTCGGGGTGGCTCACCCGGACATCTTCTGGGCCGGGTGCTTAGCGTGATACTGGATTAAGGATTGGGTTTGGCTCTGATACCAACTGTAACGGGTGGGCGCTTGCCCATTTACCCAAAAACTCGAACTATTGGGTAGTACTGCATATTCACCCATTTATACCCATGTCACTTTTCATCCGAATCCAATGTGGGACAAGTTTTTCCTGTAACAAGGCCCGCATCGCCGGCCTATAACTAAAAAATCAGACTGATATATGTACGAACGGTCATGAATTGGTTCGGGTCCAAAATCGCATCGGGTCAAGTCATAAAGATTGTACACGTGGTGAAAACTTATTCGATGAGCTCTCACCCAATGACGCAAAAAGCACCCAATTCCTCGCTCTGCCATATTTATCAATAGAGAGATAAATATCGTTATACATATAATAAAATGCTGCTCGAGTATTCATGCAAGGTTTTTTCTTCGACTGATTCAGGCAATTCAGATTATCACTGACGAAAACCTAAGGCAGATTTTTACAGGTAAATCTTGTACAAGTTATCACATCTAACAATTTATTTTATTTTATTTTCTTGTTCTTCCCAGTATTAGGGTTTCATCGATTAAGCATATTTGAGTCTTTTATTAGATATTCGATTCCTACCCATCTTGGTAATTGGATTCAATAAATCCGTTTATCCTTTGATTTTGATAGATTTGAATTTGCATGTTTGTTGTTCAAAAAATGAGTATATTGATGTTTTTCTATATTTTAATGTACTTAATGGACATAAACAGTCAATTTGATCGGCGAGGAAAAACCAAGAAAAGAAATGAAAGATCAAGGGAACTTTGGATCCTAAGGCTGTCTCGTTAGTGGGTTTCAGGGTACGATAAATTGACTCCACATTTGTCTGGTTAACAAAAATCAAATTAAGTCGGTCTAGAGGAGGTTTTTGTTTGTTTAATCCCAATAGGATTATAAATATTAACTTACTGCGCATTTTTAGCAACCGAGCTAGCATTGAATTCTACAATTATGGTATATTGGTATGCTAGTCATTTGAAGTATCATCTTTTGGCGTTTCAATGAATTAAATTTGTAGATTCTTATGGAAATACCTGACATATTAGATAGCATGGAAAACAAGATAGTTTTGAGAATTTAATTTGAATTGGAATTGGGTCTCATGTCTTTTTGATGTGAAGTTTAATTTTTCTTTCAAATGGAGTTTAATTAATTGAATGATGTGGTGCAGCATTGCGTGAAGCAAAATGATGAAATTACGAACGTATGCGGGGCTTAGTTTGGTTGCTACACTTGCTGTTATTTACCATGCGTTTAACAGCAGAGGCCAGTTCTATCCGGCAATGGTTTATCTGTCAACCTCCAAGATCAGTTTGGTGCTTCTCCTCAACATGGGTCTCGTCATCATGTGCATTATGTGGCAGCTAACTAAAAAGGTCTTCCTTGGGTCCCTTCGAGAAGCGGAGGTAGAGAGGCTGAATGAACAGTCATGGCGGGAAGTCATGGAAATACTTTTCGCTATCACTATTTTCCGGCAGGACTTTTCAGTTACATTTCTTGCCATGGTTACTGCTCTCTTGTTAATTAAGGCTCTGCATTGGTTGGCTCAAAAGAGGGTTGAGTATATTGAAACAACTCCATCTGTTCCCATGTTGTCTCACATCCGAATAGTTTCTTTTATTGGATTCCTCCTCCTTCTGGATAGTCTCTTCTTGTACAATTCTTTGAAGTATTTGATACAAACACGACAGGCTTCAGTTTCTCTCTTCTTTTCGTTTGAGTAAGTTATTCTACCTTATGCCTTTTTTACTGTTATTGTTTTCATTCAGTCAGAAACGTGCTATTCATTACTGTCTTAATGTGTTCAGTGACCATCTCTACATGCTCTTGTTGTGTCCATAATGCTTGTGTGAGGAACCTGATGCATCATTAGAATCACTAGCTCAGACAGGTGTTAGGAGTAACCGCTAACATCTTATGATTCTTATCACGGAGTAGTTAACAGGATGTATGAGGTTTAGAAGTTTGGTTCATAGGTATAAGAAGAATGAAAGATTAGAGAGAGGAAGAAGAAACCCCTGTAGGTCTCCCATTAGGTTTGGATTGTGTAAATCTATCATGTCACCAATATTTAGGTTTACACAGACGTATCTCAAGACCCTCGACCCGAAGAGAGATTCTTTTTTGTTTTTGGATAAGCAAAGTTCATTAAAGAACGCTCAAAAGGGAAGCACACCCGTATACAAATGCACAAAAGCCAAGAAGTTTCTAAACTCTAAGGCTATCCACAAAATCTACAAAGTCCTCCATAGATTTACATTGCCACACTTTGGTTTTTTTTTTTTTGATAAGTATTGCCACCCTTTGGCCTAAGTAAAAAAAAAAAAACACTCAAAATGGAACGTTTCAACGTACATAGGAGTCTCTCCCCATCAGAAGATCTCATATTCCTCTCCACTCCACAAATCCCTCCACAATTAAAGAGGGGTCACTCTCCAAGCATCTTGGGCTCGACTATCCACTATACAACCTCTCCAAGTCTCGAGCATACTTGATGTGAAATCCGACAAAACCCAATGAACTCCCTAAATAGAAAAGAACTTGGACCAAACTTCTCTAGCCACTGGGCAATGCAACAAGAGATGGTTCACCGACTCCTCATCTCTCTTGCACATGCAACACCAATTCGCAATGCTTAGTTACCTTTCAGGTTGCAATCGTCAAGATCCTTCCCAAAGCTGCTGTTCACCTACAGAAATCTACCTTGAGAGAAGATTTTGTACGCCAAATAGCCTTCCAAGTTCCAAGGGAACGGGGGACCTTGAGCAGGCATCCTCACCCAATCCGCCTGCTGACTATGCAACAAAGCTGAAAACACAATGATCTCCTCCATCTGCTAGTCCTACAAATGCCGCTCGAACTGCACATTACATGTCATCCTCCTGTAAAATAGTGAACAAATCTAACCTAAAATGTGATGCGATTGCTGTGAGGTTAGAATTGCGCAACTAACATAGAGAGAGCTTCTAGGCTCCCTAGCACAGCCCATGCGAAGCAAGAAGGACGAAAGAAGATAAAAGGAAGATAAGAGAGAGAAAGGTCTCTGTGGAGTTACCCCCATAGGCCCATACCTTCTTGAAGACACAAGAGTATATATAGGGAAACCTCTGAGAGCATTATTAGATTCTAGCTGTCGTTTTTATTTTTTCTGCTTATCAATATCTCATATCATCTTACATTCAATGTCGCTTCAGTTGATTTGTCTTGTACATTGCATTTGACCATTGATGACTGTGGACTAGCCACCTCCCAATGGCCTCCAAATGTCACAAGGTTAGACAAACTCCCTGACAATAATGGTTTACACCTTTTCTCGGGCTCTTTGTAGCAGCAGGATGTGATATCACTGTGTGTGGATAGAAATGTACTGCTTGGAATGCTCAAAATGCTAAGAAAATCGTATAAATAATGCTAATTATTATAGATAAATTTTAGCATTTATAGAAATTTCACGTGGGTCAATTTGTCATATATATGAATCTATGTAAATAATGCGGAATAGTTCCGCTAAATTTTACCTTTTGTCTTTTATAAAAAATTCAACACGAGTCTCTTTTCAGTTGCCTGTTGCATAGTAGTTGTCTTGATTTTTTGCTGGTGTCTGTTGATATTAATATAAAAGGGAGCAAGCATATGTATGTGTCTCTATATGTCAGTTTGACATTTACATTCACAAATTTTCTTATCTCTATTTATATCTCAAATTTGCTTCTAATATATAGTTTGGTATTAATCTTTCTAATCTCCTTGTCTTTGAGGTAGTTCTAATTGCAAACTCTAAAATATGTACCTCAGATACATGATACTGGCGACAACAACTGTTTCAACATTTGTAAAATATGTTTTCTACGTCAGCGACATGCTTATGGAAGGACAGTGGGAAAGAAAGGCTGTCTACACCTTTTACTTGGAACTTATTCGGGACTTGCTGCACTTATCCATGTATCTGTGTTTCTTTCTTGTGATTTTCATGTAAGTATTTCATCCAACCTTGGCTTTCTGCATGCCTGCATATGCGTGCATGCACGAAAACACAGATATATATACGCATATCACATGGATGGTGGTGTTACTGTATTTGTTTAGGCGTATAGTTTTGTTATTTTAACTTCTAAACCTAGTAGGGATGCTCTAGGTGCTAAAAATGCGGAGTGAAAGCTGGAGTTGTAGCGGGATTGAGAGAGCATTAAATCTGAAAAATATCTTGGGTCCAGACCATCATAGGAGTCTTTGCCGTTTATGCCAATAGTTGTGTGTGTATTTGGGTAGCGTTTATCTGTTTATATTTTGTCAAAGTTTTATTTTCATTAAGTGCTTGAAAATTTTATATGCAAGTAATTTGTATGAAAGAAAAGAAGAAGCTTTATGTTAACAACATATCCTACATAGCCAAGCTATGAGCTATTCTACCTATTTCAAGGTGGCTGAAAGTTTGAGTCTTATTTTCTGTTGGTTCTAGTTTGGGCGTTAGTGGGCAGTGGAATAAATTAGGTGTTTAAAGTGTATTATGCTCTAAATAGAAATACGATGAAAATGGCTAGAAAGCAAGAATATATGGAGTAATTCTACAAACAGAGAGTTTGATTATGGCCCTACCTGGGTGGAGTAGGGCTCTTTGAGAAAGCTTTTGGGTGTATTCTTATGGCCCTATGTGGGCGGAGTAGGGCTCTTATGCTCCGTTTGGACCGTTTGGTTGGAGGGATGGAAAAATTGATGGAAGGGAGAGGAGGAGGGAATGAAGGATGGATGCGGCATTGCTAGGGAAGGGAATACTTTATGTTTGATTCAATGGAAGGGATGGTAGAAAAGATAGATGGAGTGACGCCATTTTTTTGTTTGGTTGGAAGGACGGGAATGGGAGTTTTTATATATTTTTACCAATATACCCTTATTATACTGTGTGAGAATTTCATTAGGGTTTAACAAGTGATTCTGTGAGTAATTAAAGGTTAAAATTGGTAGTACATATTTGTAGGTTTACTTTTCTTTCTCTCTCCCCCCGCTTTCGGCCAATTTTGGACGGATAAAAAACTTTCTATAAACACGGGGTAGGAGGGATGCTTCCTCCTCTCTCTTCCACTCCTTCCAAGTTCCAACCAAACAACGGAAGCTGCTTCTATCCCACCTTGTTCCCTCCTTCTAAAATCCTTCCTTCCAACCAACATAGCATTAGGGAAGGCTTGTCTTTGTGTTTCTGTAAGTAAATACACCAAGTGCTAGCAAGTATTTCATTTTTTATCATAATTTAAATTGCTTTATGTTTTTAGTTGTTCAAATAAAAAAGAAAAAGAAAGCTTCTGCCATGAATGGAAATCCAACACTTCATAACTAACTTAATGACCTCAATCTTGTTTGAATCAGAAGATTGTTGTAGGGCTGTCTGATGAGAAGTTCGGTTACTGAAACGCAGAACAAATTTGGGAGTTTAATATATAAGTAGTCCTGGATTGGCAAAGCTAATTTTTCTGTTTTAGGTGTTTGCTAATTATCTGTTGGTTCAGTGGTTCAAAGTCATCTTGTATTGGGTGAGGGGTGTTGGGATGACGAATTTTATTTTGCTTTTGGTGTCAAATTACTACCATGTGTTCCTAAATAGTGATTACTCCGTTGCAATCTTATGAAGAAGGTGGGTTGGTCCAAGTAGAGAGAGGAAAAAGAAATGAACTGCTCTTAAATTTTTTTTTGGAGACTATGCTCTCCCGTTCGCAAATGTCAAAGGAGAAGGCTGTGATTTCCGCTGTCCAGTTTGCACTGATTGTTGATGTGAATGAAGTGGAGCTGCTCAGAGATCGATAAGGAAGAATGGTTTGACCAAACACTTTAACATGTCAAATACTTGATAAAATGGACAAAAAGGCTAAATTTTCCATTTTCCTTTATAACGCCTTGTAATAAAATACTGTATAGCTTCCTTGCTTTGTTTTACTTTCTTTCCTTCCATAGCCCATGCACCATTGTCTTCTAGTTCTGAGGTAATATGACCTCTTGTGAGAAGTTAAAACGTTGTTCACCTTAAAAAAAACCAATAGTAATAATGAAATAATTTCTTCTTTTACATTTTTTTCTCTTCTTTATTTCCTCCGGGGCTTTCTTCGATTTTACATTTTATCATAAGGCATGTTTGTAATTTTGCTACAATTGTTAATTTTCAATCATTTGGTTTCTCAGGAACTATGGTGTGCCTTTGCACTTGATTCGGGAGCTTTACGAAACATTTCGTAACTTCAAGATTCGTGTTGCAGATTACATTCGTTACCGGAAGATCACCTCAAATATGAATGATCGTTTCCCAGATGCAACACCGGAAGAGCTGAATGCGTGAGTTGTTTACTTGGTCTTGCCTTTAACATGTAGGTCTTTTTTGTAAATTAATTACTCTCCTTTAGTTTTCTGAATTTTTTTTATGCTTATGTAGAAGTGACGCAACCTGCATTATTTGTCGTGAGGAGATGACCACAGCCAAGAAACTAATCTGTGGCCATTTTTTTCATGTGCATTGCCTTCGGTCATGGTTAGAGAGGCAACACACATGTCCTACTTGCAGAGCCCTTGTTGTACCACCTGAAAATGGGACAAATACGGCTGGTTCCCAAACTGTGCACCAACAAGGTAATTTTCTTTTTCCATTTTTGGTTCATATCAAGCTGTTTCATATTCCGCAGTGTATTGGGAAAGAATCTAAATTTTTAGTGAAAACCTATAAATTGTAATCTTTGACCTTTTCGAGGCAGTTCTGATTTTTTGAAATTTTACTGCATGGTCCTTCCAAATTTTCTCTACCATTTTATTATTGAAAAAAAATAATAAAAACTATCTGCTTCATTATGTTCATTTAATACCAACTCCATCTTTAACAGTATCAAATACATCAATAAATGCTAAAAACATTTTAGTTCAAGGCTGTTCACGGTGAAGCTTGTAACACTTGTCCAATCTGTTGTAGTGTTGATCATCATTAGTTTGATACTAAACAGTGGGGCGAATGGAAATTTTGGCCATCACATGTAAAACTTAAAACATTGTCGGAATATATGGTTTGCATCAAACTGTAAAACTGATTTGATAAAATTTCTTGTAACACTGGCTATCTGTCTTGATTAGGCACAGGAACAGGCACAGCAAGTGCATCTTCTCAGGCTTTAACTGGTGGTGGTGCGGCAAATAATAACATTAGCCAGCATCAGGCAAGACTCCAAGCTGCTGCTGCTGCGGCCTCAATATATGAGAAATCTTATGTTTACCCTTCCGCGAGTACATTAGCGTGGTACCTACATTTCTCTGTTGGATTTTTGTACTTTGATGGCATTTGCTTATAAATTTAGTTCTGAATTGAAATTATAGTCCTGGAAATGCATGCAAAAACCTTGTGTCTTGTGTGTTTGTCAAGGCTTTTGCCTGCTTAAAAACCACACCCTTCAAGGCAGCACTGCCTTCAGATCATTAGTTGTCATAATGATTATTCCTCCTCTTTCAGACATTTGCCTGCTATTTTGCCATACTCAATCCATGCTATTTGCCTAGAGTGGAAATGAGATTTCCAAGGGAAAAAGGCAACGGGATGTTTTCAGCTGTTGGAACTTGGAACAGCTGAATTTAGTTCTCTCTTTTTATTTTAGAGATTCGGAAATTAGATGTTTGAAAGGAAAATATGTGTGTGAGGAAGAGAGAAAATTAGAGTCATGGTATTAGATTCCTCTTGAGTAATACAACCAAACACCAGTCCATGGCAATAAAGAGATCTGGTATCAGAGGGTAAGAGACCTTCCATCCCTATCTCTGCCCTGGCAGAAATACTCGTGTCTTCCGCAGCTTTATTCATCAACAGAGCTTGTCTATTACATTAAACCGGACCCCCAATGATTCATCAATATATGGAAATGGTTTGGTATGGATTCGAATCAATTTATTTTGTCTTGGGTTTTGCAATCAGTATGCACTGGGTACAACAGTCTTTAAATAGGAGTAATCTTCCTACAAGCTTTGTTTAACTGGTTAGCTTTCTCATATTTAGTTTCAGAAGATTGATTTGGCAAATGTAGTTATAAATTTACGTAAAGAGTTTAAATTTGTAATTATAATTTTTAATAGGCAGTAAAATTTTCAATGTGCAAATTATAAATTGACGCAGATAGTTTTGCCGCTGAGGAAATGAGTATTATATGTTGTACAGTAATGGATTGAGTAGTGTTGTTTTGTGGACCTCATGGTATACCACCACACTTCATACTTTTCATCAAGTCTGAACAGTTGTTTCCTACTCTCCCGTTGATTGCATTTACCTAACTGCTTTCACGAGTTCCCTTTTTTTTTTTTTTTCCTTTTCTTAATAAGTAGGTATATTGGCATCAAATATATGCTATTGACTATTACTCAAATGAGGTTTCAGAAAATCTTGAAGGGCTGAAATACAGCTTTGGATAGAAACTTCAGAACATGGGTAAAAATTTGAAATATGAGGGTGCGCACTTATCCGCATCAAAAGATATCTTTTGGGATTGGTTCTTCTGGAAGCTTTGGAGGGATAGAAAGGGACAATAGTTGGACTCTTTTTACTTGTCAAATCTGATCCTCTTTCTTAATCAATGTTTTGGTGTGATTGTTTTATAGATCAAATATATGATCTGCTGGGGTTGAGCTATTTGGGGCATTAATTACATTCGCAGTTGTTAAAATAAATATGAGAGAAAGAGAGAGCCTTTAATCTTTATGCAGTCAAAACTTTTTGTGGGATTGGTTTGTCTAATATGGATCAAGTGAGTTGCAGTTCGCGTCCTTTCTTGATTCTTGGATTTGGGAGTCATGTGTTACCTGGGAAACTTCACTTTACAGAATTTGAAGTCCATTTTCTTCATTTGAATAGTTGAACTTCCAATTTTTTTTTCCCTGTACAATTTTATGGGCCAATGAGGTTAATGACATAATGGTGCTGGATGATGTACCAAAGCTTGTCACTTTAAGAAATAATGTGATGCCAATGTAATTATTTGACAATATTTGCTATTTTGAGATTATGGCAAGGATGATGATTTGCTATTTTGAGATTAAGGCAAGGATGATGATTTGCTATTTTGAGATCTTCAGGTTTTATGCAATTATAGTTTGCATATGATGCTTAAAAGCAAAGAAGTTGACGTGATTTTCTTTTTACTTGCAGGTCCCCCGGGTATGCTTTACTCCCCCAAATATATGGCAACTCTACAAATAAAGATTTGGGTCGAGAACAAGCTTCCAATAGAGACCCACAACATCAATTTGCAACCCCTGGTGGACCTGCAAATGTCCATTTTCCTCAGTTTCCATACGCTGGTTTGGTCCCTTTTCCTGGGGCCAATATGAATTATGGAGAGGGGTCAGAGAGTAATCCAATTAGATCAGACTCCCAATTGGAGGTTCAAAAAGAATTTATTCAGCACCAGATTGAGGTATTGTAACTTGATGTGCATATCTTTCCCAGAAATTCATTTCATATGCATATCTGGAATACTGTTATCATCCTTTATATGATCCCTTAGTCTAATCAGCTTTTGCTTATGAAACTTAGGCTTCAGCTACAAGAAATTTTCATGATTTCTCCGTATATTGCAACGTTGGTAACTTTCAGTATAAGTAATGTCGTCTGCAATCTTCACACGCTTTTTGTACTGTTTTGGTTATAAATTCCTGGTGTACCTTATCTATGTATTTTTTTTTTGTTTGGGGGGGGGGGGGGGGGGGGGGTGGGGGGGAGGAGTGTTTGGTGGTGACAGAGGCAGAGTGACAGTATATGTTTCTATATAAAATATGACACACCTATTCCATTCTCTTTATTTCATAGAGGTTCAGTTTAAATAACATGAAATGTTTTTTAGCTTTGGCAAAGTGTTCTTTTTGTGCTATGTGGTGTACATGGGAGAAGATAAATAGGACTTTTTTATAGACTGGGAGCTATTCATGTAGAGACATAAACAACATTTTTTTTTTTTTTTTTGATATATTTATTCCCTTGTGATGTGGGATCCAAAATGTAGTGAATGAAATCTTCAGATTTTGTTGATAGCCTGCTTTTTGTGTGGATTTGTTGTCTTTTTTATATATAACACAGCTACATAAATATTACGTTTTCTCTCTTTTATATTCTTATTTAATTTGTTTAGAATAAAACCTTTGCTAATTTCAAATGATCATTTTCCAAAAAACTTTCCTATGTGTAGGTCACCTTCAAACCTAGTTTTCCCACTCTAAAGTCTAAACAAGTGATTTGCACTTGAGAAATTATATATTGTCTGGAGGTTGAGAGTATCTGTGTGAAGAAACTGAATCTTTGTTCTCTATTTCTGTTTGAAAGGATTTTTTATGAAATGAAATTTGAAATTTCAGATTGTAGGAATATATGAATCATCAATGACAAGGTTTTGAGATATGATTAGACATCATTCATGCACCTTGAGAAAGACAACAGGCCTAGGACCTTTGCCCTTAACCAGGGAGGTTCTTGACCCTTCACTGGGATCATATCATTTTCTATATCAACATTGTACCGTTCCTTTATCTTGTTAAGGGATTTATGGTTAAGTTGCGAAGCTAAAACACCTGATTCTTTTGCATATACGTAATGCTGCATAAATTATTTTGCATTGTTAATTTGTTACCAAGAACAAAAATTGTGTTTGCATATATATCTGCTAGCTCTCTGGCCTCTACACTAATAAATACTCTATGGCAGTAATCCAATTTTTTTTTGGAAATTTACTCCTACTTCAAATTGAATTGTAAGTTATGGACATAATCGTTACTAACTTTGGTCCAAGGGATAAAAGGAGTGATATTGGAGATGGTATTGTTTACTCAAATGTTGGTCATGGCTTGGATCAATGGCAGGGGTTCAGTCCTCATAACAGCCATTTTGTGCAAATATAGTGCCAATGGTCAGGTGGGTCCCAATATTCTCTTATCAGCACCATGCGTCAGTGGGACATACACTTGGTGATGCGCTCTTTATTGTTATACCCTGGGATGTGAAGTTATTGGTGCCCTTCTATGTATTCTAACTTTTCTATTGTATTGAGTGAAGAATGTTAAAGGAATTATTTTAATCTCTGTGATATTGTGGTTCATGATATATATATATATTTATTTACTGATTTATTTACCATAAAGGTTCACTTGTTATATTAATCTCTCTGATATTGTGGTTAATGATAAAGTAACACACACATGCTGATTTACTATACTATTATAGTTAACTTTTTTCCGCAATTTCTTCAACAGGTTTTACAAAACCAACTTCTACTTCTGCAGAAGCCAAAAGGCGAGAAAAGCATGGTGGCACCTTCTGATAGCAAGGGAAAGACGGCTGCCTCACCATCTTCATCCATTTCGGACTGTGGTCGACATGAGGAGTCGACATGAGGATCATGAAGAGATCAAGACAGACGTTGCACAATTGTAGATGTGTAACAAGGTGACTAGATGCTCGGATTTTTTTAAAGGAAAAACAAAAAATGTCCCTCTTTTTAGAGCAGCTTAGAGATCATACTTCATATGTGAAACATCTTTGTACCTTGGCAAAAAGTGTAAAATTTGCATGTGCAGTACAAGGCTATAATGCCTTTTGTTCCTGTCTATCAGCCTCTTCTTTCTTTAGTTACCAGGAATCCACATTCGAGGCTTTCATTTTATTTTATTATTATTATTTTTTAATGTAATCTTGATTTACAAGGTGTAGGAAAACTGGAAGGTCACCACTATTTTAGGATGGATTCCATTACTTGAAAGATTTCTGTGTCATGGTGGCCATTGGAGCATCTTTTTTCATAGTTTCTGGGATAGTTGAGTTGCTTGCTCAGATTTGTCAAGGGATGAATCTCTCTTTTGCTATGAACTGAAGCCACGTGAAATTAGGATCTTAACCCAAGGTTGTCTAAAGCAGTAAAGCACGGAATGGAGCGAATAGATGGCTGATCATGGTGAGTCCAGCTCAAGAGATTTCCAGAAATTAATATTAAATGGATTGATACTAAGCCGAAGTTAAAAAACCGAATTCGTGTAGCTTTCATTCGTTTGTAGTTATTTCTGGTAAGGTATCATACGCCAGAAGTCATTTTATTCACCTCTTTCTTTTACATTTTAATAGGATGGCAATGCTAGAAGATTCAAACAAACACTATAAAAGAAACAAATTCCTTGTGAAAGAAGTACAAGATTTCCAAAATCATCTTCGCACATTGGATCATTATTTTCATGGCATCTAAACAGAACCCATAGGAGTAGAGTCTCATTAGTTTACAGCGTTTTCTGGGTTGGGTTAAGCCATAAAGGCTAAATTTAAGAGCTTGAACCTAGGGGGTTGCGTGCACGTTGCATGCTTGAGCTTCACTAACTCTTCTTCTTAGATTGGAGGATGTTGAAAGGGCAATAGAAACAAGAAGCTTGTTAACCAGCAAAGAGTAAGATGTATGAATAAACAAACCACCACGCACACCTTAGATTTTGGGCAATGGCAACTTTAGTGTCAATGTTAAACAGATAACAACGTTCAAACCCCACATACCAAGAGCATCAAATTCAAATTGTACACCTTAGATTTTGGGTTAAGTTCGAACAGCATTAACTTCAACCCAGCCCATCTGGGGCCAATACATCGACCAAACAAGAAATAACTGCAACAAAGCTCACTTGACATCTTTCTCCCACAAATTCTACCATCCATACCCAACAAAGCAGAACTTAACCATCGGTTCCAAGATAAAACATTTTTGACATCTCTTCATCAAATTTAAAGCATTAAAAGTCATTGTTGAAAAGTAAGGTCCATGCTAAACAAATTAGTGGCCTTCTCTACATGTTTTAGTAACAAAAACAAAATGCTGTGATTGAGACAACAATTTACTGGAATTAGTAAATAATAATATTCCACCATTGGGATAAAACATTTCTTTCATGTTAGCAGAAGTCCAAACCAAGATAGCTCCACTTTATTTAATCGGGAAGCTTGAACTGCTCGTTGTTCTTCCAGCTGGAGAAACAAATAGACAAATTTATCAGTACAGATTCAGCATTCACAAGTCAATTTCTACTATTTGTTTTAAAGGGCACTCTCTTTTTTTCCGTTTCTTTTCCTTCTATTTATTTTTTAATTTTTTTTCCCAGGGGAAAGTGTGTGTGTGTGGTGAGCGTGTGGGGTGGGGTTGGGTGGGGGTTTACACAATTCAATTGCAACCAACTCTATAAAACAAGCATTATTTTTTTTCTTTTTGACTAGTATAAAACAAGCAAATTAGTGATCATTACTTCATCTATGAGGGTTAGCCTTCTGGACATAATGCCATATTGCCATGCAATTTGGTCTAGCTGCAGAATTTTCTTAGGAAAATTTGTAAAAAGTAGTCCAAAAGTTATTTATCTGTCATCCAGCGTGAGAGAAACACGTGGCACTGTTTCTTTCATTTTAAGTTTTAACAGGAAATAAATAAAATGTCTGCCAAAAAATTAAAAGGCTCCCATGACAAATACAGCCTTGAAAGAGAATGGAAAAGAGGGTGATCAGAATTATAGATGATGAAAATAGTCAAATACCTCTTTATATAGTAGTAGAAGAAGTCAGCATAAAGAGCAGTCTGAATTAAGCCTGATGTCCAAGCTGTATTTGACATCAAATCAGTAACTCTGAAACCTTGTAAAGGCAGGCAGATGTTAAGAAAACAAAAATAGAAAGCAAAAGAAGAAAAGCTTACGTATCCAGCGGACTTGGAGATTATCAATAAAGAAGCGATACATCCAATTGATGAGATATAAAGCTCGGTAAGCACTGCAGGCCAAAAGGAGAAAAATGAGAAAGATATCCACATTATCCTCACAGGCTCAGTCCATTCGTGATAAAGAAATTCCTAGACAAACCTCCAATTCTTCCACTTCTTTCAAGAAACAGATGATAGTGCCATTAGGAAGCAGGGCATATAAGAACTTCAATGGTTTAATTAGGTAAAAGAATACATAAGAGCTACTCTGCTACTGAATGGGTTTTTGACCTCTCTCTCTTTCTCTCTCTCTCCTGGAACAGAGCTGCAGAAAACTTGGATTCTCTCTAAAATTATAATTCATTTACAAAAAATGTTTGATAAATTGATAATTTTGAGATGCAAACAACATTTGAGACAAAGATTCCTTTGATCAAGCCAGGATACCACCATTCCAAAAGTCTTTTTGCACATTTCAAAAAATAAATATCAAAAGAAAAACTGAAACAACAAAGGAATACAAGTTAAAGACAAGTGATTTTATATGAACGCGATAAATTTAAACAAAAAATACAAAATGTATTATTTCCTGAATGACAGAATGTGAAAAAAGAAAAAGAAAAAAATGTTCATTTATGCAATATAAAGCAATAGCTTAAATATTATGTAACTCACACTTTCACTAATACACTGTTCATTTTAGTTTAAAAAATCACCAGAAATTTATTTATGGGTGTCATGCATTAAAAACAACCTACAACTTGAAAATATCTTTATAATACTAAGATTCAAATAACTTATAAAGTTGTGTGTTTCATTTTTTTCTATTGTGTTGTGTGTTAGAAAGAAGAGAATAATATCACGAATATGTTAATTTGTATGTGTTATAGAGAAGAGAATAATGTACTATGACTATGAGCATGTTAATTTTTTTTTTGACTATGAGCATGTTAATTAAAAAAATATGTGTTTTACTTGCATTGTCTTGAGAAAAATTGAAATTTTAAATTAACAATTATTATAATTTATGCCCAGTGACTTACCAAAAAGAATGTAAACGTAAAGTACTCAAATTTTCTATCCAAAATCTGATTTCCCAAATTGTTTAATTTACGTAAGGTACACCTTAATTTAGGAAATTGTTCTCCTCAATTCGTAGTGGTATGCCTTTTAGCTTTTAAAAGTGGGCACTTGTCAACATAAAGCTATTCTATTAGAAACAGAAAAGAGTACCCAGTGTCTGGAAGAGGACATTCAAGAGAAACCACACATCAAAATGAGAGTGCTCCAAAGAGAACTCATATATATAAATAGATATATTTATATACAGAGATATAAAGATTTATTTGGTGAATAGATCATTAAAGACAAAAATTTATGTTACGGGCCTTGGCTTGACCATAAGAATCCCAGAAATATTTCTACAGGTCAGCATTGGATTCAGAACTCATGCAGTCCTGAGGTTGGGTCGTGGCAACACACCTTAAAGTATTGTCCAAGTGTAGCCTGGCTGGGCCATGACCACACCTAAAATACCAAGAATGAAAATCAACTTATTCCTACCCATTGTCCCCTGGTTTCAATTGCTAGGAAGAATGTCAAGCTCCAAATCCTAATATAATTCAAATTTCTTTCTTTGCCTGGTATTTTCCTAGCTCAAAAACCATTTTTACGAACCTGAATTTAACTTAATTTAAGAAGAGAGAGCATTACCAATGTGGTCTCACTAATGAGGATGCTGGGAGGGATAAATTTTATCTAGCATTTGGGAATAAATTTATTTCACACAATTGCTGCCTTCAACCCCCGCCCGCGGAGAGAGAGAGAGAACCAATTCCTGGTAACGTTTTTTGCCCTGAATTTCTTTCACCACTGCTTCACAACAAATCAGAAATGTCCACTCCCCAACATGACCCACAACCAGTACTAACTGATACTATGTCTGATGGGAGGGCACATGACGCCGCATGTATTCAGCTTACCCTAGCTGCTAGGATGCTCTTAAAAGTTATTATGGGTGTGAGAAACATTCGGAAATCATTCACCATAAAATCTATTATGGTGACACAACCAAGTCGGAATCTACTCAGAGCAATGTTTCATGATCCACCCTTTTCTATTGCAGGTGTCTACCCATCAAGATCATCTAAATCCAAATAGACTATCAATTGCTTAATGAGAGAAAGGGAAAGCACAATGAAGCTGGAGAAGTTGCCATATTTAGCAAGAAAACAAGGGAAACATGAAATATCCTAAACAGAGTTTATGCTTTTGATGCATCCACAAAAGCAAAACAACCTACAAGGAATGTGCGGTTTCTTTGGTTAAAGTACTTTGGGCATTCCAGCATGATCAATAAGGACAGGTACAATAGTAACTAATCAGAGGCATGGCATACCCAAGAAGAAAAACATAGTTCCCAGCCAAGTTGTCAATGTTATTTGACCGTTGCAATAACACCAACTGCGGTAAGATTGCCACTGCTTCAAGATACAGTGAAAATGTCCATAGAACCTGCAACAAGAGGACAGGTTTCCATTAGAAATTTATTAAATTACTGTCACAATTACTAAAAGTAAGAACAGATTGTCAGGATATAGAAGCAAGATGCCAAATTAAACACAATAGGTAATATTATTATTCATCAGTGAGCAAATATAGAAAATAAAAAGTTTGGCCAAGTTAGTACTTTGAAAAAAACTTGAAAATGATCAAGTCACCAAGTGGGTAAGTCACTTGGCCCCGGTGCCTCGTGAAGCATCAAGTCTAAGGTCCGACTGTTCATGGATGGCAAACAATTCCTTGTTGTGTGTGTGTGTGTGTGTGTGTGTGTGGGGGGGGGGGGGGGGGGGCGCGTTGTAACTAGGAAAGGGGAAAAGAAAAAAAAACTTGAAAATGTGATGAGAATATGCTCATAACGTAACAGAATTTCTTCTGCACTTTTTGCAGTTAAACCAGAGACACACAATTGCGCACAGACAGAGAAGAAGAAATTGCTTCAGCAAGCTGCCAGTCAAAGTGATTTGTACATTTTTAACATAAAGCAGCAAGAAAGAACATAAAGTAGCAGGAAGGAACTTTTCCTTCTATACATTTAACCTAGTCTTTTTATAAATGACTTTTTAGAATATTTTCTCTCCCCAAATAGCATCTCACTAAGGTGACAACTCTCATTGTACAGAAAACAATATGATATAAGAAATATACTCAGCCAATTAGGAGGGCTAAGAAGCTTTTATAACGCAAAGTCCTCCACGTTTCTACAGCTTTTGCTAATGACATAATTGGTTGATATGTTACTAAGAATATATGGATGATATAACTCTGAAACATTATAAGAGTACAAAATCCCCAAAAAAAAAAAAACACTAAATTATCCCCATCAAGTTTTCTAAAGCTTTTGTTCATAAAATATAAAATAACTGGTTTATAAAGGTGATATATTATTCCAAAAAACTAATACAATGAGGATGAGATTAGAATTAGGGAATGGGGAGTCATATAAACTTCATACCTCCATCACACTGAAAGCAGGGTGAACCAGAAGAGCCAGCACAAAGCATGGGAGAAGCAGAAAGTAATGTCGGAAAGTGTCTTCATCTTTGTTGTAAGTTTGCTTCACTACTTTATGGTATCTCATGTACCAGACAATACCAATGGAAGTCCCAAGGAACACTAGCTTCATTGCAGTATTGTAGAATGAGATGTACCTTGTAAACAAATCAAGGTACCGAGCAACAAAGACTATAACATAGAGTTCTTGAGTCTTCAGTGAAATCCCTGGGGCAAGTAAAAGGTGCTAAAATTATTCGAAAGTAATGTGGGTAACTAGATTTATTCAAAACCAAACAAAAGAAAATAAAAGAGCAATATGACTGCTCCATTAGGAACTACCAAGAGAAAACTTGAGTTTCCAACTAGAAATTCAAGTTAATCAAAATCTCAGAAACGTAAATCCCTAATAAACTACCACAATTGTACTTCCAAGTTCTTACAGGTACTAAATTTCTCAAAGAACTCACTTACAAGTAGAAAGACTACGTATCTCCAAGTGTTTGGAAGAAAAGGTTTTAATTGACATTCCAATTTCACAAATTACAAAGAACCCTTTCGATATTCCAACAAGTACAGCCACAAATTATCGGTCAATTAAAGTAAAAGACGGTAAAAATGAGTTCAAAACCAAACTCGCCAACATAGAAGACCATAAGACTATAACATTATTAACATAGAGTTCTCGAGTCTTCAGTGAAATCCCCGGGCCAAGTAAAAGGTACTAAAATTATTCAAATTTTGTACCTATATATTAAAAACCAAACAAAAGAAATAAGAAGAACAATATGACTGTTCCATTGGGAACTACCAAAAGGAAAATTGAGTTTCAAACAATAAATTCGACTATGAAAATCCCAGAAACATAAAACCCTAATTAACAACCACATTTATATTTCCAAGTTCTTTCAGGAACTGATTTTCTGGAAGAACTGGCTAACAAGTAGAGAGACTATGTATCTATAAGTGTTCGGAACAAAAAAATTTAATTGACATTCGACTTTCATGGATTACAAATAACCTTGTCGATATTCCATCGAGTACATCCACAAATTTCCGGTTAAATAAAGTATTTAGACAGTAAAAATGAGTTCAAAACCAATCTCGCCAACATAGAACTCTACAAGACTATAACATAAAGTTCTTGAGTCTTCAGTGAAATCCCTGGAGCAAGTAAAAGGTACTAAAATTATTCAAAATTAAAGTGGGTAACTATATTTATTAAAAACCAAACAAAAGAAAATACAAGAACAGCATGACTGTTCCATTAGGAACTACCATAAAGGAAAATTGAGTTTCCAACTAGAAAATCGATTTAATCAAAATCCCATAAACATAAAACCCCAATTAACAACCACATTTATACTTCCAAGTTCTTTCAGGTACTGAATTTTTCGAAAAGCTGGCTGACTAACAAGTAGAGAGAGTTGGAGACTACGTATCTAATGATTGACCTTCCATTTTCACAAATTACAAAGAACCTAATATTCAATCAGGTCTTTAGACCGTAAAAATGAGTTCAAAATCAAACTCACCAACATAGAAGTATATAAGACTAGTAACGCATTTCATTCAAAATCTTAGTATTACTATATATAAGCACATACAGAATGAAACAATTAAATAAGAGAATAAACCTAACCCAACTGAAACTCATGAATGGAGAGAAAACCCATATCAGTGATTGCTGACTAAACAGAAATACAATCATTTATGTATATGTACACACAGACACATACCTGCGCAAGATTTCATGGTGCGGATCTTGAGGAGGAGGACTATTATACTGAGGAGATGGGTCATGTCCCCAGCTAGTCTGAACACGTTCATGGCGGTTATTCCTCTCTCTCTCTCTCTCTCAATCTCTCTCTATTGCTCTCAATCAGCTCTTCTGCATAAATGGTGTAGACTTAGGTGCCAAAATAATTTGCCGTTTCGAGAAACGACTAACACGCGCCATTCCGACGCGTGGGAATTGACTGGACAATAGAGTCTTCGTCGTGTTGCCCCACCCCCAACTCTCACTTGGACCTTTAAATTTTAGCTCAAACATATTTTTATTTATTTATTTTACACCGTTTACCAAATTAATCAAATAAATATTAACATTCCTTCAACAATAAGAATATTCAAAATTTTGAATCGTTTAAGCATGTATTATATATTCTAGTGCAAGTGAAAATTCATAATTATTTTTAGTTTAAGTCCAGATTCATAATAAGATTCACGATCTGGAAAGATAGATTTCTTCCATCACTTTTTCCTAGTACTACTTTTATTGCATAAAAATGAAACTGATTCTTAGTTTCTTATAAAATTACAGTTGTGAAAGTAAAACAAATGCAATATTTCGCTACAGAAATACTACCCTTTTATTTTATTTATTTTATCTCTTTAACTAATGTTATATTTTTCTTTTTCTCTCATTTATCACACTATTGAGTGGAAAACTGAAAATATCAAAAAAAAAAATTTCTTAACCATTTATTGTAGGTTGCTAGGTAGCAAATTGGACGTACCACACAAACCAAGAACTACGACATCACCTTTTTCATTCTGAGGTGACTCTGTGACGGAGGGATCGTACCATTGGAGTCGTTTTTTTTCTTCTTCTTCATGCTTTTATCAGAGTTCTAGAGAAAGCTGTAATCAATAGGATTTCCCTAATCATCCCTTCAAAAGGCCGTAGGGATTAGATAGAGCCATAAGAAGAATAATATTTGATATAAATAACTCACTTCTTGATCTTTGAAGTTCGTAGAACGCATCTTAAGTAGGGTTATATGTTTACTTAAATTGTCTAACCAGCCCAATTTGTTGTCATGGATCAACTCAAATTATTTGACTAATCCAAACTCAGTTAAATAAAAAGATAAATATTTTTAATAAATATTAGTAGTAAGGATAATTCTTTTAAAGAGATAATTATCTCAATATAAATATATATATGCAGGTGCCACGATAGCCCAGTAGTTAGTGCCTTCGGTGGATTTTGGAAGGATTTTGAGAGTGCCAGCTTCGACTCTTTGTACTTACTAATTTAACTTCTAACCCTTCTTGTCATGTAAATATATATATATATATATATATATATATTACACTGTGCAACTATTCAGAGCGAACATGTGTCAGTTTCTTATTAATCCCTTATAAACAGAGGTAAGAGGGTGGAGAAGGGAATTTTAAACCTCTGTCAGCAAGTTTAAAAACTTACCAAATAACTTGTTTGAGATCAAACCTCCATTGCCCTCAATCACGAATCAATTCAAACTAACTTCATTTTTTGAAGATTTGAAGGAAATTCATCACCGTTAGTTCAAGATCAAGCTTTGAAGTCCTTGCACCACATACTTTATTTATTTTATAAAAAATACCTCAAAGGATTATACTCAATTTATAAAAAATCAATAAAATTATTATTTATTTGATATTTTATTATTTAATTTGCAAATACAAAATTTGTATTTCCATGCCCAATTAAAGTGGAACTATTTGTTGTAAGTTCACACTTCTATCTATCTACTACTTGTTGCTGAATAATATTAATGTGAGGCATTTTTATTAATTTATGAAAGTGATATTCACAGTGCTACTTCCATAGTTCGCCCTATGCCCTTTTCATTTTTATTTTTTTATCTTCAGGTAATGAAAATTTATTTCCTTCACATTTTATAAACAATTTAAATGTTTGCACATTTCTGCCTGTAATTAGCACCCTCAGTGATTTAGTTGACGAAATCGGCCATGGCCATCATTCATCATCTTCGTATTCTTCTCCGCCTGCTACTGCTACTGCTACTTATAACACAAACCACTTCCTAGCCTCGTCTTGGTGTTCAAAAATGAAATTCCAAGAGAGCCTGCTCAATTTTTGGAAAGAGCTTCTGTTTGGTTTACGGTTGATGTGGTTAGATGGGATGAATGGTGGTTTCAAATGGTTCGGAATGAGATTACTCCGAGAGGGCTTCAGGGATGGCGGCACATGAGTATACAGTGGGTTCGGTGGCCTCCACCTGATCTGATTGCCCCTCGAGTTCAAAGGCATCCGAGGAGGGTTTGGTGGAATGATGGCATGGCATATATTGCGCACCTGGTAGTCAGATGACTTGTGTATGTATTTGTTGATGTTATTATTGTTTTACTTGTTTCCCGAAGCATGATCCCGTTTGCTTGTATTCTATTCATTATGTGGGCGGAGCCAGAATTTTATGATTGAGGGGCGAACTTACAATTAATACTATAAGACTATTTTAAGCTATATACACACACACACACATATATATATATATACAAGGACGGATCAAGAATTGCATAATGATGTGGGTTAATCTATTATGGGGTGAGCTAGTATTACTAAGAGCATCTCCAATGCTAAATGCTATTTCGGGCTGCCAAATTTATATTTTGAAAGGAACTACAATGTCAAAATACTATATTTTAGCAATTTTGCTCCAATGGTGCATTCCATCCAAAATACTATATTTTAGCAATTCTCACCCTCTATTGAACCAAGTCCAACCCACTTCCCAATCCTACTTTAACTGACCGTTGATTCCAAAATTACCTTCCCATCTTAACTATTCATTGCATTATGTACCACATAATATTTTTAGGGCAAATCATATCAGCCTCCCCCATCGCCTCCATATTTGTCCTCGTTCTTGACTCTGAACTTGCCCATCTCTCTCTCCAACTGCAAACTACAAAATCTATAAGAATCAGAAGTTTAAAACCCATATATTTCAGTTTATCTATCTGTCAAATTAGGGAAAGTGAGGCGGCTGAGAGCATATTTGAAATGGGGATGATGTTTTCTAAGAATCTATGGATACACATATGTTGTAATTGTTTGCTTCCTTACTCCACCCATTCCTATGGTTTTCAGTGTTCTCTCTCTCTTCTTATGCAGCTTCATCATCTCTTTTACACACACTCAAACACACACACATATATTTATGTATATATAATTTTATATTTCAATATATCCAACTGTTTGTAAGAATCAAAAGTTCAAAACTTATTACCTGTATCAAAACCCACATTGGCATATCATTTCAGAGTTCGCCATTCGCAAGCCTCAGCCGCTAGCTCTTAACTCTCAAGCTTGCCCCCCTCTCTTTCTCTGCAACTACTAACTCTCAAGCCGGATCTGTAAATGTCATATTTGACCATGGAGAAATTGGAATAATTGAATTGAGAGAGAGAGATTGAAGTCAGATTTTGTATTGAGAGTTAGATATACAAACATAAATATATATATATAGAGAGAGAGATCGAAGTCAGATATTGACGCAACCGGAAGAGGGGATAGGAAATGCACAGAGATAAAGCTGTTCCAAACGGCGTCGTACAGAGAGAGAGAAGGTCTGCAAAAAAAATTAGCAGCTCCTATATTTGAGAAAACATTTGGCATTCTCAAAATTTGAGAGCCCAAATGAAAACTTATTGGAGAGCCCACTTTTTACACCTCTCTCAAATTTTGAATTTAGCAGCCCAAATGAAATGTGCATTGGAGATACTCTAAAACCTTCTTTTTTTATTTTATTTTTATTTTTATTTTTTTTAATAAAGGCTAAAATTACCTCTAGTAAATATTATTATTATTATTTTTTGGGTGGGCTTAGCCCACCAGAGCCCATATTATCGATTATAGTCATACAAAAATTTATCAAACCAACCGTCAGCCAATTTGTGTTAAAAAAAATGGCCTATATCTAGTAAAAAATGACATAAATATGTACAAAAATTAATCGAAAAGACCAAATAACTATTACAAGAGATGAAATAATTATCTTTGAGATAATAAAATTCATACATTATCGATTGGTAGCTTGACAATCGCATAATCAATTAACCCAAAATTAATCAATCAATTGGCTATTTAAAGAAGTTATTTTATTTATCAAACTTCCATAAAAAAATAAAAAACTATAAGAAAGTAGTGTATTTTGAATAAAAAAGTTAGAAACTATTTATAGTTAGAAAATATTATGGGGGCCAAGTAAAAACAAAAAACAAAAGTATAAGAAAGTCACGTATTTTTAATAGAAAGTTAGAAACCATTTATAGTTATAAAATATTATGGGGGAAGTATGCATTTATTTATATTATTTTTCATTTTTGGTTGTACTAATAAAATTTAATAAAAATTTTGGTAGGGCCATGGCCTCTGCTGGCCTCCCCTACCTCCGCCCTAGAATATTTGTCATTGCATAAGCAAGTGAATTGAGGTTTTTATTAAAACTCAAACTGTCTCAATAAAAATATTTGGTTCATTTTTATTCACGGAATAAATGAGACAAATTAGAAGTTAAAAACTTATACATAAACCGTTCAAACTTCATCAATATCTCAATTTCTTTGGATTGTGGAGATATTGAGAAATAAACTAATAATAAAATAAAATAAAGTATGATGAAAATGGTTAAATAATACATTTCACTTGCTGAATCAAGCATCTTTGTAAACAATACATAAATAGAGCTTAGCTTTAAACTTTAGTTTTATGAATAGGGGACTAGAAAACTGAGTAATATTGTAGGTTTGTTTGGATAACTTTTTTAAAAATCAGTTTTTTTTTGTTTTTTGGCAAACTGAAAATTTTGTTTGAATGCGTGTTTTTTTGAAACTCAATTACTAATAAAAGTTACAATTTGTTTATATTATTATTTAAATTATTTTGTTACCATTTTTTAGAAAATTCAATCAAACATGCATTTTATCTCTTCAAAAGAGAAGGCCTAAGGATGCACTTCGAGTTAGGTTAGGACACATAACTAGAATAAAGGGTCCAATCATGACAAAACTGAATTACGTGTCCAATCAAATAAACAAAAAGTAAGAAACAATGTGGCGTATTGGAGTATATGTGACAGCTAGGTCATTCCACAGTATTTATTTATTTTCTTTATTTTCCTTTAGCCCTACTGTTACTAAAAAGGTTTAAAACCCCAGTCGCGTTTTATAGAGACAAAGGTCATTTCACACAAGTAATTCTATATACTCAAAAGAGTCTTCTAATTTCCCCTACTACTCATCTAAATTCGAGGTCGAGGGCCCTTGTTTCTCTCTCCTCTCACGCACTTTCTCTCTCTAAAGATTCATTAGCGGGACACAGCCAGACGAAAGCTTTGCCCTTTTTTAGGTATCTGGAAGACCATACACACTCTCACTGCACTATATTTGGAAGGCCAGAGGCGTCCCCGATTTCGAAGTCTCTCTAAAACACACTCTCTCTCTCTCTCTCTCTCTCTCTCTCCTCGTTCTGCTTCAATTTCAAGCTATCTTATCTCTATATAAACCCTTCAAACTAGGTTTTCAATCTCAGTGCTTTTTCTAGGGTTTTTTAAACTGAGATTCGACTTCGAGGGTTTATTGGTTTTGATCTCTTCATGGCGGCGGAGAAACTCAGGGACTTGAGTCAGCCGATTGACGTTGGCTTGCTCGATGCCACTGTTGCTGCTTTCTATGGCACCGGATCTAAAGAGGAGGTGAGACCATCCTCTCCTTCTCATTCTATTCCTCTCTATTATCTTTGTCTTTGCATATCAAAGATATACTCACGCATATAATTTTGTCATGTTAATTGATGTCAAATATAGAAAAATAAAATAAATTACTCGTTTAATTTTGAATTTTTGGGTTTCATCCTCTGGAATTAGAAATATTATGAGTGTTAAATATACTGAACGTAAGCCTAGTTTAAAGGGTTTGGGGGGGGGGGGGGGGGTTGGGAACTTAGAAAACTTATATTTTTCTGTACAGATTCCAATTAACACATACTTGGTTGGTGGGAAACTGAGAGGAAAATACTTCCCCTCCCTCAGTTCCTACCCCTGACCAAAAAAGATAAAAGATGAAGACAAACTCCGTCATACACTTTTCAAATGCATTGAGTTTCAAACTCTAGTACCTGTTGTGTGGCTACATTGCCATATCTGATTTATACATTATTATGAAAATTAACTTGCTTTCTCTTTATCTTTGTGTTTTGCTGAATTTCCAGTACATTTGTGGTTTATATATTCGAAGTATAACTTTGAAAAAAGAAAAAGAAAAAGAAAAACAACAATCAGCAACGTCTTTTGCACCTTGTCACTACAGCCCTTAAACGAAGAACTGCAAATTAAGTTCAAGAAAATGTAAATATCATTGTCTTTTCTTTTTTTGGGGCCATGTTGAAAGTTTGTGCATGTGTGCAAGCACAACACTCAGCAACTGTCGTGCACCTTGTCCCTACTGCCCTTAAATGAAAATTGCAAATTAAGTTCAAGAAAATGTAAATATCACTGTCTTTTCTTTTTCGGGGCCATGTTGAAAGTTTGTGAATTATTTTAGAAACCCTTAATAATTTTACTGTTGAATTATGTTCAAATTTGAAATACATTTGCATGGTGTGGTATCCTTGGTGTTATATTATTGGAGTTACGATTGAAATCTTCTTTGATCTGCACCACGTGAATGTAATAACTGCCTTTGGCATTATTCTGACATCCCATTTTGGATAAGTTGATCAAATTTCAGTGAGTTATAAACTGATTTTACTGTTATTGCATTACGTGAACACAAAACTTTGTTCTTGCAATCAAACGGGTGCTCAAACCAAGAAAGATGGGATGTCCAAATTATAATCTACTTGCATGATATCTACTTTTCCCAAAGTTGTCGTTACCACAGAACTGGTTTTCTTGATTCTAATTTTTCCCATTGTGTAATTATGCTACAGAGAACTGCTGCAGACCATATTTTGCGGGAGTTGCAAAACAATCCAGATATGTGGCTTCAAGTGGTTCACATTCTATCAAATTCACAGAACTTGAACACAAAATTTTTCGCGTTGCAGGTCAGTTGTAGTGTTAATAGACATCAGTTTGCTTTAATAATTGAGGAATTTGCAGTTTAAGGAACATGTCTTCCACTAGATAGTGGTTCAAACAGAGCCCCTGGAATAATTGTTGTAATTATTCTTACCAATAATCTTCTTCTGGTTTTTGTAAGATTGGATGTAATTCTTTAGGTTTAGGAATTACCCGGTAGGCAGGACAAACAGATGTTTTTTACTACTTGCTACTAATTTGCCATAACGTAAAAAATATGTGAGCGGTATGTGGTCGCTGACGCTATATCTTAAAATTTTGTCAGATTTCCCAATGCTATATCTTAAAATTTGAACCTATGATTTGAAACAATTGCTTTTACCTTTGAAAATCGCATGTGGTTCTCTATACACAGTTCATGCCGTGTGAAAGAAGGTTTGGAAATCATTTAACATTGCATGTCATATTTTGAGTTCAGTCAAATCAAAGACCATTGTTAATTCTGTTTTCTACTAGCCATCAACAGTTTTAGATTTAATAAGATTTCTCAGAATGTGGACTGAACTTAATGAGCTCCATTGTTATCTCATGCATATTTTCTTTTTTAATATCCAATGGTGTAGGATATCCTGATTTTGTAGTTTAATTTAATTTTTATTCTGTAAGACCAGATTTATTACACTGTCCCTAAAAGGGAAAGAAGTTTTGCCACAAATAATCAACATTGTCATGGGAATTATTCTTCAAGTTAGTCATCTGATAGATATGCCTCCGCTTTATTATTGCTGATATTGCATGAGAAAGCCAATGTTTGCTTATCATTGATTATTGGATGGAGAAGAGATGTCTTCATCAAAGGTGTTCACGATGTTGAAGGTCTTACGGTGGTGAAGAGAAGTCTTCATCAATGGGTGTTCATGTTGCTGAATGTCTTATTTATTTATTTATTTATTTTTGGAAGTATGATGTTGAAGGTCTTATGGTGAATCTCATGGTGAAGCGGGGGATCTTTCTTCTTTGTTAGGGTTGCATTAGTGATGTTGAATTTGTGTGAGTGAGGGTTGACAATGATCTATTGGTTTGAAGAGAGCGAAGCTTTAAACATGTGGAAATTAATTGAATTTGAATATTTCTTTGAAGTACATCAACAGTGCGTTATGTAGATTTCAGTTTCAATTGCTTTGGAATTGGAAAGCGTCAGTTGCTTTTATTTGGGCGAGTATGGTAAATGAAAATTTGTATTAAGTATCTAATAACCCCCATATATCCTTTGTTAGATTATTTAGGAATATGAAACCACAAAACCTGATCTACCAAAAAAGGAGAACATGAAAGGTGTGAACTATGGACGAATTTCAAGATTATTGTTTGTAAGAGACCCTAGATAGAACAAAATGGCAAACATAATACATGCTGCCAAACTCCAATAAGTTGCCATGTATTTGTTGAGTTGAGTACAAGGAATTCTTTCAAATTTCGTCTTGTTCGTGTAATACAGCCTGCCTCATGCAATAAAATATGCAGTCCTTATAAACTTTGTGGATTAAAGGCTCAAGTAAGAAGACTGGTTTTGAAACTCAAGCTTTTGTCTTTGAAATGGTTGTAGAGATTTGTAGTGGTAGTCAGTTTGGTTTTGGTATGGGTCTGAAGGTGTTTTATTGGAGACTGTGTGACAAAGGAGGCTTGAGGAAGTTTGCTATGGGTCTCTAGAAGGACACTTGAACATGCTTCTTATGTGAAAGTGGTGATGTTTTTTTTTTTTAGTTGAAAAAGGCGAGTTCAAAGGATAGGAAGTTTTCGGTTTTGACGTGTGGGAATGTTATTTATGGAAGAGTTTCCACACTTGATAATTTTGATTGGCAAAGAGGCGCTGTGAACGATAATTGGATGTGGATAAGATGTGAGGATGTGGATGCGGACATTGATTAATGGGATCATCGTCGTTATCATTGTTGGCTTAATCCCACATGAATTTGGTCGTCCACATGAATTCTCTGTTTTCAATTTTCATTCTTTCCTATTATATGTCATCTCACCCTCTATGTTTTAACGTTTTTAAATATTTACTAACAACTTCATCCCACGATAACGTATGTCAGGCCGTATCAACCATAATGTAACATGAAAAATTTCAACCATACATAGGACCCAAAAAGCACCAATACGTAACTTATAACACCATAATCCAGTAACTATCAATCAGTCAAGTCTTTTTCTTTTTTCTTTTCTTTTGAATTCTATTATTCTTGTTGAAAATTTAAAGCTAATTTGACATGAATAGTGTCCTATACATGAATTCGAGGTTGTCGTCGTTATATAAGGCATAGTAATTTATACTTTTTACTAAATTAATGAGTAAAAATAGACCAAAACATGAAATAATTGAAAGTTTATGACATAGAACACAACTGTATTGTACCTCAATCACAGCTTTTAAGTTTTTGTTTCAAATGCTTTAAAACTGATGTTTGTTATTTATGATCACATATTACTCTTGACTGCATGTGATACTTTTTCTTAAGCCCAAATCTTGAAACATCACACTAACATGAACCAAAGAGAGCAAAAGAAGGAAAGGGACAAGGGAAAGCTAGAGACAATCTTATCCACTATACCTTGTACTTTCTACATTTGTATCTTGGCGTCTCATACCGAAGACCCTAGTCTATCCTCTCCAAGTAAGTCTGCCTTCCAGTTTCCACAACAGAAGTTTTTTTTTTTAAACCTCTATTCCACGATTCCCTCTGTAGTTTTTACTCTCATCTCTTTTCTTTTTTCCACTGAGATATTGTTACGACTCAATATTGCCTCAGACCAATTCTGTTGTGACTTTGCCAAGTTGAAGGAATTAAGCCGAATCTCCGAATTATGGTTAGATACAAGGGGGCTGTGTGTGTGTGTGTGTGTTTTTTAATCATTGACTAGTGGAAAGCTTGGAGTGGTATGATCCAAGAGTTATGCTAAGATCTTATATTTTCCGGGTTTAATTCACGTATCCTGGATTTAGGATTAATTTAGAGGCAAGTTGAGGGCTCTAAGAGAAAGAGAGATGAAATATAGACAGGATTGAGTTTGCCAACTTAATAGTGGACTCGACCGTTGTATCCTCAAATGAAATCTTCTTATTTTGTTTTGGTTGGAATTTTTTTATAGATGTTTTCATTCGTTTTGTTTTTGCTGTGAATTGTTAATGAGACTATATATTTCTCTATATGGGCTTTAGGCAAAGACACATGGTATAGTCTGTCGCACTTGCATTTTATGGTTGATTTGTTATGTTTTGGAGAAATTGTGGCTTTGCAGCTGTGTAACATGAAGTGAAACATTACAGTTATTTCCATTTGCCTTTTGAGGTGTTGTGTGAAGGAGCATTTCTTGTATTCAGGTTTTGGAAGGTGTAATTAAGTACAGATGGAATGCATTGCCTGTTGAACAACGAGATGGGATGAAAAACTACATTTCTGAAGTCATTGTAAAGGTATTAGTTCTACTGTAATTCTTCTATTTGTTCTTTCATATTAGTAGTAAATTTTTTTTTCTCTATCCACATGGAATTCGGTCGTAATTAAATTTCTGTTTAATGTTAATCCCTCTTGCTTAGCTTTCAAGTGATGAAATCTCTTTTCGTCGGGAAAGGCTGTATGTGAACAAGCTTAACATTATATTGATTCAGGTAAATCCTGATTGCTTTCTTTAAATGTTAGTTCATTATAATAGTTATCGTTGTTCCTTTTATTATTTTCTGAAAGATTGAAACATACCTGTAAGGCGGTAACAATGTTCTCTTCTCAATTTTGGTGAGATTAAGCTGAAAATTTTTGTTTCAAGGTGTTTGGGTAGTAGTTTTTGCTTTTGTAACCATTTTATAGGTTTTTGTCCCCTTCTATTATTTTGATGATTTGTTCTATCAAATAATCTTTATAATAATTGGATCTTATTACGTGGGTTTATTCTGTAATTTTTTTTCTATATGCCTTCTAAACATACAGATTTTGAAACACGAGTGGCCTGCCAGATGGCGAAGCTTTATCCCTGATCTTGTTGCAGCAGCAAAAACAAGTGAAACTATTTGTGAGAACTGCATGGCCATATTGAAAGTAAGCTTGTCCTGAATATATATATTTTCTCAATAGTAATTTGATCTCAAGCATTTTGGGTGATTCAAATTGTTACTTCTCAGCTTCTAAGTGAAGAGGTTTTTGATTTCTCGAGGGGTGAAATGACTCAACAGAAGATCAAAGATCTCAAACAATCATTGAACAGGTAATTGAGTTGATGTTCTTTATATAGTTGGGGATTGTGTCTTCTTGTGCACACCTCAATATCCAGCATTCCTTTGAAAAATATTATTGTTGTTCATAGTTTTATTACTAGATTTGATTGCAGATATCGTACTTGTTATGGCCTTTGTTTTTTGTTGCAGAGGTTCTGGCCTCCATGCAAGTTATTAATTAGTTTTTTTGAAAGTTCTTGATTTATTACTACCACCATTCTTTTGTTCTAATTGTCCCACTTACTGAACATTATATGATATCTGTCTGGCCGATCTTACTTGGAAGTTTATGTTGTTCGTTTGCAGTGAGTTTCAGCTCATTCATGAGTTATGCCTTTATGTACTGTCAGCATCTCAAAGAACTGAGCTTATAAGGGCTACATTAGCGACATTGCATGCTTTTCTCTCATGGATACCTCTAGGATATATATTCGAATCTCCGCTGGTGCGTACATACTTTTTGCATAGTTGATGTCAGTTCTTATATGGATATGGCTGCAAACTTGTACTCTTATATGTAGTTTTTTGCTAAAGCTTAAAGTAATTTCGTGTTTTTCTTGTATCTGACAGTTGGAGACACTCCTAAAATTCTTCCCTTTACAATCATATCGGAATCTCACACTCCAATGTTTAACAGAAGTATATTGTTGTTCCATTTTATCTAACAAAATCTGGGTATTCCTAATTCTCCAAAGCTACTTAATGTTCATCATTTATGTCTTAATATTTGCAGGTCGCGGCTTTAAATTTTGGAGATTTCTATAACGTGCAGTACGTTAATATGTATAACATATTCATGGTACAGTTGCAGGTACGAGAGCAGTAGTTCTAGTGAATTTATTTTGCACATTATATGGGATATTTGGATGAATTGAGCTTGTTAATTCCCTTCTGTTAATTGTTGATTTGATCTTATATTTTATGCATTTTTTATTGCATATTTTTTGAATCCTGGGGTGATTTTTGGTGTTCTTTAGACCATTCTCCCACATGCTACAAACATTCCTGATGCTTATGCGCATGGTTCGGGTGAGGAGCAGGTAATTGCTTTTTTTACGGGTACTCCTAGTTAGTTTTCAAAAGCCTAAGATTCTTGTATAAACTGAATTTGTTCTTTGGTTGTTTTTTCAGGCATTTATTCAGAATCTTGCACTGTTTTTCACTTCATTTTTCAAGGCAAGTTTATTTTCTTGGTAGCACTGTCTACTAAATGATGACCTTAATCAGCAATGTTGTCATACATATCAAGTTAATGGACTAGGATCTGTAAGGGGAGTGTTATGGTGCCACTTCATCTTTTAGTGTGAACAACTTCTGAAGTACTGATGGATTAAGATGTCGTAGATATCACATTGTGTCTCATTCTTTCTTTCTTTTCTTTTATTTTCTTTTCATATATATATATATATATATTATAATCGATAACAAAATGCAATTTGGTGAAAAGATAATGATGGATGAAGTACCCTGCTCCAATAAGAGAACTATATCTGTGCAAATAAACACAAACCAAAAACTCAATTAGAAATGAACACATTGTTCCCCTCAAGGAGGATTACATATATAAGAAGAGTCAGGAGCCCTGGAACCAAAGCAACTGATTTGCAGAAATTTAAAAATTAAAACCCCTCATTAGTCCCATGGGTTCCCTAAAGCACAACAAATAAGAGCTTCTTGTGTTACCAAAAAAATTCGACTTGTTGGCTGATGATCTAGTCATTTAAGCCCTCTTTGCTTCTAATTATTATTTCATCCCCATTTTTGTTGAAGTATGAGCTTGGTCTAAGAACCAGAGGGTTGAGATTTCAGGTAACCCATCACAGCTTTGATGCATCCTCTTTCAGGCATTAGAATGAACCCAAATAATGAGCTCCCCCTGGGGTTTTACCTTTGGCAGCCACTGATATTTGCTTCAATAGCATTTCCAGACTGTACTGGTTTAGGGAAAGCTAAAATATTACTAATCTCTGAACGCGATTCCAAGAACTTTCTGGCCTGGATAATCCGCTGCATATCAGAACCAAATTTGATTTCTGCTTGGATGTAAGAATTGGGAGAACGCATACACAGAGTTATCTGCATCTCCATTGCCCAAAATAGAGCTTAATTGTTTCTTTATCCAAGAAAAGACTTAATAGTTACTTAAAATCTCTTAAAAAGAATAATAATGACAGGAGAAGTGTAGTTACTTTCTACTTTGGTAGAGACGTAGACCGCTATAGAAGTATAAGGCATATGATTTGTAATAGATGGTTATAGAACATTTCATGGGCTGCCGACTGTAGAAAAACCTTAAGTTTTAGTTAGATTTCTTCCAAATCTGTAAAACAACTATGCTGATAATTCCTTTACTCATGCAGTGTCATATTCGAGTGCTAGAGTCCACACAAGAGAATATATCTGCCCTTTTAATGGGTCTTGAATATCTCACAAACATCTCATATGTGGATGACACTGAGGTTTTTAAGGTATGTTCATTTGTATATCTGTTTGGCTTCCTCATTTGGAAATAGAACAGAGTATTATGATTTGGCCTATAACTGGTGGTTGTATGCTTCAACAGGTTTGCTTAGATTACTGGAACTCCTTAGTTTTGGAGCTGTTTGAGGCACATCATAATGTAGAGAATCCTGCGGTAGCTGCAAACATGATGGGATTGCAGGTGTGGTGAATACTTTTGTGCTTGATGATACTCTTTTGGTTCTTTATTGTACAGTGATTCTTGTATATGCTGAAAAAAGTTTGTTTGCTTAAAGTTTGAAAGCCTTCTTTCTAGAAGTTGTACACTAGTTTAACTTTCTTTTTCTAATAATTGCATTCCTGGCTTCCATCTTTTATATCATCTATTCTTCTGTATTTCTTTGTTCTCTTTAGAAGCATGATGCCAGACATTTACTTAATTAGACAATTAATAGAAAATTGTAGAAGCAATGAAAAATCCACACATGATTTTTTATAGATTTATAGAAGACATATGATAGAGTACCAAGGGACATAATTTGACGGGCTTTACATACGAGTTGCTATAAAATTTATAAAGATTATCAAACATGTATAATGAGAGAATGACTGGAGCTCGTACTATATTTGGAGAGAAGAGACTAGTGATTTTCCTATTACTCCAACCGTGAATACTATTGTTGATGATATGGTGCTATTGAATACTTCAAAGGAAGCCTTAGGAATCAAATTAGAAATATGGAGAAATACATTAGAAGCAAAAAACTCAAGGCAAAAACAAAAGATATGGAATCTAATTTTTTTAAAGTCTCAAAAACTGACCACAACAATTGAGGACCAAATTATTCATTATAATAATCTTTTTGAATATTTAGGATCAATGCCAAAGGATGTAACAGTTGGATTGAGATGTACAAAAATGGAGACAGGCTAGTGGTTGTACTATGGGCTAAAATAATATCAAACAAGCTGCAAGAAAACAAGCTTAGGTGGTATAGTCACATACAACGTGACTGCTAGATGAAAAAATATTTTTTTTGACAAGTACTAGATGCACAAAATATTAGTTAGCATAAAGGGTAAGAGACAAAGAGGTAGCCCTAAACTAACATGTGGTGGAGTAATTAAAGAAAAAAATTAAACATAATTAGTGAATGAGGTTTGTAATAGGAAAGAATGTAAAAAATGATTGTGTGTTTGTAGAACAACTGCCACACATCCCCCCCCCCCCCCCCCCCCCCCCCCTCCCCCCTTGTTCATTGGATAAGATTATTACTCAGTTAGACATTTAAAATGTATTTCTGTAGTGGTGTTCTTGTGTTTGTATTTTGTCTTCTCCATTTGCTCAAGCAGATTACATCTTTTGGGCGTGCCTTCCTTTCTATATTATTTTATTGGCTTTATTGTTCCCTCATATACCTACTTTTATCTCATTTTCTCCTATACATTTACCTGTGTATATTTATATTATTTCATTTGCATCTGCTGTTGCAAGACTTTACATGCTTTGTATGCCTCTGTAAGCATATTTTTGTTTGCTGTATGTGTGTTTCCTTTTCATTTGGAATATTTACATCTTTTATATGGAAAAGTTACTGATGTCAGTTTATATGGTCTTGTTGAATCAGCAGGTGCCATTGCTTTCTGGTATGGTTGATGGACTTGGGTCTCAAATTTTGCAGCGACGGCAACTTTATTCCGGTCCAATGTCAAAGTTGAGATTACTTATGATCTGTCGTATGGCTAAGCCTGAGGAGGTTCTTATTGTTGAAGATGAAAATGGGAATATTGTTCGTGAAACTATGAAGGACAATGATGTCCTAGTTCAATATAAGGTGTTCAATCTACATATGCAGATATTTGATTTCAAATTTCCGTATACTAGCCTTGTGGTCACCTTATCAATTTATATTTATTAAGATTTTCTTTATATGTTAACCTTTCAACATGGACATGGTGTGTCCAATGCAGTGACCCGGGATATCTAAAAGATCTATACAATGGGATGTGTTTATTTATTTGTATTTTAGAATTTACTGTGTCAAAATCAGTGGTGGAATTTGTTTAACTATCTGGAAGAAACTTGTAGAATTTTTCTGTTATTGTTAGTCTGTTTTTTCTGTAACTGGAAATTCTTTCATCAAGAAGGCATAATGGTTGATGATCTTTCCTTCCCCCCCTTCCTGCCTTTTTTGTGTGCGCGGGAGGGGGCAAGGAGCAGGGCACATTATTTAATTAAATGGAAGCTTCTGTGAAGGGGTAGGGCGTGTTCTTTAAGTAAATAGTGGTGGCCTTTCTGTAAGTGCCCTGCAATTTCTAAACATTTTTCTGAATTAGCAGTCCTGTAGGTTTTAAACTTGCAATAATGAAAAGTCACCTAGTTATTCAATTTCTTGGTTGCTAATAATGAAATAAAGTTGGATTACATCTAAACAGTGTGAAGATTTGTGTGATATTTTACGAATTAAAATGACTGTTTTCCTAATCAGGCTGTATTTTTGTAGTTCATGGCTTTATGCTTTGTGGTTTATTCAATATATATATATATATAAAAAGATTTCGTTTCACTTTCAGTTGATATGTTTAATTCAACTACATTGTGGCAGATCATGAGGGAAACGCTGATCTACCTATCACATCTTGATCACGAGGATACCGAAAAACAGGTATGGGTTTAGACTTTCTTTTCCTGTTATAATGCTTTCATTTTGGAAAATACAGAACAACTGATATACTTTTTTTTTCTCTCTCTCTCATCTTCTTCTTAGTCCCATACTCCTGTTTGCATTTCTTTTTTTGAAATTCTGGAAGTTCTTTTTTTTTTTTTGGTCCTGTACTCCTGTTTGAACTGAAAGTGCTCTGTTTTTTTTTTCTTCAATCTGTTCTTTCTTATGCTTTAATGTTTTTCTTTAATCTGTTTACTTTAATTTTGTCATGCTCTGTTTTGCTTTGAAATTGAAACTGATACTCACTGTTGAACTTGTGAATGCTTTGTTCTTGTTTTGTTTCCTAGAAAGTTAAAGCTGAAAGTGCAGGGCTGCATGCTCTGTTTTACTGACACACTAATGAACTTGTGCATGCTTTGTTCTTGTTTTGTTTGCTAGAAAGTTAAAGCTGAAAGTGCTGGGCTGTATGCTCTGTTTTGCTTTGAAATTGATTAACTAACATGCTTGCCTGCCTTGCTCTGATTTTCTATGTTTGTTTGAGTTTGAGTTTTTATTTCATTAATTGACTGTTGCATGTTTATGTTAGTATGTTGACTATTGAACTTAAGTATTTGATTCGCTTTTGCATCTTTATGTTAGTATGTTAACTATTGTACTTAAAGTATTTGGTTTACATGACTTTTGCATCTTTATATATACTATTTCATCATTATTGGGTACCAATTTTTTTTTTCCTTAACTTGCGCCTCACTTCCTCGCCTTGCGCCTCAGGCTCCCAGAGGCCTTGGTGCCTTAGTGGGCCTTGAGCCTTTAACAACTATGGATAGTTCCTTGTTTAAATGTAGCCCAAGATGCTTAATACTTCAAGAATTAAAGTTAAGAAAAAGCATTACTAGTGTGAAGCAAGTTAAAAAGTTATAATAGAAATTATTTTAGTGAGCTATATATACAATGTGGTTGCTTATAGAGTTTATATAGTGGTTTGAATTTCCATGAGCTTCTATGTTAAACTATCATTTTTACAGGAAAAAAGAAGAAGAAACTCTCAGTTATTTTAGATTGCAAACTAATTTTCTGTTATCACATAGATTGGTCATTTCTAGACTAAAATGTGAGGACTTGAATTTGTTTCGTCAACATGAAAATTAAAGATCCTGTAATGTTGGATTTTACTATGGTGCTGTGTTTCGATATATGATTGCTCGTCTTTTTACATTGTTAAATATTAAAATTTGAAATGTGTTGTGGTGTCCAAGTTGAATTGAGGTCTTGTTCATCGGAGATGATCACAGAGTATGATTCTCTACTGGTTATATATATATATATATATCCACTCGTGCGTCATAACCAATTATTTTTTTAGCTTTACAATGAGTCTTTTTTGTTGAAGTTACTCAACGATTTGGTGCCACTTTAATAGAACTAATATATTGGGTGGGATTTATGATTGAACCTAAGATATTCTAGTTGTGGAATAATTATTTTTTTTAAGCCAATCTTTCCAAATATATCTTTTTATTAATTTCCAACCATTCATAAATGGTTGGATGGTATTTATTTCCTTCCTAAATTTGTTTAAGTAGGAGTTTGTACATTATGGTAATGTTAATATTGGTTTACTTTGTATATTTTATATCTTAATATGGATAATTTGATTTTCTTCTGGTATATACAGATGCTGAAGAAATTGAGTAAACAACTGAATGGTGAAGATTGGTCATGGAACAATTTAAACACACTGTGCTGGGCAATAGGATCTATATCTGGGTCCATGATGGAGGAGCAGGTATGCTACAATCTTCCTTAGCACAATCTATCCTACTTAACATGATACTTGCACACTTCTTCATGTTAGCATGATCTTTCATAAATAAAATGATAATTGTAATTGTAATATGTTCATATATGACTGCATTACTGATGCTGAATTTTTTTGTTCTATGATTTATTTTGTTGATTTGTGGTTCATTTTTGTAAATAACATCCCTTTGCTTCCCAAGTTTTGCTTGAATAATTTATTATTTATAAACAAGTTTATGATGCTTTGTGATTGCCCTATCCTGATGCCTTCAGCTTTGTATTATTTCCAATTTGTCGTGGCTTGTGTTCATTTACCACATTGATGGAGCATTTCAGAATTGCCACAAGTCCATGCGAAGCAGTAACCTGTCCCACCTTTTTGTCGACTAAGTGGACCAAGCATGTAGCTGGGTTTGTTGTTCATGTCCTCATTGAGTATGTGGTTGAGGAACAGTATGAGAACTATCTCTGGAAACAAAGCCATATTTGAGTTTGTTTTCTCTTGGTGTACAACATGTGCATTGTACACGTTGTAATGATTTCTAACAAAAATCTGTCTTGAAGGATTATTTATTTTTATTTTTTTTTACTTGGCCAATCATAGCCTTTGTGTTTCTTTTCTAAATTTGCATGATGATTTTTGTCGTTTGATAGGTATTGAGGAATTTAGTTATACTCGTACGCAATACAATTTATCTTGTTTATTACAACTTTCAGTCCCAATTTAAATAAGCATTATGAATAGTGATGGAAACATCATTATTTTTATTTATTTATTTATTTTTCCAGTAGGGTAAAACCCGAAGCTCTTGTGGAAGTGCACCACAAAATGTCAAATAAGTTGAATGTATCTTTCTATTTATTTGGTAACATAATGGGTTGATTTATTTGAGTTAAATTTAGGATATGATGAAATATAAATTAAAATTGAATGATTTTTGGGATGAAGCTGGGCCCGTCTTGGTGTTTGTGGCACCCACAGATGCTGGATATATATATATAATTGGTGGTTCTTAATATATTGGAACCACCTTAACACCGTTTGAGCGTTTATATGGTATCTTTACTTGTCAATAAATATTATATATGGCCTGCTGATGAATAGTTCACTAGGTCTAGTTCTTGTGTTAAGCGAGTTATGGTTAATGTGAACTTTGTGATTCATGCCCAATGACGAAGAAGATAAGGGTGGAGAATATTATTTGGTCATATAAGGAGTGTTGAAGGCTATATTCTAACACAAATATGGTTACTCTTTACTCGAAGTGATATATTAGACACCAAGAGTTACGTGTTCTTATTAGAAGAATAACTTAATTTTACAATTTGAATTCCCCTTAAGCTTCCAAAATTACTTCAACCTGGTCCATATTTTATGTTTACATTGTTGTTAATGTATCTGCATGCGAATTACTGATATGTGGTGCCAATACCAATAGAAACTGATCAATGTATTTTGGTCTTGTCCTGTTCTTTGAAACTTTGGATGTATAATGCTCGAGTACTGCAAATGTTGTATAAATTCTCCTTTATTCTGTTGGTAAAGAAGGTTGTCCAGTTTGGAAGCAATATCATTAGTGGAGACTGTCTTTATTCTTGAAAATACTATGTGGCACTCACAAAAATGATTGGTACATGGTTTACCTTTAAATTATGGAATGTGTCTTTTTTTTCTTTCCAATTTTTATTTTAAATTATGCTTTCTTGTAAGTTGGCTGGCTTCTCACTTTGTTGACATTTTACCTGTAGTACGATTCTACGATTCTACCCAAAGGAGCGATTTTCATGCGATTTAACTCGTTTTGGGGGTCTATGATCGTAGAATCGTGCGATTCTACGACCTAGAATTGTGATTTGAACAACCTTGATTTGTTGTATTATTCCATATGTGCTACCTGCTTTACTTATCCTTCAGTTTTGAGTGCAGTTTCAAGTGTATATCTTACAATTTCTGCAATTTTAGTCTTCTGTACTACCTTTGTATTTTAAAAATTTGCTATCTTGTGTTTCTTCTTACTATTGATCTATATAATCTTTTGCAGGAGAACAGATTTCTAGTGATGGTGATTCGTGATTTGCTTAATTTATGTGAAATCACAAAGGGAAAAGACAACAAAGCTGTTATTGCAAGTAACATAATGTAAGAACTCGTGATGCAGATGTTCCTTCTCCAGTTAGGTTCATTCTGGCCTCTTTATTTACCAATCTGGTACACGAATACATGATGGGTCCTCATCTCTATTGTTCTGACCAGAAAGGCTTAGCCAAATTTGAACAATACAACTTTTTATCAATTACCATTTTTTTGCGACATAATAGCAGTGTTTTTAAGCACCACAGGTTCGTATGCTGCAATTGGTCATCTGGGGATTATAAAATAATTTGACCTCAGATAATCTGGCTTGGTGGTTTCATAGCCGACGCCAAGTAGTTGGGAAAAGCTTACTTTATTTTGTCTGGCTTGTAAATGCGTGATTGATTTGGGCAAATTTATATTAATTTTAATTCTTGTATGTTTGATTGACAGGTATGTTGTGGGACAGTACCCTAGATTTCTAAGGGCACATTGGAAGTTCCTGAAAACAGTTGTAAATAAACTGTTCGAGTTTATGCATGAAACTCATCCTGGAGTTCAGGTCTGGCGATCTATTCATTTAAAATGTAGATTCTTGCTTGTGATTAATTTTCAAATTCTTCTTATTGTAAATCGACTGCTATCTCCTGGAGAGGTTACCCCCTCTTTGTTCCACTTGTAAATTAATTTGGGTTGCCTATGTATATGTTACTTCAGTAAGAGATAGAGATAGCAACCAAAATTAACGTGGGATGAAGTTATTAGAAATGATTTAAAAAGTTCAATATAATAGGTGAGATGACGTGTAATGGAAAGAATGGAAAAAGAGAATTCATTTGGCCAACCCCATTCATGTGGGATTATGACATGTATGATGATGATGTATATGCAGCTTCAAGAAGGCTAGTTTTATTTGAGATTTCAGTTGAAAATGTCTGGTGGAGTTTTCAAAATAATAATGTGAATGATCCTGCTTGTTTTCTACTGGCAATGCCTAGAACTCTCATTAAGTGCAGATTAGATGTCAGCAAATGTGGTGCGGGTCCAATGTGACTATTCAAAAGCTTTTTTCCATCCAAAGCATATTTCATATTGGCATGTAAAACTGATTCATTTAAAAATTATAGATATTGCTATTTGTTGGTATCAGCATCTATGACCAACTATCTTTTTTTGAAAAGAACTAATGTGGTGTTTTTTTAATTTTATTTTTTTCCCCCAGGATATGGCCTGTGACACGTTCCTGAAAATTGTTCAGAAGTGCAAGCGTAAATTTGTTATTGTACAGGTAAAGTGTGATTCATTATTTTTGCTAAAACTTTTTAATTATTTTTTTTTGGACAAGTCAAATTTCAAAATTTCTTTTAAAATTTGGTATCCTTCATTTGTCAAAACTAAGCACGTAACAGGTTTATTCTCTCTTTTCCAGGTTGGAGAAAATGAACCATTCGTGTCTGAACTTCTAACCAGTCTTCCAACAACTATTGCAGATCTGGAGCCCCACCAGATTCATACATTTTATGAATCCGTATGCCTATCTGATGCCTCAAATTATGGATTTTAAATAAAAAGTTCCTTTTTTCGGTGATTTTGAAATAATTGCTTCCTGTTTCTTAGGTTGGTCAGATGATTCAAGCAGAATCTGAAGCCCAAAGGAGAGATGAATATTTGCAGAGGCTGATGGAGCTTCCAAATCAGGCAAGATCTATAAAACTGCTTTTTGTTTTGGAAATTCTCTTTATCATAGTGCCACACTCTCGCTCTGAAGTGCACTTACTTGTAGCAGTGAAATTTCTCGTTTGGGGATTATGATGTCTTTTTTTATGCAGAAATGGGCTGAAATTATAGGACAGGCACGCCAAAGCGTGGATTTCTTGAAGGATCCAGATGTGATCCGGACTGTGCTTAATATATTGCAGGTATGGCTTTCTAATCAGCATTGGTGCTTTGTTTGGATCAATGGGAATGCATTTTTTGCATTTGTGCAGCAACTTAGATATCTTTTGGGCTGCTTGTTTGTTGTTGGTATTATGTGTCACTCTTTGTTGCTGGTGAGTGAGTTTGTTTTCGAGCCACTCAGAGGGTGTTTGGCATTCTATGTAATATCATTCAACTTTATTTTTGAAAACCTAGAGGGAAGCCAACCCCTCCCATAGACCTAGTGTAACGGTGGGGCGCTTACTTTCTAACCCAAAAGCTCAAGTTATTGGGTAGTACTGCATACCTACTCATATATACCCATTTCACATCCCATCCGTATCCAATGCGGGGCACTTCTAACATTCTCCCACACCTGCCTACCCAGGCACTTCTCGAGTGTGGTACACTCAGGCGGGCGCTTGGTGTAATACTGGATCAAGGATTTGGTCTGGTTCTGATACCAACTGTAACGGGTCCGGCGCTTGGACTCTAACCCAAAAGCTTAAGCTATTGGGTAGCGCTGATGCACACCCATCCATATATACCCATTTCACAAATGATCTAGATTTGATGTGGGACACTTCTAATACCTAGCCTCTAGCTAATCACACCGACAACCACCAAAACTTCTGTATCTTTGCCCTTAAGATCTACATCTCAACCTCAATTTCATCTTGATTTTTCTAGATATTTTTGTAATTATTTACACGAGTGTACACTACATGTTTGCTTATATATACTCAACCAGTATATGTATATCTAGCTATGAAGCACGGACACGGATACGGGACACGGGTACGACACGACACGGATACGGCGACACGGCAAATTTTAAAAAAATAGGACTCGGACACGGCGGGGATACGCCTATAAAATTATATATATATGTATATATATATATATATATATATATATATACATACATATATATATATATATATATTCAAAATATAATTACTAGAATCTTGTACAGAAAAATAAAACAACAACAAAGAACAGAATCAATTTCAATAATTTCATCTCTGTTATAAGAAAAATATAGACAAGACAAAACAGAAAATAAATGAAAAATAAAGTTGATCCAAATTCCAAAAGAAGATGTGCAGAAGAGATATAGCTATAATGAACTAAATATGTATATGAATAAACATATATACTTTTAGTCTTTCACAAAGCTTTGTTCATGTAACTTAAATATATATATATATCTTGTTCATGAAGAGAGATAATTGAAGAAGAAGAAAGACTGAGAGGAGTGAGAGAAAATAAATTGTCTCACAGAAGTGTCGGACCGTGTGTCCGAGCCTCGGACACGCGTGTCCAATAAAGAATAATATTTGGACACTTTACAGAAGTGTCGGACACGTGTCCGAGCCTCGGACACGGGTGTCGGTGTCCGAAAAGTATCCGACACGGGTACGGGGCCCCTGGGAGGAGTGTCCGTGCTTCATAGATATCTAGATACTTATGCATGCACATAAAAAAGTGTCATCAGAAATGAAATTCCGAATGTCCTTGACACTGAATAAATGATCAAACATATAACACTGCTAGACTATTTTAGCCGGCTTGAGAGAACTTTTCCGTGACAGAAACGCGGCCTGAGCCTACTGCTCTGACCAGTCACCGGAGTCATATACTCCGATGAAATCCTCTGTTACTTTTCTTGTTAGTTTCTTTTTTCTCTCATGTCATGCGTTCTTTCTTGGAAGTCGCTCGCTTGTTTCAGGGTGGATTCGCGAAATCTGCTTCCACTCATAGAGGTGACTCGATCTTTTTGGATGATGACTCGGTTGGTAAGAGAAGGGAGGATCTAAAGACTGGCTTGGTAGGAAAATTCGACAAAGAAGTGGGGAATAGAGATCAGATTGCAGCTTGGGCTTCTCGGGCATGGAAGGTTTCGCCGGCGGTGGTTGTCTCGCCTTTGCCAGATTCTTTGCTCCTCTTTCGATTTCCATCTAAGGTGGAGGCTGAGAGAGTGCTCAAGGAGGAACGCCGCGATTGGGGAAAGGCCACTCTCTGGGTGGATTCGTGGAATTTTAGGGTGGGTTGCTCTGAGGTGTTAAAGGAGAAAGGGCTGAAGAAAGTTTCGTTGTTCGGCCTTCCTCTTCACCTTTGGAACCATGCTCTTTTTGTGACGGTTGGGGATTTGTGTGGAGGGTTTATTTGGGTGGATGCAGATGAATCTGTTGATGCTGAGAGGGTTCGGATTACCGTGTCGGATGGTTGTGCTTGCCCGCCTTTCATTTTTCTTCATGATGACCAATTTTGCTATAAGGTGGCTGTTTGGGAGGAGACTCTTCCACAGTTCGTCCCGACGATGGACAGCCTGGAAGGGGGTGACGGTTCTCACTTGCTGAAAGAAGAGTAGTGGTTGAGGTGGGTTTCCATGGGTGAAAAAGGGATGGAGGAGTTTCAGAGATGGAAGGAATGGAGAGATGAACACTGCTTGCTTCAGAAGGATCTTTACTCAGCGTAGGAGGGAAATCCATTCTTCCTCGAAGGTTGGTGGCCGGAATCTTGGTCTCCGGGATTTGCAGAGGCGGCAGATGTTTTTGCAGAGTTGGGAACGAAGGTTGAATCGAGGTGGGTCTCATGCATCGGGCGCGTTGATGGGGAAGCGATGGTGACCACACATGTAGTTGGCGCAGAAATGGTAACCGTTTTAAGTGGGATACAACTGTATCCAATTTGAATTATGGCATTGGGGCTTGAGGCAGGGGGGTCCGATTTCTCCTTTCCTTTTTCTTTTTGTGATGGAGGCACAAGTTGTTGAAAAAGGCTGTTGATCTGGGATTGTTGAGAGGCTTTCTGGTGGGTTGAGATGTTGCTAGTCAGTTGGAGATTTCTCACTTGATGTTGATGATACTTTGGTTCTTTGTGATGCTGATGCATCCCAGCAGAGACATTTGAGATGCGTTTTAATTTGGTTCCAAGTTGTCTCTGGGCTTAAAGTGAATGTTGGAAAGAGTGTTTTGGTTCCAAGTTGTCTCTGGGCTTAAAGTGAATGTTGGAAAGAGTGTTTTAGTGTCCGTTGGGGATGTTCCTTATCGAGATGTTTGCTCAGATCCTCGGATATCGCACCGGCTCTTTTCCTATTTCTTACTTAGGTTTGCCTCTGGGTGCTCCTTTGAGATGTGTGGGGAGTTGGGATCCGATGGTGGATAGATTTGAGAAGAGGCTGGCGGGTTGGAAGAAGCAGTACCTCTCCAAAGGGGGGCGGGTCACTCTGATCAATAGCACTCTCTCTTGCCTTCCCACCTATTTTATCTCCCTTTTTCGGATTCCTTCTTCGGTGCGGAGAGAATTGAGAGTTTGCAGCGGAATTTTCTTTAGGGAGGGAGAGGAGTTCAAATATCATCTGGTTCGATGGGAGCAAGTGTGCCGTCCTCTTCGGAGTGGAGGTTTAGGGATTCGAAGGTTGTTGCCTTTCAATAGGGCTTTTCTTGGGAAATGGCTTTGGAGATTTGGGGTTGAGAGGCTTTGGCTTTGGAGGAAAGTTATTGCCAGCAAGTTTGGGGAAATCAGTGGTGGGTGGTGTTCTCTTGAGGTGCGTGGTCGTAGGGGTGTGGGGGTTTGGACTTGCATTCGAAAGGGATGGGACGTTTTTCGTAATCATGTTCGCTTTTGGATCAGGGATGGTAGGAGGATCAAATTTTGGGAGGACTTTTGGTGTGGGGAGCTTCCCCTTGCTCTCTTTTTCCCTCGGCTTTACAGTATTGCTTCTGACAGGCAGGCCTTGGTGGTTGACTGTTATCACCTTGATAATGGAAGACTAACTTGGGACGTTCAGTTTAGGAGGCATTTTCAGAATTGGGAAATTGAGGAGGTCACTCGTTTTTTGGAGTTACTGTATCGACAGGTGATCTCTCACGAGGAGGCTGATCGTTGGCTTTGGAGTCCACACTCTCAGGGTCGATTCGAGGTGAGATCCTTTTTCGGGTGCCTTTCTGTTGGGGAGGGTGGCACTTTCCCTTGGAAGGCTATTTGGCGCTCCACGGCTTCCCTTAAGGTGGCCTTCTTTGCTTGGACGTTTGTCTTGGGTAGGATTTTAACCCAGGATAATTTGAGGAGGAGAAAGCATGTGGTTATCAATCGCCGTTACTTGTGTCGACATGATGAGGAGACAGTGGATCACCTTCTGTTGCATTGCAGTATGGCCAGAGATTGTTGGGATATGATGATTGGGTTATTTGGGGTCCCCTGGGTTATGCCTTGTTCCTCTAGAGGGTTGATTGAGGCTTGGAAAGGTTTCTCAGTTGGGGCGCTCATCCGGGATGCTTGGAGGGCTATCCCTCTCTGTGTTTGGTGGTGCATTTGGCTCCAGAGGAATCGGAGATACTTTGATGGCAAGGAGAAACCCATTTCTATGCTTAAGTTCTCTATTATTTCTACTCTCTTTTGTTGGGTATCAGGGAGAGATTATCGTTCTGTTGAGGAGATTGTTTTATTTTTTTGGCCTCTTTGAAGGCTTGAAGCTTTTTGTGGCCTTCTCATCTTTTTTCCTTGGGTTTCGCTCCCCTTTGAGCGTTTTTTATAAAATTTTTACTTATCAAAAAATAAAAATAAATGATCAACATTACTGTTACTGTAACTAGAACCGTCACTATCAATCCAACTATTAATGTTTTTATTTCTGTTCGGATCTTCACTTTCGCTGGTATTTTCAATAGGACCAAGACTACCCGTTGATTTACTCAGCCTACACCTGTGTTGTAACTCCTTAAACAACATCAATTTGAACCACCACTTTTCCATAGAGTTTTCTTGCCCCCTATTTGCATGAAAATACAATAGATGAAGTTCACAATTGATTTCAATTTTCAACCCAAATTTTATTTATATATATATATATATTCTACTGCTTGCAACTCATTTATTTCTATTCTCCATGAATGTCAAATAGTGGTGGGTTTGGTTGAGAAGTTGCCGGGAAACATGGAAGTTGCTAGGAATGGTGTGTTCGCTTAGGTTGTCCAATTGGGTGGGATAGACAGAATTCTTGATAGTGGTTTTGCTGGTGGTATAGTAGTGGGTTTTTGACGGGCTTGGTGAATTTGTAGTGTGGTAATGGTAGCCATAATGGTTGATGGAGATGTAGTGGTTGTTTTGTCACAGGTTTTGGTTTGTGGTGATGGGTTTAAGAAGAGTGGATGAGGGAGTTGCATGGGAAGGTAGAGAGATGGGTTTAGAAAGAGAGTTTCAAACAGAGAGGTTAGAGATCGAAACTCACTGTGTAAATTAAACCCAATGAATATAATTGCTAGTATATTTTACAATTAATTTATATATTTTTATTAGTGTATGCTACGGATATGGAGAGATTGGTTTTGGGAAAGAGAGCATTTGATAAAGAAAGACAATATTGGAAGAGGGAAGATAGAACAGATATGGAGAGAGAGAACACAAATCAATATATGCTATTAAAGTTAGTTTTTATGTATCAAAATCAATGGCAAAGTTGGCATTCTATAATATTTTTAAACGTACTTAATGGTAGATAAGGACATCGGAAAATCAGAGAAACCCAGGATAGGTTGACTGCAATTTCTTACCAAAGTTTTTTTAAGAGTAAAAGGGTTAGATGTTGCCTGACCTCCGCATATGGACAGTGTGTTTCCCGTTTCAAACCCATGACCTTCGTGTTATAATTGAGCAACCTTATCGTTGTGCCAAGGCCCACCCTCAAATTTCGATTTGAGAGTAATTACCCAATACCTCAGGGGAGGTCTGGGTAAGTGGTTGAATTGTTTTGTGCTATTCCCTGAAACTTATGATGAGGTTTTATTTTGTTGCATTCAAATTGTGACTATATGACTGAATGCTGAAATGATCGTTTTGTTTTTTAATTTTTAATTTTTATTTTCTAGGATCTTACTTTGGATTGATGTAATATACTTTATAATACATTATTCATGCTGAATTATTTTAGATTTGAAATTGCAATATTCAAATTTAAAGGCCTGTTAAATTTTTTTCCTGTGGAACATACTTGAATTTATGGCCCAGCTAAGAACATGGCTTATTATGCTTTACAAGGAGACGAAGAATATATATATTTATTTTAGGTTTGATTCACATGATAGGCTTTTTTCTGCATTCAATTCACTCCGTTTTTTTTTTTTTTTTTAAAATTTTTTTATTTATTATTTTTTATAAGTCTTATTTATGCAAGTCATTCTTTCTTGGCAGACAAATACAAGTGTTGCAAGTTCTCTTGGGACATACTTCCTCCCCCAAATTTCACTCATATTTCTTGACATGCTTAATGTGTACAGGTACAGTTTTCTTTGGTGTTTAACTTTAATACTTTGGCTATAGAACTTCATTTTTCCTCTCAATTTTTTTTTTGGACCTTCAAATTATCAAATGGCTTCTCCTCAACAACTAATGCATTTTTATTTCTTGCCAACAGAATGTACAGTGAGCTTATCTCAACCAACATAGCTGAAGGTGGGCCCTATGCCTCTAGAACATCTTTCGTTAAACTTTTACGGTAAGATAATATTGAGTTGTTATTTGAAGGTCCAGTGAGCTTATCTCAACATGGCATATTGTGTGCAACATTCTCATTTTTCCCCCATTGTATTACTCTTCTAAACAGCTCGGTGAAGAGGGAAACCCTTAAGCTCATTGAGACATTCTTAGACAAGGCTGAAGATCAACCACAAATTGGTAAACAATTTGTGCCCCCAATGATGGACCCTGTCCTAGGTGACTATGCTCGGAATTTGCCTGATGCGAGAGAGTCGGAGGTCTTGTCACTTTTCGCCATAATAATAAACAAGTATGTACCTGTTTCTATCATGTTTGTTGGTGCGTCATTATTTTGTACAGCTGGTGAGAGTGCAGATGTTAATCACTTGAAATGACCACTACTTGATGTAATCAACAAGCCAGTACCCATTGTTAGATATTATAAATTTTCAATGAATTGTCATTGAGTTGTTAATAGTTTACCAAGAAACTAAATGTTGTTACGAATATAAATATTAGTTATTTGAATTTAATTGACACTACCCAACTGTTGTGTAGTCTATTTATTTTTGTGAACTCTTCAATTGATTTATTGTTTATGGTCATATGAATATTGTGGCATATTATTATTAAATTTTTAACTTTCTCCACCATGTGTTTAAGCCACTGCTACACATTTCGTTGGAGTTATGCATAGCTGGTGAAGTCATGCTTTATATAAAAACCAATTGACTTTCCAAAACATGTTTAAATCTACTGTGATTTCTTCTGTAATGTTTCATTTTTCATTTTATTTTCCATATGTAGGTACAAATCTGCAATGATAGATGACGTTCCTCGCATATTTGAAGCTGTTTTTCAGTGTACTCTGGAGGTATGGATGAGTAATTGTGTTTAAGTATGGAACTAATCTTTATCTTTGCGGTTGTTTCTTCCGATGCACTTCCGCTGCGCCAATAATTAGCCCTTGTTGTTTTAAACAGTTATATCAACGATAAGTTTTTGTTTTATACAATTTATCATGTGCATTCTTGTAAGAAGGAAAGGGTTTAGCAGACACTTCATTGAATGAAATTGGGTATTGATATTCTTTGCTCGTTCTTTAAATTGTTTCAAACAACTAATCAATTATCAAGAGTGAGCCATAATTTCCCCTGCACCAGATGATACTTCGGATGGGAGAAAATCATTTTAAATTAATCTTTTTTATTATTATCATCATCTTTAATAATACCCGTGTCTATAATTTCTTTATTTTTTACTAGGTTTGAATTGATTCTTTTCTATTGCTAGATAAAGTCACAAAAGATTTAAAATATAACTATTTATTACCTTACGACACCACATATAGGTTATGTTGTGGTTCATCTGAATTTCTATAGTCTGATGCATATAATTGAGCTGGGTCTTGGTGCGGTACTGTAGAAACCTTTCTGGGCATATGTGTGGGTGATGTGTGTTGCTGTGCATCATGTTTTTGTATCATTCATGCAATATTGAAGACAACTTTTGGCCTTAGAAATCTTTTTAACATTTTGTTGATGTGTTTCGCAATAGATATGGAATTATGGATCAGCCCCCACGGATTATCTTACTTATTTTCTGTTTGACATATCTGGTTGGCTTGGATCGCAGATGATTACAAAGAATTTTGAAGATTACCCTGAGCATCGCCTCAAGTTCTTTTCTTTACTTCGTGCTATTGCTACACATTGTTTTCCAGCTTTAATTCGGTTGTCAAGTCAGGTTTGTGCACAAATTTTTTCCCTTATTATGCTTTGTCCTTGCTTATAGGCCTTGAATTTATATTTATATATATATATATATATATATATATATATATAATCCATTATGTCTTATATTTGGATATATTCATATCTTTCTTTTTACAACATTTTTTTTTTTAAAGTTCTATGTAGCCTTTCTAGTTTCAATGATCATTTCTTTTCCTTCGGGCGTTTTATTATTATTTTTTTTTTGGACTCACGTCAGCAACTAAAGCTCGTGATGGATTCTATCATATGGGCTTTCCGGCACACTGAAAGGAATATTGCTGAAACGGGGCTAAACCTTTTGTTGGAGATGCTGAAGAACTTCCAGGTGTGATTATTGTGATTTGTCATCTTATCTTGAATATGCTTTAATTTATGCCATTGCAGGTACTAATCTTGTTGTGGGTTATTTGGCAGGCTTCTGAGTTCTGTAATCAATTCTACCGGACTTACTTTGTGACAATTGAGCAAGAAATTTTTGCTGTCTTGACAGACACATTTCATAAACCAGGGTTCAAGTTGCATGTATTAGTGCTCCAGCACTTATTTTGCCTGGTAATGGATCTTCTTTTTCCCAATTCTTTTCAGCTTCATTATAATGTAAATTTTCCTACAGTTGTAGTGATATATTTTCAGGCGGAGTCTGGTTCGCTAACAGAGCCTTTGTGGGATGCATCAACTGTTACTTATCAATATCCAAATAATGCAACGTTCGTTCGTGAATACACAATTAAACTTTTGAGTTCATCATTCCCCAACATGACAGCGGTTGAGGTATGGAATGAAATATTAGTTTTAACTTTCTGTTATCTGGATATCTCTAATTTGACGGTTCTTTTTAGGTGACCCAATTTGTGAATGGACTCTTCGAGTCGAGAAATGACCTTTCCACATTCAAGAATCACATCCGAGACTTCCTGGTACAATCTAAAGAATTCTCAGCTCAGGTAAACGTGAAGGACATACTGTTACGTGCACTGCCAAATTTGCTTGGAGGTTTTAATTGATGCATGCTTTATAGATTTTATTACCCGTGTGGAATTTGATGTTCTAAGTTAGCTTTCAAGTTAAAACGAGTCATTGTTGAGGTGCGAATGGTTAGAAAATTAGATTAAAAGATTGAAGTGTAAAATAATCAGCTACAAGTTTAGATGTCTTAGTATTAATTTATGCATCTCTCTCTCGTTTTTTTTTTTTCATCATTTAAGGTGTGGAACTAAACTTTGGAAGTTGACATCAATTTAAAGAAAATTTTAATAAACTAGTTTGGTGTGGCTGGTGTGACCTGGAACTTCGTATTTCCGTACTTCTAAGCAGCCTTGTAAATTTTTCTTTCCATTCAAGATGCCTTTATCTTTTCTCGAATATGCCTATTCTATTTTTTGTTCATTTTTGACAGCAAACAAAATCAATAGCATAGATATATTGATTTGAGTTCTTATTACAAACTCGATGAAGGTTGTGTTATTGGTTGTAATGTTAGGTGGAGGGTAGATATACAAATGGAAAATGAATTAAACATTAGTGTAAGAATATTGATATATAAACCTGTAGTCTTTTTCTTTTTCTTTTTTTCTCTCTCTCGGTAATGTCAAAAAGTTTGGTTCTTAGTGTGGGAGTGGGGTCCCTTTCCTTGCATCTTATTTTATGGACTAAATTACTATAATTTACTGTTCAACCTTTTCTGCAGGACAACAAGGATCTTTATGCAGAGGAAGCTGCTGCTCAGAGAGAGAGGGAGCGACAACGGATGCTTACCATTCCCGGGCTTATTGCACCTAATGAGATACAAGATGAGATGTTGGACTCGTAGATGGTTATTCTTGCTGAGGAGCTAATTTCATGGGTATAACTCTGGAGGTGCTGTGGGCTCTTGAAATCCATTGCCACACATTTTTGGAGGTTACCAGATCAGTAATTTTTTCCCCATTTTTTCTGATGTTCCCCGAGTTTTCGTTAGTTCTGAACCGGTGAATCATGAAGGTGTCCCGGCGCAAAGGCTTGGCTGTTGATAATGCAGTTAGCTAGGTGTAGAGTATTTGGAATCTAGTGTAGGGATATAGCAGAGTCGTTATGGTACGGGTTCCTGAATTCAGCTTGGCGTTGTAATTGATTACAGAGAAGACGAAGAACTGTGAAAGGACTTGTCTTAGTATCGATGATTCAGAATTAGTTCTAATGTATACAACTTTCATAGTTTGTGGAAATTTTCCCCTTAGATGGAACATGATGTATCTTGGTATTCATTGAAAGGTTTGATTTTTGTCTTCTGGTGAATTAACTGCGACTTGTGTGGAACATAGAATTTTGTTTAGATTTGATGGGTATTTTTGTTTGTCGATGGAACCCACCCGGATAGCTTTATCTTCTCGGTGAGCGTTTGTGCCCTCTTATACAAATGAATATTGGAAGACTTCATGTACAATATAATGATTTTGTCGCAATGTGTCTTTATTTCCTTTCAGTTGCGATTTTGTATGATTATGTAGTTTATTGCATTTGCACTGGGAGATTGTTTATGGAGTCTATTCATCTATCCAGTAATCCGCTCGCGCGCACACCCACAAATACACACATATATATATATACACATGTATGTTTGTACTTTACATCACAAATCCAATGTGATAGGTGCAATAAAGTTTGCAGGAGAATGCAAGAAAAAACATTTTATGCAATTAATTGAATCTTACGGCACAACCAATGGTCCTAGGCACAATAAAGTTTGCAGCTGTCGAGTATAAGAAAATAATTTTGTGCCATCTCCCAACAACTCTTCAATGGGATTGCCAATACTGCGGGACCATCTTGCTTAGCTCTGTTCAAAACCTTAAACCGATCACACGCCCTTCGTGGTGATGCATGATGAAGCCTTTGTATGATGTGCTGCTCCCATCTCTCTCTATATACTGGTTCTGAGTGAGATTTGAACATGCTTTGATTTCATGAGAAGTGATTCTAGCTCAACTCAATGCATAGAACTTTCGATCCGCTGTAATTCAACGTGACCTCCAAATCTGAGCGCATCAGGTGCTCAAATTCTTGAGCTTCCAATTCAACATGACCTCCAAATCTGAGCGTATCCGGCGCTCAAATTCTTGAGCTTGGGTTGGAAAGTGTCAGGTTGATTTGGGGGTAACCTCAGATGGTTGGAAAGTGTCGGGTTGATTTGGGGGTAACCTCAGGTGAATCTGAGGGAATCATGTGCGGTTGTGCTTTGGTTCTACTTAGTTTTGCATAAGAGATGTACGCAAACAAGATATAAATATGAGTAATGATACCCTGTCCGACCATTTTGACCGAATTCTAGTTCACATGATTTTTATTCGAATCAAACATTAGAATTTGATTTACTCCGTAAAATGAAATTAAAAATAAAATCCCTTCCAATCGATTTTGGTCTTTGCCGTTGTTGATTGATCTATACGGTGACATTAACTTAAAAGATCTTTACTCTCGAATTTGAGTATCATCGTTTTTCTTTTTTGGTTGATTGATAGTTTTTCGATACAAATATTTATTTTAATTTTGTAAGAAATTTGACATTAGAGTCTAGTGTAACGGTAACTCTTTTGCATATTTTTCATTTGGAATTGGAAAGGTCTTTTCTGGGTCGCAAAGAACACCAATGGCCAATTCTGTAACAATCCTCTTTTACACACACTTTGTTGCAACAGAGATTGAGCCGGAATCAAATGGAGAGAAGAGAGATGAAGAATCGATCAATGTGAAGAGGAGGATTTGAATGACCAACGGAATAAGAAATTTTATTATTGTGCTCCTTTGATTTTGCGAATTGAAGAGAGAGAGAGAGCCAGAATCTGAGAGTAGAAGAGAACAAAAAATCTAAATGAGTGGTGATATTGACGAGAGAGAATTGAAGATACACAAAGAGGGAGAAAGATAGGAAACCAGAGAGAAAATCGAAGAGAGGACTAAAACGGTTTTTAATTTCAAGTTCTAGAACTTTAGTGCTTGTGAAATGACATGACAAGTTTACATAAAATTCGGACTAACCGTAGGACAAATTGATTGGATAGAGTATCATTACTCTATAAATATATGATATTATAACTAAATTCTTAAGAAAATTAATACTTTGAAGGATAATAAATATATAGAAGAAAGAAATTTGCTTGGAAATTATGTTGGACTTCTAAATTTTAATCAAAACTCAAATTTAATACTTAGTAAAAATGGTTTATCCGAGGGAAATTTAAAAAAAAAAAAAGGAAAAAAAAAAAAAAAGTTGGGTTCAATATATTTCACTCATATTACCAATGTGGGAAGTCCAATTAAACGTATTTATTTTCAAAACTTTTGTATTGGAACAATTTGAATGTCTTGATTTCTCTAAAATCTGTAAAGTGACCAGAGAGTGTCATTTCAATTTGGTCTACATAAAATGAGCATCCTTCATAAGTTTTGGCTTTATGGTCCACCGTTTTGTCATCACTCGTTCAAGCAAGCCAAGCTTTGAAAAGTAACGAGCGGGAAGAAAGTTGCAAGGCCAACGTTTCAAACACAAATTCCCCTATCTCACTTTCTCTCTCTAGAATTCTCTCTGCAACTCCAACTGCAACTTGTTCACCGCTTCTCACCAACACAGGTGCTTCGTCTTTCTCTATCCATTAATCTATCTATAAATCGATCTATCCATCTATTTATATCAATCCGTTAGGGTTTTCTGTTTTTAATTAAATGATCAGATCTTGCCGTTTGGTTTCACTTTTGGGTATTTAATGTTTAGGTTTTTAGAACTTCTAGTGAAGATGTGGATTGGAAGTGGTCCTCAACATTTGTCCCGATTCATAGTCGATAGCACTGAATCATTTGCAATTCAGAATTATTTTTGTCTTGTTCAAATTTAGCATTTCGATTGAAGTTTCTCCGCAGAGAAAGTTAATTGGAGGTGCTGTTTATTTATTTATTTTATTTTATTTATTTATTATTATTATTATTATTTTGATACAGATGTGTTGGGTATTTTTATATTAACGTTGATGATTTGGTTTAATTTATTATGGATCTTTACTGAATATGCTACTGGGGACACCACTGTTCATGTTTTTTCATTTGGCTAGTTAAATATTTGTGCAATTTTAGGTAATTGCTTAGAACAAAGAATTTGTTTTAATTAAGTTAGTTGATATGTATCAACTCACCAGACAATCTAGTGTGCTGATGAATTTAATTGTCAAATTAGTTGCACGTGGAATCAGTATGTATGTCTTAATTGCTGAATTTTACTTACTAAAAGTTATTATTATTATTTTTATTTCTGGATTCAGAAGATGGGTGTCGAAAACTACCACGTGATTGAGCTTGTAGGTGAAGGTTCTTTTGGGAAGGTATACAAGGGAAGGCGGAAGTTTACAGGCCAGGTATGCGTGAAATTTTATTGTTCTCTTGTGGCTTAAGTTGTTTAAAGGTCATTTCGTGTTTTATGATGCTGTTGTTATTTTACACTTGTCAGACTGTTGCAATGAAATTTATCCTTAAGCACGGTAAAAGTGAGAAGGACATTCAGAATTTAAGACAGGAAATCGAGGTAACTGAAGCAGTTCGTGTGGATCAATATGGAGTTTGTTATATCCCCCACCCCCTCTCCCTATATTTGTGTGTGTGTATATATGTATAGGTTAAATTAGTTGTCCTTTGTTTTGCTTAACATTTTGCCTCTATGGCACATTTGATGTATATTTGGCTCCTCTTAAGGGGAAGCCCTACAATAACTGAAGTTTTAACAACCTATATTGTAGAGAACTTGCCGAATATGGTGATTGCCATCTTAGGTTCATATTAATAATTCCCTGGAATTGTGTTTGCTCCTTTATGCATATACATACATATAATTTCCCTGCATGCTTTGTCCTTCCCATCACTTAATATTCTGTAAGAGATAATTGTTGGTTGTCTGATGTGATTAAGATTTTGTGTTAGATGCTAATTTCTGGGTTATGCTGCTGGCCTAAATGTTGCAGATTCTTAGAAAATTGAAGCATGAAAACATAATTGAAATGTTGGACTCCTTTGAAAGCCCACAAGAGTTTTGTGTTGTCACAGAATTTGCTCAGGTAATTGCTCTTTCTCTCTCTTTCCCCCTCTCTCTGACTCGAACACATTGCTATTGTGCACATGTAGAGTGTGTCCAATATAACAGCTGCCTGCAGTAGTTAAGATTAGGAAGGAAGATGTTCAGATGCATTAGTAGTTGATGACTTTTGTCCATATACAGGGTGAACTTTTTGAGATTCTGGAGGATGACAAGTGCCTTCCTGAAGAACAAGTTCAAGCAATTGCAAAACAGTTGGTACTGTATTCTCCTGAAACGTTGCTTCTGTTACTAGTTCTCTTGTCATATATCATCATTTTGATGCTTAGCCAATAGTTTTTGTACATCGTTTTAGTTTGTAGTTCCACCCATTACATTTTCTTGTTTTCCTATTGAAAGTTTATGCTGTTGATATTTTCAGGTGAGAGCATTGTATTATTTACACTCCAACCGTATAATTCATCGTGACATGAAGCCTCAAAATATTCTTATTGGTGCTGGGTCCGTTGTGAAGGTTGAATGGTTTCAAATTGCAATTTGTTTTTGTTTCTGAACACTGCCCATTTAAGCTAATACTATTTTCTCTATTGTTTAAAATGAAGATTTTCATGCTCATAAATTTTATTCCTGTATTTTCACATCCTCATTGACTTGACTAGTGCATACAGTCACTAAATGTTACTGAATACAATAAGTCTTGATTTCCTCTTCCTAACCCCATGAAAGCTAGTCTCCTAGATGAACCTGCTGACCTTTCTGGTTTATGTAAATTAGACACTGCTATATGCTTATGTGAATTATCCAAAACATGGTGTAATACAGTTCTTAGGGTTTATTCCTATCTATGCATGGTGCTGGAGGGAGAAAATCCAAGCCTAACCTTTGGCATTATTTTGCACAAAGTGATTGCTTTTAAACTACCCAACAATCATCACTAATGCCTGTACAAATTGGATTAATATTCATTTTCGAATATTTTTCTTAGTTTCTAATATGGAAACTATATAATGATTTTTGTCATTTTAGGGTAATTATATTGGGCTTCTGAAATGTCATTCAAATATTCCTATTATTTTTTGTGGCAATTCTATACTGATTTTTTGGGTTATTACTTGCATCTGGTAGACTGTTGCTACTTAATGCAATTTTAGTAACTCAAAAAATGACTAGTCAAGAGATATTGTACTGTTGGTCTTTGGTGTTGTGAGCATGGGCCTTATTGTTGGAGTTCTTCCACATAACTGGCAGAAAACTGTTTGTCTTTGGCATTGTGAGCATGAGCCTTATTGTTGGAGTTCTTCCACATAACTGGCATAAAACAGCTGTTATTTGAGAAAGAAAAATCTAAAATTCCTCAAATTATGATTTAGTGGTTCTCCTACATGTTATATGCCTCTCCATTTTATATTATTGCTACAAAATTTGTAGGTTTTATTTTGCAGTTCTGTATTTACTCGTCTCTTTTGTTCTTCCTCAAAGCAGCTAGTCATAATATGTTGTCTGGTTGAATTTGTCACAGCTTTGTGATTTTGGGTTTGCACGTGCAATGTCAACCAACACTGTTGTTTTACGATCCATAAAAGGTAACAGGGCATTTTTGTATTAGTTACAGAGGACAAATGAAAGTAGAATTACACAAGAGACTCCTCATGTGTTGACAATTTCTGTTGGTTCCTTTGCTGCCACTTATTACTGTACTTTTAAATTTATTTTAGGCACTCCTTTATACATGGCTCCAGAGTTGGTACGGGAACAGCCTTACAACCACACTGCTGACTTGTGGTCTCTTGGAGTCATTCTGTATGTAAATTTTTCATTGAATTTGATCCATTTACATCTCATATGGAAAGTGATATCCATTTTATTCTTTTTCAATTTGCTAGCTTAAAAAATTTCAATTAAGGCCGGTCTTGTGAATTGTGACCTGATTAATCAAACTCTTTGAACCAATATCTCTTTCCGAAAATTAGGCTTCTCTATTTAAATAAGACATTTGCAATTGTGCTTTGAAGTCGGAGGATCTTTTGCAAATATCATAATTGCATATATTTGAATGGGAGTATCTCTAATTCTAGGTTTTATGAGAGGTGAGCCTCAGTGAATGATGCAACCAGGCTTCCTTAGGTGAATTTTTGGTGTTAAAAGCATGTCACAGTCAACAAAAATGTTGGTAAATGTAAACAGTTACACATGCTTGTAACTTTCTTGCTATGCTTTGCACCTTGGGATCTGATTGACATGCATGTCATATGTGATTGATGTTGTTCAATACTCACCTAAGCATGTAGCAATTTCATTTTCAGAGCTTTGTGATGTTGGCTTCTGGTCTGTATTAGACTATATGATCCTGTAATATTTAGACCTAGTGCTTTCTACTAAATGGTGTCTTGCATTAAATAGGTACTGACAATTGTAGCTAGATACTCAATTGGAACTTTTATAGAATCCGGAAAAGTTGATCAAAGAAGTAACTTAATTAGTAATGAGAAGTAAACTGTTCTTCAACAAAGCATCTCTTCCCCTCTCAGCCTTTTATTGTTATAATTATGTCTTAGTTATGTTGTTATTGTCATTTCTCATAGAATGTAAAACTAGTTTATAGATTAATAATAAATCATTATATTGAGAATATGATGTATATAATTATATATAAGTACTGTGGAGAATAAGCTTAAAAGGGTACATTTTTGCGCAACTAGGTGTTTGGGGTAGTGCCTACACAATATATAGGACCATTGCGTTGGCTTATTTAGGCATTATTTCATCGTCATCTATAACTTTTGACTGAAAGCATGCGCTATGTTATTCTTGCCGTATTATTAAACCAAAATCTTCATGATTTGTTTTCTATAACAAATATTTCTTTCTTTTAAAACATTAAAGAGAATGTTATTAACTATTTTCATTTATAGTATTTTTTTATAAAACTTGTACCAACATGAGGTGGAAAGAAAATTTTCAAGTTTCGTATTGAATAACCAAAATCTAATGAAGTATCAATATTATTCTAATTTGCATGACAATTCTGGCAACATCGTCGAAAACAATGCAGTAACCATTTGATCATGTATTAGTCCCCTTCATTATCTTTCTTTACCTTCCGTGTTATTTCTCTGTTTGTCACCTGGAACTGAAAAGTGGCTGCTCATGCATAATCAGTTACGAACTATTTGTTGGCCAACCTCCGTTTTATACAAATTCAGTATACGCGCTCATCCGGCATATCATTAAGGTAGATGTGCTTGATCCTGCATAAGTTTTGAACCTAAAAGTACAATTCATAAAGATACAAATTTATCTGATATACTGTTTTCCAGGATCCAGTAAAATTTCCAGACAACATGAGCCCAAATTTCAAAAACTTCCTGAAGGGTTTGCTTAATAAGGTAGTATTTTATTGAGATTCAATGCCTGTACAGAGACTGTCCCTTGGTTTTGTTTTCAGTGACTTTCAGATGCTTATTTACTTATCAAAATCATGGGGAGCAGGTTCCACAAAGCAGACTGACTTGGCCTGCTCTACTTGAACACCCGTTTGTTAAAGAAACTCCTAAGGAACTGGAGGCCAGGGTAATTATCTTTTGATATACTTATAATGTAATGTTTTGGAAGTTTGCTTTGGCAGTGACAGTAGAATTGTGGGAAGCCTTAGTATCTGATCAATCTTTGTCAGGAGATTCTTGCTACAGCTGCTGCAGCTAGGGGATGTGATGCAGCTTGGAGGGGTGAAGGAAGGATTCATACATTAGCTGTTGCATGCCCTGATGGTAAGGTCTTCACTTTAGTTACAGTTAATTAGATTTTCTTAATCTAACTGTTGTAAGATACTTCGTCATAGGTAAAAGCCATTCTCCTGCTGCTTTTGAAAAGAGTGATGTTCGAGGGCTTCAGAGTGACCCACAACCAAATAGTCCTAACTCTATGATGGGAAGTTGTTCACCGCATGAGGAGTTCCCAGGATTTACGGGTCCCAGTGATATTGTACAGTCAGGTAGATTATGTTGAAATTGAAACATCTTTCTATAATGATTTCTTTTATTTATCCTTCCTGCTATAACTGGAGATAGTTTCCTTGGTTAACTTGTTTACTTACTCTAGAAGTACTTACTGTTTCCTACTTCTGTATGCATATTTGCGTGAAACATTCCACTTTTGTTTCCTAATTTGCAATTTCCCTTCCAATTCAAAGGACCAAGATAATTCCATTTCTTAAGGCCTTCTGACATGATCACAAAAGAGTTAACTTGGTGTTTTTTTCCCTCTAATTTTTCACTTGATAATTTTTTGCTCCTTTCATTTGTTATGTTATTCTTCCCCCCCCCACCCCTCCCTTGGCGTTTAGATTGCTAATTTCACATGCCATTTTCTTTTAAATATTTTATCCAAGCTTGACTTGATCTTCATATTCTATTCTTACTAGTTAGGCAGATTGCATTTATGTTGCTTATTGTTTATTTTTTATTAAATTTCTGTAAATTAAAAATCTCCTGATTTATTCTATCTTGAATTGAGCAAACTGTTTTCCGATGATAGGGCTTTAGGCTGTCTGAATAGGATGTAATAGTTTACGACTGTAATTGATCCCATTATGGAAACATCTAATTTTTTCCCCTTCAATTTGCTTTAGGTGTTAGTGAATAGTATTTGTCTCTCTGTTCAGGTTGCCAGGTCTTGGACAGGTTGGAAAATAATTCCCGCACGGTCAAGGGGGCAAAACTAATTGGTCAGGATAATGAAACCTTGTCGGTTGTTTTGCTACCACTAAAAAACTGGTGTAAAGGATCCCAAAGTTCTTGCAGGTAAAGTAAAACTGAGTTGCACATATTGAATCTTGAAGTGATGATTTGATACCATTCACTATTTGTGCTTGTATGTACATCATGTAGAAGCACCAAATGTAATTATCAACCTTGAACATTTTTTGTTTGGTCAAAGAATGTAAATTATTGGCGTTATTGACACATTCGGAGAAAACAAATTTTTTTGTTTTGTTTTGTTTTTTGTTTTTTTGTGTGCATAGAAATTGATTTGTATCTATTTATATTGCATGCGGAGTTGAAATTTTACCCAAGTAGTTGGGAAAAGGCTTGGTGTTGTGTACCTCCATTTATTCATTTATTTATTTTATATTTTTGCAATGTTAAGTAGATAAATTTTTGCCATTGATTGCTTAATAAACAAAATGGAAGAATTTCTTATTCATGGCTTGTCCAAGTTGTTGTGACTTATTTTTAGAATTTTTACTTGTGGCATTGATTAATATGCAAAAGATGTACTGATCACGGATTACTCTTTTGCACATCTGCTAGTTGTAATATTTCACATCACCATAGTGCTTGATGATTTATTACTGAGTTCTAGTTAGGTCATCAATTATGTGCACTTTGGTGAGTATCTAGTTAGCTTACTGTTGTTTGTTTGTAATATCTAATTGTTTTTTAAAATTGTACAGGGATCAAGATATTCTTAGCTCGAACCAGTCACTAAGAATTCTTTCAAACCTAGTTGCAGCTGGCGCAATCAATTCTACTGTGCTTCTTGATGAACTCATTAGTGAACTTCTTGGGTTCACTTCTACCATAGCGAACCAGAAATTGTCTGATTATAATGAACTAATGGCAAAGGTAGCTACGGATTTTTGAGAAAAATTCTATAGCTTGTAGCTTCACTTTATTCCTCTATGCTTTTACATCTTTGGCCACAATGCGGCGAGAAATAGCTGAGATGTCGTACCAAAATCCTCCTTTTTCTTTAGTGAAGAGTCTTTTATTCTTGTGAAAGGGCCAAACAATTACCTAATGTATGAGGCTTAGTTAACTTTTTTTTTTTTTCATTGGCAAGAAACTCACACACCCGTTTGTCCCTACAGGGACTCTAACTCTTACCTTCTGCTTTGGGAGGTAGAGGAGATACCACTAGGCTACACAACCTTTGGTGACTCAGTTAACTTTATCACTTAACAATTCAGAGTAGTATCAGGGTAGATTCAAAAAAAGAAAAATATTTTTTGGGGGGTGGGGGTAGATTTACTGAAATCTCTCTTAAATCCTTTAAGTTAATGTTCCCAGGGAAGCAAATACTTTTGTGTGAATATGTGTTACTGTTCCTATCTCAACTAAAAGGATCCCAGAAGTGTCAAATCCTGCTGATGTAATTTTTTTAATATATTCACAAACCCTTTTCCATTTTATTTAAATTTCTCTCAATTATCTTATTGAAAAGAATCTCAAATTTTAAGCACCAAACTCCATCTCCATTTAGTTTTATTAACTTTAACTTTCGGAAAAATATATCATTTTTCCAATTAAAGAAAGTCAAATTTTCAAGTTTGGTGCGTACTCATTTTTGTTATCATTAAAATTTCATTTGATAGAAGGGAAGGAATATTTTGTTAAATAAAGCGGATAAAAATTTATTAAAGTTTCAGTTATAAGCTTTGGTATACATTTGATTAGACTTTTCTTATTTTGTTACAAAGGAAAGTTTTCTTTTGGAGAAGGAAAGAAAGGACAGATTGCTTCAAAAATTTGCATCCACGGGAGTTGTTCACATGAAAATGAGATAATGGGAAATAATTCAATTTAAAGGGCTCATAGTTCACCAAAATTGTAGAAATGTTCTATGATATTTTGAACTTAGGTGTCATAGCTGCTGCCTACCCCCTCTAATTCCGCGCATGATCTCTGCTAGCTCATTAAATTCCTGAAATTTTGATTAATTTATTATAGTTTTCATCCTGAAGTTTACCCCTTCACCCGTTTTTTTATTGTTAAAATAGAATATCCTCTCAAGTATTGAAAACTATAACTACTTTTGTCAAGGTCTGTAGCTACCTTAGTTTTTTATTTTTGTGGAAAAATTTAAATACCCATTTATTGGCGGCTAACACAGTTCTAATATCTTTTGCAGAGCTTCTCAATCATAAAAAGATTAGTAGATAATTTTGGAGGCAATATTGGCGCTTCCTATTTCAGGCACTGGGTTGCCTTAGTAGAATTGTATTCACAGGTCTTTTTCTTTGCACAGGAATTTTTCTGTCTGTGGTTTCTGTGTAAAACTTGCACTTAACTAATGTTATTGAATCTGTAGGTTGTGAGTTGCACTGATGATGCATCCGGAAGAGTTCTGTATGAGTCCAGTGCTTGCATTACAGTCATGTTATCTAGCGTAGCTCAGGGTCTCAAAGCATCTCGTCCAGTTTCAGCTCCTGATGTGGATTCTCCTTCAATGGTGAATGGTATTTTTAAACAAGTTTTGGACCTTGCTAAGACATCAGGTTTAGCAGATCTCTTGTGTTTCTCCTTAGCAAGTTCAGGCTCAAGTCTCATATCAGGCTCTTCACATTTGTTGCGTGCTGCTTGTGAAGCTTGTAGGGCTATTTGGTCACTGATAGATGCATATGAAATTCTATCTTTGAAAGAAAGTACCTATCTATTCCCGCTAAGCTCTTTGCGGAGCCATTCTCTACTTCGACTTGATATTAGGGACCATGATCGAGGTTCTTTGGTTGGAACAGAATCAACAAAAGTCGTTGATTCAGTGACAAGAGCATTCCTCAAATCCAAAACTATACAGGTTGCTATTTACTACTGCCTCCATCAACGTCTTGAGGCTGCCCTGTCTGCTGGTATCCAGGTTTTTATTTCTTGTCCAATATCTTGTGCTATGTTACTAGGCTGCATGTTATTTTGCTTTTCATGATACATGTGTTTGTAGGCTTTTAACTTTTAAATTAAATACTATTCCAGTTCCTTGGTAGCCAACCTCTAATAAAGTTGGAAACAAGACTTTGTCAATTTGAATTTTTGTTGTTGTTGTGCTTGCAACATAAATAGCAGTCTGTTGGCATTGAATTGTACATCATTAATTTGGTGTAAGTATCCCCTTCTGCTGTCCAAAATGATGCAAATTACATTTTCTATCACAGTTGTGCCTATGTTTTTCATTACTATTACCTGCTGTATGCATTTTTGATATTTCCATCCTATTTTACAACACGTTTCTGTAGCAGAGCGCAAGAAGAAGAGAAAAGAAAATTACCCTTTTTTAGTTTATGAAAAAAAATAATAAATTAGTGTGATTTTAAAATGTCTATGAAGTTTTATTCTGTTCATCCAAAACATTTTCCTGACTGCGTCCCTGTTTTCGTGGTTCCTCATTCTAAATGAACTTTGCATGTCTGGTCAACTTCTGTTTCATGTATTTAAATAATGGAATTTAAGAAACCATGCACACAACTGTGCAAGTAGTCTTGATGCATTATGTTTGCCTATTACTTAAATAGTATATTTCCTGTCTTTCATCTTCATAAAGGGTATGTCATCTTCATAAAGGGTAATGAAGATCGTTTATTTACCAACAAGCCTGTGGCCTAGCGGTACCAGGCCCCTACTTCCCAAAGGGAGGTTAGGGGTTCGAGCCTCAGTGGAGGCATGTGTGTGTGAGTACCAACTAGAAAAAAAAAAAAGATCGTTTATTTACCCCAAAAAAAGGAGTTAATGAAGATTTACTCTGTTTCAGGTCATGTTGAGGTGTTGCCTGCATAATGGAATTGTTTCGAATGTTCTCTGTGGTCTGCCTAGTTCTTTACCAGTTACCACAATTGTCAGTGGCGGAGGAGATGGTACAATAATTTCAGAGATCTTTGCTGTATTATCTTTTTGCACTTCATCTTCAAACAAAGATCCACAAACAGGAGAAACTGGTAACCTGAAGTGCAAAATGGCCAATCCCTCTGTCCTGGTTTTGTATTCATGCCTTATCCTTGCCACTGTTGCACAATGTTTAAAGTCGTCTGGAAGAAATTCCTCTCTATTTATGCTTACAACATCTTCAAAAAAGCAGCTTTCTCGGCTCTCCATCCTTGCCCATCATTTCTCTTTCGATGATAGGATGAAATCTTCCTTTCAGCCGCATTGTGCCTCTGCTATGCTGGCTCTTGCTTCTATTTTGTCTTTGGAAAGTGGGATTTCTGTTGAATCTTCTGTTGCTGAGATAGCTGTGCCTTTGATCCCTAGGACTGCTACACTTTGCGACCACCTCAAGGTTCTACCAGTTGATGAAAATGGTGTAGATCCCAACATGCTGAATGGAATGCTCTCATACTGGTATGGCTTTAAAGATGGATGTGTTGGCTTGTTGGAGTGTAGACTCAGGTGGGGAGGACCGTTAGCTGTTCAACAGCTGTGTGCGAGTGGTATCCCTCTGCTTTTGCTTGATTTGTTGGCTAACAACGTTTCAGATGCTTCTTCTCGAGGAACTGATTGTACAAAAGATCAAAATGGCTTATCGCCTGTTGGTGTCGTGTGGACAATTTCTTCTATATGTCAATGTCTTTCTGGTGGAGCTTTAACTTTTCGTCAGATTTTGGTTAAGAGCGAACACATCAAGTTCATCTCTGATTTGATATCTGATGTACATCTTAAGCTAGTAAGGTGCTGGAGTGGGCCTGGTGGGGGAAAGGATGGGGTCAGAGATATTATAAATGCCGTGATTGATCTCTTAGCTTTTCCTTTTGTCGCTGTACAGAATGCCCCAGGCTTGCCATCCGCCACTGCTTCAGTGGCTAGCGGGTCCCTTCTTAATATGGGTTCACCCGGTGGGAGAGTTTGCATGGAGGACAAAGACTTGGTTAAAGCAATAGAGACCAACATGGGAAAGTATATTCAAATTCTTCTGGAGGTTATATCTTCTGTCTTTTTATTTTTTGTTATATATAATCCGTAATAGGTCTGAAAAAAGTGCAAAAATATCAAAAATTGTTATTTGTACCCTGTCAAAATTATGCCACACGATATATGCTTGTATTAGATTATATTTTGAGAGAGCTAAGAAAACTCTATCTTGTTGAAAGTTTATATACTTATACATCTATCTTTCCTCAACGCATTTCTTTAGATAAAGACTCTGTTCATCCTTCTGAATATCAATATTATATGGTTTCTCTGGGGTGGCAAAAAGGATTCACTAGTGTGCTGCATAATGTGCATTCTAATGAAGTTACAATGACGTGTTAACTTGATGCAATTTTCTTCCTGGAAGGTGTTACAATGAAATTGCACCATTGGTAGTAAGCATATTAGTGAATTGCTTGCTTATAAATTTGGTTCTGTATTGGAGTCATATGTTTTCAACAACCTGCTAACCACTTAATAGAAGGTTTATTTGGAGTTTCCAAAATTTCAACTTGCTAGATGAAAGTGCATGTCTAAAAACATCAATTCCAGGTTTTATTGAACATGGGAAGAAAACAATTAAATGCTGCACAGAAGCCTATTTATTTTTATGTTTTCTTACATTGTTACACAATTGTTTTTAATATTACAGGTAGGAATCCCTGGCATCATTCTTCGGTGCTTGGAACATATGGAGTTAAAAGATGTTGGAAAGCCTGTTGCATTTCTTGCTAAAATGACTGGCCATCGACCTCTGGCAGTTCAACTTTTGGGTAAAGGTTTGTTGAATCCAAGCAGAGTTAGAAGGTTGCTTGATAGTTCATGTCCAAGAGAGGTCATAGCGGATGTTCTAATGATCGTCTCAGATCTAGCTCGGATGGATAAGGTCGGGTCTAGCTTTAATCAAATGCTTCTTTCCATATATTGGAATTAACTCTGCTTCCTCATTTTATAGTTTTTCATTTCCTGACTTAGTTCTAATCAGGACATATCACATATTCTTCATGTAATTATGTTTTTAACTCCAATAAAAAACAATTGCTTATTCATGTAATTATTTCAGATCCTACACTGAGATAATTGTGAATTATAATTGATTTTATTTTCTTTGGTTCTCGACTGGATTACTTTCTTTTGTTTCAATGATAAAATATTCTACACTGGAAAATATTTTTTGGCCGACCCCATTCAAATGGGAAAAACGCAAGGATAATGATGACACTGGAAAATATTATTCATGTAATTTTTTTACATGAATAATATTTAAGCCTGCATATGACCACTAATATAGGCATTTTATAGTAGCTCACATGTATGCTGGTAATTAGGCATGGAGCATATAGGACAAGACGTACATAACTGTATGTATGTAAACTTATATATGCAAATATATATTTGTATGTGTTTGCGTATAAATTATAACTGCCTATATTTGCACTATTCTTGTGTATATGCATGTATACATGTGTGTGTGTGTTATTTTGGCATATGAGTTCAAATTTGAAAATGTCTTGTGGACAAAACATCACTTTCGTTTACAGTTGCGTAAATAGCTTTTGGTCAACTAAACGTCTAAAATAGCTGAAAACATTTCCAGGAAAACATTTTAAGCCAAAAGAAATATTGTTAAGTTAATTATGTCTTCCAGATGTCATATTAAGATTGACGCTACTATATTTTGGAGTCTTGTGTATTTACTATGAGAGCCTTGTCTTGGGCCCTTTGTGCTTATGAAGTATCAGAAGTTCTCTCTCTCTCTCTGTTAGTATAATCTTTTATTTTTATAACTATGATCTGTCATGCGTAGCTTGTAGCAATTTATTGTTTGATAGTTCACCAATAATGCAAATTTTTTTGTCAAGAAAGTCTGAATCTCAGCTACCATGGCAACTTTAATTGTCATTTTGATGAAGACTAAATATCCTTGGGATTAATATATGAACTATAATTGAAGGTTTCTAAGAAAGTTCGTATGAAGTCTAATTTTCGAAGTTAAATTATGTTTTTGCAGACATTTTACGAATACATTAATGGAGCAGATATGTTGGAGTCCTTGAAGGGGTTCCTTACCCATGAAGATCCTATTATACGTGCGAAGGCTTGCAGCACTGTAGGCAATATGTGTCGGCATAGTTCTTATTTCTATAGTTCACTGGTAGGTAATACAAATTAGATTGCTTCGTTTTAAATCACGCAAAAGCCTTTTACGTTTGACTGTTTGATTGTATAAAAAAAGTTCTTACCGAGTCACGAGCTTACTATGAGTTTGAAAATGCATATTAATGGAGATTAATTTGTTTTATTTTTGAAAATTCTGGAAGGCTGGATTCTTTTTGTTTTCTTATGGTTTAATTTTTTATTTTAGGCAAAGCATCATATCTTTAGTCTCCTTATTGATCGATGTGCTGATTCAGACAGACGTACACGGAAATTTGCTTGTTTTGCTGTAAGTTTTTTTCTTGTGCAACAGAATAATATTCTGTTAAATCTGTGCAACAAAATTTAACTACCTGTTCATTACCTTTTTAATTGTTACATCTGTCATAATTGATTGTTGAACACCTTCTCTCTCCCCACTAGATTGGAAATGCTGCCTATCACAATGACTTGTTGTACGAAGACCTCAGGAGATCCATTCCTCAACTTGCAAATTTGCTGCTTTCGGCCGAGGAAGACAAGACTAAAGCAAATGCAGCAGGTGCATTGAGCAATCTAGTTCGCAACTCTAATAAGCTCTGTGAAGATATTATTTCTAAAGGAGCCATGCAGGTATGTGGCTATGTGGCATTTATTCAGATTTAGTTGTACCATGCTAATTTTATTTATAGTTGCTTTTGCTCTGAATTATTTGGCCTACTTCAGTGAGAATCTAAAGCAAGTTGCATACGTATCCTGAAGTATAAAATACCATTAAGGTCCCAATAAGTTTACAAATTGGTTTTGAGACATATTTTAAGGTTATGAAAATAGAAGGATGATGCTATTTTGTTCCCTAGAAGTCTTGATTTTGTTGTCTACACTGTACTTGGCTCTCTTGGCAATTATTTACTAATTTATGATTGTTATTCAAGATCATACTTCCTTGTTTCTTTATTCAACATGGTAATGAAAAATAAAATATTTTATCAATATTTTAATATCTGTATGAAAAATTGTACTATAATTCGATCAACTTGCTATTCCAAATCTTGTGCTATTTACGCAATTAAAAAAATACAATTCAAGATGATGAGATGACATTTAACATGCATAATGAAATAGCTTTTGGTGTACGTTGTAAAACATGTCTTAGCATCAGGTCTAATTGATTCTGCAAAACATTATAAAGAGTATACTCTCAATTGTGTTCCATTTATAACTGTGACTTTTGTATTCTTTGAAAATATATTTCAGGCTTTACTGAAGTTGGTAGCAGATTGTTCCACTGTAGCTTTGAACCCCAGTAGAAAGGATGCCATAAATGAGTCACCTTTAAAGATAGCTCTTTTTTCGCTGGCCAAGATGTGTGCGCATCAACCTTGCAGACAATTCCTCCGATCATCAGAGCTATTCTCCGTCATTGGAAGGCTACGACAATCCCCAGAACCAACAATTGCTAATTATGCCTCTGCCATTATCAGCAAAACCTCTGATGCTTGATGACTGATGAAAAAGATTAGTGGTAGAAACTTCAATATCATTTGCTTGAACCCCACTAATCTGTAATGGTGATTGTGGGTTACTTCCATTGAATGTAAAGGAGAAATTTCAATAAAGTCTTTCTCCTTTTTTTCCAGTTTTGTGGTAAGCAATCCCAACATAGTTGGTGATTATAAATGTAAATATCACTGACTGTATATGTATTAGTTTTTCAAAGAGCAAACATTTTTCGAATGAATATACTGAGGCTACAGTGGATTTAGTTATTCTCAATTATGCCATTCGGAGTGGGCATGAATCTGGTCATTTTAGCTACGAAATGGTCACGGTGTGGGGTAACCAAACGGCGAGCCCCACATAAATTTTGTTAAAAGCCTGCCGCAGATATCGAAGCTTGTGGGGGCACTGGCAGATTACTGGGGTGAGTTACATGTGTACAATTCTACATTGTTTGGGTATGGAAAAGACCTCATAAGAAAAGAATGAAAAAGACATTGTTTCCAGCTTCTGGTATTTGACATAAAGAAAGAAGTAATAGCGAAAGGGACACCTGAGAATTTGCTCCTAGCTAGTGGAACAAGTAAAGGCATGGGAGTCAAGGGCATTGTTTGGGCCGAGGCCGGCCGTTCCTAGGTGAGTTAGTCAATAAGGAGGACCTCCAAACTGGGAAATTCTCAAGCTTGATGTCGTACCCTAAATTTGAGTTTGAAGGCTGGAATCCTATTCGGCCTATGAAGCCACATCTTGAAATCAGCGGAAACTGCAAGGAGAGAGAGATGAGATAGCAAATAGTTCAATTCTTGTTAGTGTTTGTTCATGTTTTATAGGTTGCTCAGAATATCCTACAATTGTGTAGTCCTGCTGTTGCTTGTTACAAGATTTTTAGTGAGAATGAGAGTTGTTTATGTTTCTTAATCTCATTTTTAGATGTTAGGGTCCTTTGAAAGAAAAAACAGGGAAAAAGAAAAGAACATTTCAGTTAAACATTTGTAACACATAGAAATGAAGGAAATTCTAAGGAAAAGTTGGAAATGTTTAGAAACCTAAAAATGTCAAGATCAACGAGAATCAGATTGACCAACAGGCCAGTAGTTTAGCGGTATCAGCTTCTTACCTCTCAAAGGGAGGTCAGGGGTTCAAGTCATAGAAGAGACGTGTGTGTGAGTACCAATTATGATAAAATAAAAAAAATAAATAAAAAAGAAAAAAAAAAAAAAAAAAAAGAGGAATCGGATTGTTGGTGCCATAAGAGGTCTAGTTGTAAGAAAAGGGTGATCATATCCAATAGACTAGTAATAAATATGTGTGTTTAGGTGGCGGTATGATTGAATTGAAGAACATATCTTGGCAAATTTTTTTCAGAAGTTTACAAAATATTGTTAAGAATTTTGTAAATTATTTAATTTACATACAAATATGACAAGTAAAATCATTAGAAGTCCTTTCGAACACCTATGTCATCATTTCAGAGAAAAATAGAAAAAATGGTGAATTTATCATGGCCAAGTTGTGGTTTAAATAATAAGACTACGATTCCTCGTGTTCAACAATTTTATCATTTTATATTAGAACACTGCATAAAAATGAGTTGAAATTTTTAACTAAAATTTTCAAATACTAGGTCGGTTGTGTCACGCCACACATTGATGATTAAAACAAATTTGGACCTGAAGTATAAACTAAAAAGTAGGAAGACTTTTCCTTTCTCCTTTAATAATTTATACATTGACAATGAAAAAAGTGAACAAAAATTTTCATAGTAGAAAAATGAAAAACTGGGCTTTCTTGGTTAATTTGTAATTATGAAAACAGTTTTCTAATCTTGGAAAACATAAAATAGAAAATTGTACAAAAAACTACTTGATTCAGTTTTTTAAAAACTCAGTTATAAAAAGGTCTATTTTTAGAAAACAATCTTTTATAAATTTTCGAAAACTGTTACCTGTTTTTTGAGTTTCTGATAACTGTTTTCAGAATTATAAACCAAGTATGTCCGATTTGCTTGGTTTATAACTCTGAAAACAGTTCTCAAGAATTCAGAGAACTAAAAACTGTTTTCAGAGAACAATCTTATATAGTTCAGGTATTTTTATAATTGAGTTTTTAGAAAATAGTTTTCTGAAAACTTAACTAAGCATAAATTTTTATACTGTTTTCTGAGAATAGAAAATGATTTTCACAGTTAAAAACCAACAGACCCTTTTTCTAATGAATCGTTTTATTTCTAATAGCAGTTATTTGGTCCTATATGAACTAGTCAGTTTATATGTCAAATTGACATGAAATTATGTCCTCCAGTCTACAATCTACAAATTTCTGATAGTGAATCTTTTTTGTGTTCAATCCACTTCAAATCATCACAGATGTGGCTGTGTCCAAGAAAAAGTAAACACAAACTTTCTTAAGATTATCAAATGTTCATGTTGAGTCTGCAAGAGAAACAATGTGAAATGATGTAATGAAAAGAAGGGAAAGAAAATTATCTTTTTCTCTTTTGAATAAATATTCATAGTCTGTTTTTGAATTATCCATTAAAATTGTTTCAACTCATCTCTGTTACTTGGATTCTTCAAAAGTAATGAAATACTTGTGTCAGACACATATCCCTCGGACATGGGTATGGAATATATATCCGACACTTTTGGTTAGACATATAATTAAAAAGGTGTGTGTGTATGTTTTTATTTATTTATTAAAAGTTACCTTGTGAACGTTGAAGGTGATGTCTTGAACTAGAATGGATAGATCTGTTGGAATTTGAGAAGTGGCAAACCTGCACGAGTGCACCAAAAAGATGAAACTTTGCTTAACGGTAGAACAAGTAAAAGAAACAAGAATTAGAATGCAAAGGTTGAGCCACTTTTCAATAAAAATGGTTACCATGAATGCTCTTTCTTCTCGAAGCTATCGGCTATGGCAATGAATTTGGCTGGGATTGCTATACTTTGGTTTTGAACTGAATTCGTGCCATCAAAATCACAATCCGATTCCTCTTTTTTTTTATTATTATTTTATTTTATTTTATCATAATTGGTACTCACACACACGTCTCTTCTATGACTTGAACCCCTGACCTCCCTTTGAGAGGTAAGAAGCTGATACCGCTAAACTACTGGCCTGTTGGTCAATCTGATTCTCGTTGATCTTGACATTTTTAGGTTTCTAAACATTTCCAACTTTTCCTTAGAATTTCCTTCATTTCTATGTGTTACAAATGTTTAACTAAAATGTTCTTTTCTTTTTTCCTGTTTTTTCTTTCAAAGGACCCTAACATCTGAAAATGAGATTAAGAAACATAAACAACTCTCATTCTCACTAAAAATCTTGTAACAAGCAACAGCAGGAATACACAATTGTAGGATATTTTGAGCAACCTATAAAACATGAACAAACACTAACAAGAATTGAACTATTTGCTATCTCATCTCTTTCTCCTTGCAGTTTTCGCTGATTTCAAGATGTGGCTTCATAGGCCGAATAGGATTCCAGCCTTCAAACTCAAATTTAGGGTACGACATCAAGCTTGAGAATTTCCCAGGTGGACCGGAAACATTTGAACTAGATTAAAATTGCCTATAAATTTTTTTTTTTGGGGGGGTGGGCTTGAGCCCACCAGAGCCCACCCTACATTTGTCAAACGGGTAAAAATACCTTAAAATAAGATCATATATGCGTGCTGATTAAAAATAATAATAATAAATAAATTTGTGTGAACTAGGATTGAGTTTGATAAAGGAGATTATTGCTCGGTAACTATCAACTCTAAAAGCAATCACATTTGGAATATAAGAAATTAAGTTTGTATTGGACCAGTCTCTCTCTCCGATTTTCTTCTCCCAAAACTTTTACTAATTAATAAATAATGTTTGCCTTAAGCCGCCTAAGTAGGAATATCCTCCTAATGCTAACGTGGATTAATAAAAATATGACATGTGTCAAAAGCTTTTTAAATAATTAATAAAAATTGTTTGGATCTTTTTGTGAATCATCCAAAAGGAATTTTTTTTTTTTTCCTCTCATGCCTTTGAGATTTTCTATTCCAAACCCTTTCATATTGCAATCCTTTACAGAATAAGCTAAACAATTAGTCCAAATATAATAAATTAACCATAACTGTAAGACTTTAATTATTAATGGAGTTTAAGGAAATCAATTTGGTTTCAGATTGTAACAGGTGGTGATAAATCTCAAAATTTTGGATGCCACTAGACTTATATGTATCTATTAATTGTTCGGCCTTGAGTCATTTTGGAGATGGGGTGCAACAGAGATTGCAGGCAATGAATGTGGCAGCTTGAATCATCTCTAAAGATTGGATGTAAAAGATTAGGGTTGGGGAATGGAAGAGGTGGCAAGCAGTGGAGACCGGCAAGCAGTCGAGGTCGGTTGGCGAAAAAGAGAATTAATATTAGGGTTTCAGAATTGGGGATATGATGGGCATCAATGAGGGATTTCGTGGGAAGAAAGAAGGAATCATGAGTTAAAAAGATGGAGAGCCCGCTACCAAGTCTCACACACACGTGAGAGAAAATCATTTTTCTTCTTGAATGACCCGTGAAAAGATCCGAATAATTCAGGTTTAATTTTTTTAATTTTTTTTCACACACGTCATGTTGTTAATGATTCATATGGATTGCGATCGCGGTGTAACGGATTCGGACAAAGTCAATGTAAATTGCCTGATACGGGTTGCGAATCAGACTAAAAAAAGAGTCGCATATCAGCAAATATGCGTATCGGACGATACGGCGAACCGTGACATACATACATGTATGTATGTATGTATTGATGTTTATATGCCTTTGTTTGGTCTAAATGCAGGTGTGGAACACGTGGGAGGAGATATGTTTGTTAGTGTACCAAAAGGGGATGCTATTTTTATGAAGGCGAGTTTGATTTCTTTACAATCTTTAGTGTACTAATGCATATGTATGACGTGACATAGGGTATGACACTAAAATGTACCCCTATGTTATTAAGCTTCTCACTTCAAAACTCAAAAAACTATGTTTGGTTGCTGAGAAAAACAGAATTAGACTGTTAATGTGCTTATGTTTGTGCTGCTGCAGTGGATATGTCATGATTGGAGTGACGAGCACTACTTCCCGACAACAGGAAAGTGATCTTAGCTGAATGCATTATTCCCGTTTCTCTAGACTCTAGGCTTACGACTAAGAATGTGATCGATATCGATATGATCATGTTAGCTTATAACCTGGGCGAAAAAGAGAGGACTGAGAAAGAATTTGAAGAATTGGCAAAGGGAGCTGGTTTTGAAGGTTTCCACGTAATGTGCTCTGCTTACAACACTTATGTCATAGAATTTTTGAAAAAGATTTGAGTGTGCGGGATTGGGTTTGGATGTGGTGAGTGTTTATGGGTTTTGTACTTGTGATATTCTCTGATCCAAAGTTTGATTTACATTATATGTAAATCTTCACTCGTATATGGGAATAAGAAAACAAATAAATCCAATCTACATATACCAAATAAAAAAAAATTGTTTGCTTAATTTTCTTGGAATGTAGGATAGAAAATCCTCACATTATGTTGTAAGATTCCATTTTCTCATTTATTAATGTCGAATCTTAGCAACAAAAGGGAATAATCCCATTCGTGAAAATGAGGGTTTGGGCTGAAACTTGAAATTGGGAGGATTCAGACCTTACATGGTTGTTATCACAAGTGCGAAATAATATATGTATATATAAATGGGGTAAGTGCAAGAAACACCCCTAAAGTATACATTTCATAGCATTTTTACCCCCTGTTTAAAAAGGTGTGCAAAAAATACCCTTATTCTTTTCAATTTATGCAAAAACACCTCTCAATTAATATAATACCCATTTTACCCTTTTACTCTACCAAAAATATCCCTACCAAACCTAATTCTCCACCCCCAAAATGGTAACCACCGGGCGAGTTCGTGAGATTGGGAAAGCCAGTTCGTTAAACAACTAGTAAAACAACCAAGCTTACCTTTTAACCTAAAAAAATACCAGTAAAAGAATCACTTCCCAAATCTCATTAGGTTCCAAAGAGAAAAATACTCCTGTGCCACGATGGTACAGGTTATGGCGCTCAAAACAGTTTCGCATGCACCAAGCAGAGCAACTCAATTGCAAAGCCACTGAGATACATGAATTCAATATTGTACAAGAATCAGCTGAATCACAAAGGCCAATAAAGACTGAAAAGTATGTGCTGGTGCATTGATTTATACGAAAACCAAATCAAAGTATCCTCAGTTGCAAAAGTCAAGGAATTCAGGCAGGTAAGATGGTTATCCTTATTTGTTGCATTATAGAATTCGAAGTTTTTTTTTTTTTTTTTTTTTTTTTTTTTTTTTTTTTTTTTTTTTTTTTAAAGTATTACAGAATTCAAAGTATTTACATCTCATAATCATGTGTGCACGAAGCCATCACCGTGCCCAGGTCTTCTTCACAGTCGACTGCAATTCACCACCGCAAGTTCACCGTCACAGCCCGTTGGTCGCCGGCAACCGATTCAGTCCAGCCCTCCACCGGTTGAGCTCTCCTTGCCGTTCTCCATCTTTTGCTCGTCGCCGCCTCCATCAAGACCGAGCCACATCACCGAGCTCTCTCTTGCTTGCTGCAGCCTCCATCACAGCTGATCTTCACCTCACCGGCCGTCCCTCAACACAGCCGAGCCCGTCTTCTCCTTGCCTGCCGGTGCCGCGCTGTGATAACCCCGGATTCCCGAATGCAGGTTGGCCAGGCCCACGCCCGAATACCCGAGGATATCAAAACAAATTGATAATAAACGAATACAAAGTACAAAAAAATAAAGAAGAATAAATAAAATGCTGACAAGAAACTAAAATGATAATCTAATAATAAACCTCATAATATATTTCCATTAATTAATAAACTCTTCTGATACAACTGATCCTCCAAAATACAACTCGGGAATCCATGCTGTGTGGATCTCTAAAAAATCCAAACTAAACAAATAACAGTAATAGCTGTCTAAATCAGGAAACTGAATCATAAAGGAACTCCTATGTAGCATCGGAAGAATGAAGTAAACTGATCCCCGCTCAGCACGAACAACCTCTACTCCTGACGAACACTTGAAAAATAATGGTGGGTCAGGCCCATAAACAAGTTCTACTCTATTACAGTCCAAGCAGAGATCCGATACACATATGCATCCTAGTCAATCCAACAGTAACTAGTAGTTCGTATATATATATATACACACACTAAAGGAACCTCACTAGACTATAGGGTTGTCTCAACCTGAATAGTAGGCAACATGCAAAACGCACATATAGTGGGCATGAGTACCTAGACCTACCAGGGTACACAACTACACTATATTTAGCTACACATCCCTGGCGATATACGCACCCTAACCACTGATCCTGAGACTCAAGCTCCTATCATGGCACCATACTTATATATATAAAATCTAGTAACCGTCCTATTCAGTATAAATTAATTCTTCATAAGTCATTCAACTTGTTCAGCTGACCTGACTTGAATATAAGTAGGACTTAACATTTTAGTTAATTCATTCCCTTATATAATAAATTAATCCTTCATGAGTCATTCAACTTGTTCAGCTGACCTGACTTGAATATAAGTAGGACTTAACATTTTAGTTAATCCATTCCCTTATATAAAATAGGTAGGACTTAACTGATAAGTTAATCCATCCCTAAAATGCCACCGTCCCATACCGGTGCATTAAACCACACAATTCAACAATTAATGTAACGATTAAGGAAATACATTAAACAATCCAGAAATAACTATGATAATATGATATCAAGTTATCACAAAATAGGAATGACTTATTATTTATTTAAGCTTCTTATATCATATGTCTTACATTAACTGATTCTTATACATATGATGATATTTTATTATACCGTCAAATAAGCATTCTCCATATCCAATTCATCCTACACCTTTAATCTCAATTGCTAAAACATATTAAAAGATTAAATTCATTCGTTTGTTTAAAACA